ACGCTGTTACGGTGTTAGGCTGTTACACCGTTACGCTGTTAGGTTGTTACGCTGTGAGGGTGTTAGGCTGTTACGCTGTTAGGCTGTTACGCTGTTACGCTGTTAGGCTGTTACGCTGTTAGGCTATTATGCTGTTAGACTGTTACGCTGTTAGACTATTACGCTGTTACGTTGTTAGGCCGTTACACTGTTAGGCTGTTGCTCAGTTATGCTGTTACGCTGTTAAGCTATTAAGATGTAAGACTGTTACGCTGTTAGGCTTTTTACTCTGTTAGGCTGTTACGCTGTTAGTCTGTTAGGCGGTTTAGCTGTTAGGCTGTTACGTTGTTAGGCTGTTACGCTGTTAGGCTGTTACGCTGTTACGCTGTTAGGCTGTTACGCTGTTAGGCTGTTATGCTGTTAGGCTGTTACGCTGTTAGGCTGTTACGTTGTTAGGCTGTTACGCTGTTACGCTGTTACGCTGTTACGCTGTTACGCTGTTACGCTGTTACGCTGTTAGGCTGTTATGCTGTTAGGCTGTTAGGCTGTTAGGCTGTTACGCTGTTAGGCTGTTAGGGCGCGTGTCATTACACAGTATTTTGCAAAACTCGTAAATTTAGTCGAACTTTTACAATTTGATCCTAGGTCGACCTAGGGTCGACTATAACACGTACTGCAATTCGAGTCGTTGTTCCTCGCTTCACATGAATCACAGGCTAACAAAAGTTCGACAATCAAAGTTGAATTTATACAGGTACCCTCGAGCCGCTTCCCACCAGCGTAGGTTACCTGGTTGATTTTTTCTTGACAGTGCGCAACGTAATAGTGTGCGACGCGAAGACACGAGGGCTACAAATAGCCCTCGTGTCCAGCCTACAGACCAAGGAACAAAAATACGGTCGTATTTTTGAAATTGCTCTACGATTCCTCACAGGAGCCTATTATGAGAAACCGTTTAAAACGGTAACATTTCAAAAATACGACCGTATTTTTGTTCCTTGCTTCAGACCGCATCAGTTTCGCACGATGACGAACCTTTATCAGACTGTCGCTGATTTCGCAGAATGCATGTGCATGGTCTGAAGGACACACGAGCGGGTTTTCGTGCTCGCAATGTTTGACATGAAAGGTCGACCTGGGTTTAGTCTCGTACCAGGTGAACAAAGAAAGGGGTAGGACACACGGACATGCGGCGAAAGAATTGGCAATATTAGCGAATAGAGTTACCACCGAAAGTTCGACCAAAATTTCGAATGTCTACACCAAAAGACACACGCCCTTACGTTGTTAGGCTGTTACGCTGTTAGGCTGTTACGTTGTTAGGCTGTGAAGCTGTTAGGCTGTTTCGCTGTTTGGCTGTTACACTGTTACGCTGTTAGGCTGTTTCTCTGTTAGGCTGTTACGCTGTTACGCTGTTAGGCTGTTACGCTGTTACGCTGTTAGGCTGTTACGCTGTTACGCTGTTAGGCTGTTACGCTGTTAGGCTGTTACGCTGTTAGGCTGTTAGGCTGTTACGCTGTTAGGCTGTTACGCTGTTAGGCTGTTACGCTGTTTGGCTATTACGCTGTTAGCTGTTAGGCTGTAACGCTGTTAGGCTGTTACGATGTTAGGCTGTTACGCTGTTAGGCTGTTACGCTGTTACGCTGTTACGCTGTTAGGCTGTTACGCTGTTACGCTGTTACGCTGTTAGGCTGTTAGGCTGTTACGCTGTTACGCTGTTACGCTGTTACGCTGTTACGCTGTTACCCACAGGGAGCTGGTTGGGTGGTGGAAGGGTGGATGAGTGGGTGGAAGAGGTGGGAATGGGGGGAATGCTCGGCCCTGCTGACTTGTCTATCGTTTTGATCATTGACTCCGATTGCCTGTTGACTACTGATGATCCGTTGACTGCTGATGACCCGTTGACCACTGCTGACCCATTGATCCCAACAGCACAGCAGCTGGAGGCTGAGGTGGCATCTGCTGACGTGGCGAACGACCGGCGGTTGAACCTGTACGACAAGATCTTTGTGGCGTACCACGATGCCAAGCGGCTCATTCGCGATGACATGGTATGAAATGAGGCATGGTATGCTTCTCATGATTCAGAAGTAGCAGATTACTTTTCATGCTGCTCTCAGTATTTTACTTGAGTGCAGCAGTTGGGTGACGACTTACATCCCCTTCCCCACCTTCTAGCCCTTAATCTCCTATTCGTGCCCTCCGCTTCCCCCATTCCTCCCCCTCCCACAGGTAGCAGCCGGCGGGGCGGAGGATGTGAAGGATCAGCTGGTGGCGCTGGAAAGGGTGGTGTCTTGTCTCGTGCTGCAGCGCACTATCGATCGCAACCTGCTGCTCATCCCCTTCCCCCCCTCTCCTCACTCCCCCTCCTTTCAGGTGGCAGCGGACGGGGCAGAGGACGTGAAGGAGCAGCTGGCAGCACTGGAGCGAGCCGTGTCGTGCCTGGTGCTGCAGCGCACCACGCATTGCAACCTGCTGCTCGTCCCCTTCCCCTCCCTCTCCCTCTCCTGCAGGTAGCAGCCGGCGGAGCAGAGGACGCGAAAGAGCAGCTGGCAGCACTGGAAAAGGCGGTGTCATGCCTGGTGCTGCAGCGCAACCTGCTGCTCTCCCCTCGTTCTCCCCCCTTTTTCCCTTATCACAGGTAGCAGCAGGCGGGGCGGAGGATGTAAAAGAGCAGCTGGCAGCACTGGAGCGGGCCGTGTCGTGCCTGGTGCTGCAGCGCACCATGGACCGCAACCTGCTGCTCGTTGCTGGTGCCAAGGCGCGGCTTGAGAGGCAGCAGCAGCAGCAAGGGGGCGCGCAGGGGGGGCAGCAGGGGCAGGGGAAGAAGGGGAAGCGGGAGAAGGGGAGGGAGGAGAAGGAGCGGGAGAAGCCTGCGAGGCCAGAGGACCTTATACGGCTCTATGACACTCTGCTGCAGGTGCGTGGGGTAGTGGGATGCAGTTACAGTGTGGGTGGCACGATACCGTATGGGCATTCACGATTGAGTGTTTACGAACCTGCCAGCCTGGCTGACTGGAGTTGGAAAATATCTCTTTATGTGCAGAATGCATCAGACCTGGCGGACCTGGCAGCATCAGGCAGGGACGCGCGTGCGGAGGAGAAGGCACTGCAAGCGCAGCTCGAGGCCAACAAAGCCTGCTACCAGGCCTGCAGGTACGGCTGTTACTGGGGCTTCAGCCTTGTGCTTATCTGAGCAGCCTTTCTTGTGCTTTTCTCCCCTCAAACCCTCCCTTTTTTTCAAGTTCTTCCCAATGTTCATTCTGCCCGTTGTTTCCTCCTCTGCAACCCCTCCTTCCTCCTTTCCCCCCTTTCCGCGATCCCTGCCCCTCTTGTTTCCAGGGCGTTCTACGTGGCACTGGCGTACCAGGCAGCAGGCAAGGACGCGGAAGCATATGTGGTGTTTGGCAGGGCGGCTACAGACGCAGAGCAGGCAGCCAAGGGGCTGCAGCAGCTGCTGGAGGGGTCGGGAGCACAGGGAGGGAAGGGAAAGAAGGGCAAGGGCAAAGATAAGGTGCGCTAGTGTGAAGTTACTATGTTGGTTGGCGCTTGTTCTGGTCTATGTTAGCATCAAGATTTGCCCACACCACCTTGGTGTTTGTCACCACTCAGCATGCCGTGTGCCCCCGCCGCACCCTATCCTTGCACCCATGCACACATCCATCCATGCATGCACACACACTCGCATTCATGCGCTCATGCATGCAGGCGTCAGAGCAAACGGCAGAGGAGAGGGAGGTGCAGGAGGTGGTGGTGCGCAGCAAGGCGCAGCGGTGTGCCATCCATGCGCGCGCCACTCTCGACGCCATCAGGGCCAAGGACCCCGCCGCCCTTGAGAAGGGCGTGGCTGAGCTCTCCCTGCGTGCCAAGGACAAGGTTCGTGCCTGGTGTTGTGTTTCTTGGTGAAGCAGTTGCGTGAGTAAGGCCACACTGGGTTTTTTTATAGTTGTATTTATCCAGCCTTAATTGTTCTTTTACTCAGATTTCGTTTTTGTCTTGTGCCGTGCTGTGTCCAGCAGCAGGTGGATGCCAAATACATGACAGAGAACCTGAACGAATTCGTGAGTGCAGTCACTGTGGACTCCACTCCAGGCGCCAAGCTCGTTCCCCACATTGCTCGAGTGCCACCACCCTTCCAAGCGGTGCCCTGCCGGCCCATTGTTCTTGACACCGCTCTTAACGCAATCAATTTCCCCGATCTTGCGGGCCGGGCCAAGAAGGAAGGCAAGAAGGCAGGTGGTCTCTTTAGCTCTTTCTGGGGTGGTGGCCGATCATGATCTGTGTGGAAAAAGGATGTTGTTAGACAGTAGGGGAAGAAGGTGGGCACCATCTGTAAGTCACTCGAATATTCCAGTGGTGTCAGAACAACTTGTCGCTTGGTTCCAGATTATTGGACTGGACTGGATGCGGTATATGGATTTTTGGAAACTTGGATGGTTCATTTCAACTTGTCCCGCTGCAAACAGTTTAGTCCCACTCCAAACACTTTCGGACGTGAATCGCAGCTCTTACTGACGAATTTGCTGCTCGAATCTTCCATAACACGCCATCGGTGACGCCATTGGAATGTTCATGTCTTTGACACGTGTTCTCTGGTGACTGCTCCACGCCGAAATCATTCCCAATGATGTGGGAAAAATTGCTGCTCCTTCATTCGTAGTTACCACGAGTACTGACAGAAGCCGTCGATTTGCCCTCAATCCACGAGTATGGCCAGGCGTTGAGAATGCCGACGCCAACCTCGAGGAGCGCCACGGAGGGCACCCGAGATTTTGAGCTGGTGTGCTGTTCTGTTGGTGTTCACCCTCAGATTCTTGCTTTTCCAGCTTATACAAGGCGCTTGTTTCCCCACTACGTTGTGACTTGAGCTTGCCTACTCGTTCTCCTTTCATCGTGGAGAACCAAGATCTCGCCTTTCTCGTTCTTTCGTTCTGCTGCTTTCGTCGGCGCTCTGTCTTGTAACTGCTCCTGATACGACCACAGGCATCCATAACAGCGTGCTTGATATCAAAGCAGCAGCTATGGCATCCGCAGTGTCTAGCATCCCGTCGGCCCAGGCCGCTGCCGTCACCAATGCCGTGTCCTCGTCTTCACGCAAGCCTGCATCAACGAATGCTGTCTCGTTAACGTCAACCTTCCTTCACTCGTCAAAGCCGATTACGGCCGTGCGCAAGCTATGCGTTTCTCGCAAGGGAGTCTCCGTACGTGCCATGGTGGCTTCGACCGACGCTGTTTCCTTCTCAGCCAAGGAGATGGAGCGAGTTGCAGCGAAAGAGGCTCTCCTTCTCGCGGTAAGGTCATAAGTCTTCAGGTGGCGGCTTGCAAGTTCGGGAATCACACAAGATACATGGACAACCTCACTGGGTTTGAACCTGTATTTTGTTGCGAAGCTCCTGCTTTGAAGGAAAGCACCTAGAATCGCATGTGTAGGTGCTGCTGCGTTTGTCTGACGTCCTAGCCACTGTATTCCTGCTAACAGGTGAAGGACGCGGGTGGCGCGGAGGCCTTGAGCACAGGAAAGGGCAATGCGGCCGGGAAGATTGAGGTTAGCGAGAAGCTTCTGCAGCTGGAACGTCTTAACCCCACACCACGACCCACTACGTAAGTGCCAATGTTTACAAATCTGAGTGTGGCAAAGGTTTGCTTATCAGAGCATTCGGGAATGCACTCGTGCGTAGCTTGACTGTGCCTCGATTTACTGTTCGTGCGGCCGCAGGTCGCCTCTCTTAGACGGAACGTGGGACATCGTGTGGGCAGCCACTCGCAACCCAGGTGTCATCGCCACTCGAGTGCTTCTCAAGTAAGCCCCACTCTACTCTTTGGATTGTTTGTGGGGCTAAATGCGCTGTCTGCCTCATCAGGTTATTGCATCAGGTTCATTTCTGTTTGTCACAGGTGAAACAACTTTGTGTAATTCCATTCCTCTTATATTTCTTGCGTTTTGTTGTTATCCTCGTTCCATCTAGGCGCTTCCCAACGCAGGTGGCATCACTGGAGTCACTGCAAGTGCAGATCTTGGAGGGTTCCACCAAAGTGACGGCTGGCCTCAAGTTTCTTACCGCGGTACGCGTTCGGAATGGTCGCAGTGTGAAGAGAGCATGTGGTGTGTGCAGCAATCGTCACAGTGACTGAACTGCACGTTCTGCCCACTGATTATTCATGTTTGGAGCAAGCTTTGCTGTCTGGAAGTGAGCTAAATGTTATCGTTCAGTGGTATAGGTGGTCATTACTTGGTAGATTTGTGTTTAAAAGCATACTGTGTGGTGGCACCTCGGGTGCGCATGGCTTCTTATGCCGTTTTTTGCTACTTCTATTTCTCACAAAGTGTCCCTATTTCCCATCATGTCGTTGTTGCCACCAGGCTGAGACTTCAGTCACTGTGACAACTCGTCTGGCCGTTGAAGGCCCTGTCAGGTAAAAATATTAGCTTGATGCATGGTTTGTTGTTCGAGCAGGGCACGTGGAACGTTCCCTTCCTTTCCCTTATTTCAGAACTTATGAGTTGTTGACTGTCGGTTGATACTACTTGTTAATAACAGAATCAAGGAAGAGTACGCTGAAGCCGTGGTGGCTACCCCTGTGGTGCCGGATGGCAGCATCCCGTCAGCCCTCAAAGGTGTCTTTGATCAGCTAGCTTCTGCCAGTCAATCACTCCCTGCTGCTCTGAAGGACTCTCTTTCTTCAGGCCTCAAGCTCCCGCTCAGTAAGTGCTCCACATGCTCCATCTATTCAGTGGTTGTATAAACCATTGGAGTTCTGGCCAGTGATGCTGGTGTTGTATCATGTCCCTCATTGGCATCCAGATGGTGTGCTGACAACCTTTTATCTGCTACACTCTTCTCCCTTTCCAGGTGGCAGATATCAGAGGGAGCTGATTATTTCGTACCTTGATGATGAAATTCTGGTAAGATATAAGGAGCTTGTGAAAAAATAGCTTTTTTTACATTTTGACAGTTTTTTGGGGTGTTGCTTGCCTGCATGGCACGTGTTACTGCTGGATGAAGAACCGTCTTTGTGTCTTTTTCTCCTCTTCAGGTGGTCCGAGACCAAGCTGGACTGGCTGACGTGTTGGTGCGAGCCGCAAGCACTTCTACCCCCCCCCCTCTTGGAGATGAGACTGAAATCGATGAGCCAACAGAGTAGGCCAAGCGCATCTAGCATGTAGGCCTGTACATGTAACCTGTTGTGTTTTGTAGCACATGTTCCCTAATTTCAGGAGTAGTGTTCCGGGGAATCTAAATGAATGTATGAGTGACGTTGATACATGAGTGACAGAATTTATATTGTCCACTTGTAAGATACTTGCAACAAAAGTTTGGACAGAAACTTCCAACATGGGAACGGCCGGTTAGAAGCACGATCTGGCAGAAGCGCGTATGGAAACAAATCGGCTCGAGCCTTGATTGACGGTCACGTCCCAAGCCAAGGAGGCTTGGTTTGGAGGTTGGCAATAGCACACAAACAGCGTGCCCACGAAAAGACTCCGATTTTTGCGAGGAGTCCCTAATTCGCTCGCAGCAATGAACGGTTACGTCGGGAGATGCGTTGGGGAAGGTTTCGTAAAGTGCGCCTCGTCACCCCCAAAATCCACAGCAAGCCTAAAATTGTCCAATCAGCTGTGAGACATTTCCCCAAACCATGATCGATCACCCCACCCCCGCGTCGCGAAGTTCTTGTTGGGCAGCGGTATTTGCGAGGAATTCAGCCTTGGAATTTTCGGGAGCGCATCCTTGGCCCGTCATGATCAAGGGGCTTTGGTGAAATCTTCACCTAGTACAAAATACTTCAGTAGCTGTTCCCTAGAAGACATAGCTTGTACCGTCTTGTCCTGTCAGACTTTATCAAACATTACTCCAGCTCGCAGTGTTTTCTTCTTGGGACGAATTGCTAGTAGCTCCATTATTGCGACATTTGAGGTTAGAATTCAGAAGAGCTAAGGTAACGATCGGTTAGATAGCTTCAGTTGACGATCCGTGTTTTGCGCACCCATTGTGACTGTTTTGGTACGTAGTCATTTATACTACCAAATAGCCGCCGCTGGCAGCCGCATCAGCAGCGTCGACCTCTCAGTTCTCAATGGACGATGCTCGCGTCAGCATCGTCGCCGGCTTCATCGCAGGTGTCGCAGAGGTCCTCGTGGGATATCCGTTCGACACGGTGAAGACACGAATGCAGTCGCAGGATCACGCAGAGTCGCCATTACTTCCAGCTCACCGTGACAGCAACAGCCATGGCTGCTTGGGTCAAAACCGAGCTCCCAACAATCAGCATTACAGCTCACCGTGGAGCTGCGCGGTCGCAACGTACAGAGCCGAAGGAATTGGTGGCTTCTACCGCGGTATTGCCGCTCCGATGATACAAGTAAGCCCGAAATCGCCATTGATTATGCTCGTGCGTCCGTATGCTTGTCACCACTCCTCGCCGGAATGCAGGACTGAATGCCTCCCTGTCAAGCCAGCTCATCCCTGAGCCAGCATTCTCAATTGACACGTTTTCTGCTTCGTTTTGACCGTGCAGGAAGCGGTGGGCGTGGCTCTTCTCTTCGGCACGCGCGATTGGCTCCGAACAGCAATAGGTGCTGACATCAGCAGACCAGGGTTATTCATCCTAGCCTGCTCCATCATCGCGCTGTTAGAGTCTTTGATATACTGCCCCCTAGACCACCTAAAGACCCGCATTCAAACCCGTGGGCAACGACTGAAGCATCAAATACTGCACTCGTGTACCGCTCCCTCTCTCCCGCCTCTGGATTCCTCTAAGCATTCGTCTAACAACGCGAAGACTCCCGTGACTAGCGCTGGGCCAACAGGAGGGATGGGACAGGAGGGAGCATGCATATCACTCTCGCTAACGCCGGCTACGGCTTACTGCATAGGCGTAGGCCCGGGTCTCTTGGCGTCAAAGGAGACGCACGCGGATTTACCTCCTCTCGGCATGACCATGGGCGTGGTGATGGGGAAGGACATGCACGGCGAGCTGCTAGGCATCTTCAGCGCCGCTCGCAGCGTTATCCGGGCAAGGGGAGTGTTGGGACTGTACCTGGGGTTCGTCCTGCAGGCATGCAAGGAGATGCTGGGCAACATCGCCTTGTTTGCTACATATGATGTCGCTCTCGCACTCTTCAGTGGCACCAGTCTCGTGCCTGGGGGTGCGCATGGAGCACACATGCACGCCGGCCAATCGTGGATGGCAATCTGGCCTGCGGGAAGCCTTGCTGGAATGGCCTATTATCTGGTAAGCACATGTGAGCGAGGAGGTGAAAAAATGAGAATGCATTATATCACCTAGACTTTTTTCACCAACGTCGTATATTCACACGTAGAATTTAATACATTTCGTATATCCCCTCTGCCCCTCCTTTCCAGATTGGCTTCCCGTTTGACACGATCAAGACTCGCCTACAGACTGACTCCCTCACGCACCCTCGCTATCGGGGCTCGCTCCACTGCGCATGGCACGTGCTGCGCCATGAGGCTTCTTTCTCCGACCTCTATAGAGGCGTCTCTGCTTGCCTCGCTCGGGCAATTCCAGGTTGTGCTGTGCAATTTTTCGTATTTGAGGCTGCTCACCAGTTTGTCTCTCAGCTGGGGTCTCACATAGTCCCCAATATTCAACCGGACGGCAGACTTGGATTGGGTGGCTTTGCATATGCTGGAAGTACAATTACAGCGGATCAGGAAAAGTTATGGGACTTGCTTGCTGGGTGGAGTTAAAAGGCAATGCTGGTGATATAGATATTGTATAGTTTGTGTGTTGGTGAGATGGCATATTGAGTGCACTATTGGTGCACCTCTGCCATCTTGTTTTTTTTATTTTAAACGATCTGGCATTCAGGCTGCTTATTCTAGAACCCTTAGGCAATGTGCTTTGACATCCTGTAAAGAGCAGATTCAGGTGCACCCTAGAGATGGATACTCAGAAGAAGGATGCAATATAGCTTATGTAACAGATGTACAGTACTAGTTAGCTGCATCTAACTGTACGTATTTCTGATTTCTACCGAAGAACATAGCAGCCACATTTTCATTGTGCAGGTGCATCTAACTGTATCTTTGTGGTCGTCCGGTGCAAGTAAATTTGCGGCTGCCCAAAGCAATCTTTGCTGGCGACATCCACCCACACACCTCCTCACCTCACACGACGAGCGGAACAGACAAGTGATGGCTGTAAACTTACAGTCGCGCTGGACTGATGACGTGTAGCTCTCTTGCTGGCTGAAGCTGACCCAACCCGTACTGTACAGTACTGTGTTCTTGCTGCTGGTTGACCTGTTTCGTCTTGGTCCCGCAAGTGGCTTACCGAAACAACAATCCACGCAGCTGGCACTTTTTGCCATCCAGACCCTTCGTCTGTCAATCCAGAGAGTGATTTTCGATTCCAGGTTCTGCCAGATTGTTCTGGTTCATGGTGTGCCCCTGCCAGAATGTTCGACCACCACAATTTGAAACCGCAAATTGGAGGGAGCCCATGAAGAGCCGGGCATTGGACTGGCCTCGTCAAAATTCAGGAAAAGACCTGAAATACCCTCGGCACTCTCATTTGTTTCCAGTGAAGCGTCCCACGCCATAAAGAAATTGTTAGAAAGAACATAGTCTCTGGGGTAGCCTGCCCACGAATTTCAAAACTGACTGGTCTTCGAACCGAAGCGAAGAGAAACGAACCGAACCAACCACAAGTTACCCTGTCTCGATACAGTGTGCTGCTGTTCGTTTACACTGTGCACAAGCCCATGCAGCTGGGTGGCCCGCCCACAAGCCACATGCCCCTTCCTGTCCCTACCACCTCTCCCGCCCGCACTCCTCGATGCCTCTTTCAAGCCCAGCTGGCGGCCATGGAAACAAACCCATCCATCATCATTCACCAGGGCACCTTGGAAATGCCAACGGCTGTTCATGACGCCTGCCGCTGTAAGCTGTTCCTCCTCAACCCTCGCGTCTCGCTGCTTCGTCTGGCCGCTTCTGAATCTCAGCTTTCCCCGTCACAGCCAATAAGGAAGTCGCTCGTCTTGGACGTTATATGCAACCCTCATACGCCCCCGAAACCACGTAAAAGTCTGCTGAGGATCTGATTCACCGACTGACTGTAATTCAAGCTCACCTCGAATTCCGAGGAAACCCCAGCCCCACTCACACCTTTGCTGTTTGCTGCTGTGTGCTTTATTGGATGTCAATCCCAAGATCTCATATCCTGGTAGATGTGAACTTTTACCAAATACGTAGAGCGAAAACGTAGTGCCTGCATTAGGTCGTTCACTCACACCCTAAGCTTTTTTTGGAAATCCGACCGTTGCATAGTATCTTTTATTAGAAAGGGATATAGTCGCATGTCAAACCCGTCATTGGTGGTCGTAGGGATTTGCTATTTTTAGTCGATTTATCTTGTGTTTAAGGACGTCAACTCTTGGCTTTGGGGTATACTTCAGTTGAACCTTTGTCTGACATTCAGAGGTCTGATTCCTTACGCGAGTGGAACAGAAGCAGTAGGATCATGGAGCCCCAGGCCAATGCATCTGGGTCGTTCGTTCCGTCGCACAGCCCCCTTATGCTCCCGCCGACGTCGTCGGCCACAGCCAGCACCTTAGGCTCCGAACGGGTTAATTCCGCGTCAATGGAGGACGGGTTTCGGGGTAGTGGCAGCGGGGGTGAGGCCGACGGTGGTGAGGACGAGCCGAGTCCGGCGTCTGGTGGGGCTCAACTCGAACGGGGAGCAGAACCGGGGATAATTATGCTCGGCGGTCATCGTACGCGACCTAATTGGACGCCTCAGGTTGTGTTTCATAGCCACCTCGTGTGCCGAAATTTCCGTCGTGCGGTTCATATTTTTACGCCTGATTCATGAGGGTGAGCTAAAAATATTTGTTTGTTTGTTCTTTTTTTTTTTCCCCTGTTCCTTAAAACAGGAGGATCTAATTCTTCTACAGCACGTGGCGAAGCATGGGACTCGCAACTGGGGGTCGCTTCAGATCAGCGGGTTGCTGCCGATTCGCGATCAGAAAGCCTGCTGCAACCGATTTATCCTTCTGAAAAAGTGCGACGATTAATCTCACTCAGTGTTGGCTTTCTTGGAGTTCGTGTAAGGAACTTGCGAAGTTTGGGTGAAGAGTAGAAAAGTGTTTTACAAGCTCTTGAGATACACCCACGAATGTCTCTCTGGAAAAAAATGCTTTTATCGCGGACAACATTATCCATTTCCCAGATTTCCAACCCTCGCATCTTATCCTTATCTTCTTTGCTGGCGTGCTTTTGCCCACCCGCTTTCCAGGCGTTGCATCAAGGACAAGCGCAGTCTGTCGCAGCTGCTGCAGCGCGCTAAGGACGCCGTTATTCATGACGCAGCCAGGAATGTCAACGCAGCCGCAGCTGGAGCCGCCGGTTCTTCGTTCGTTGCCGGAGCCGCGCAAGCGTCGTCCTTCCACCATGCGTCCTTGGGATCGCCGCGTGTCGCGGGTGGTTTCGCCGGATCGTCCCCAGCCCTTCACGCTGCCGCCGCGGCGCTCAACCCCCTTGAGGTGCTGCCGGTACGCCTTACACGCTGAATCCTATATTCTCTTTTTGCTTCAACCGTCTCTTCATTTCGTAGTTTTCTAATTCCGTCTGTAACTACGTTCTTGCGATAAATGTGATCGTTTATCGGTTCCTTTTCGTGCTGTTGATTTCAGAAAAATGGTATTCTTAGTCATGACTTGCTGAATCTCACATGGAAAGCCATTGGCTGAACATCACGTGATCAGCACAACTGACGTTTTTCCCCGCGACTTGTCTTGATGCTTTTCAGGCTCTCACTTCGCCCAGCATCGGCATTAACAGCCAATCACGGGTCTCCTTTAAAGGGGGTGGCGTCGTAACAGACGTTAGCCGGCCGATGTTTCCTTCTGTACCGTCGACGTCAGCTGCGACGTCGCTTCCCGAAAATGTCCTCCGCGCGACGCTGCTCCGCTCCGCGTTGGCGTCGGCTGCAGGCGGTCCTCCGGACGCCTCCCAGCCGCTGCAGCAGCAGCTGTTGCAGCAGCAATTACTGCAGCAGCACTTGCTACAGCAGCAGCAGCAGCAACAGCAGCAACAGCAGCAGCATAGTTTTCCGCAACAGAGCGTGCAGCAGCAGCTGTTACAGCAGCAAGCAACGCTGCGCCAGCTCGCTATGCAACAGCATCAGCAACAGCAGCAACAGCGGCTGCAGGAGGCACAATCTGCCGCACTGATGCATCAGAAGCAGCTAGTCTCGCAGTCCAGCTTCAGCCAGGGATCGTTGCGAGGGACGGAGGGTCGGTCAGAGGCGCAGATGCAAGCCCAGATGCAAGTGCAAGTGCAGATGCAAGCGCAGGTGAAACTGCAGGCTGAGACTCGACTGTCCATGTTTCAGAATCAGGCGAGAGAGCAGCAGCAGTCGCAACTGCAGTCCGTGCATCAGGCTCAACAGCAGCAGCAGGTTCAGGAGATTTCCCAGAATCTTCCGCTGGACGGGTTGCTGCTGGACGAGGCGCATCTGGCGTGGCTGAAGCAGGCGCACATAGAGGCGCAGCGGTTCACGCTCTCCCAGGTGCACGCGAGCAAAGGGGAAGGGCAGGGGGACGGGTTGCAAGGCGGACAGCAAGGGGGTCAGCAGGGGGGACACCAGGGAGGGGGTAATAGTGGTGAGGAGGTGGGAAGGGCAGAGCAGGGTGCAGGTCATCAAAGAAGTGAATGTGCGAACGATGGGAGGGGGGACGTGGCAGTGGCACAGCAGGAGTCGGGCCTGCAAGGCGTGGATGCTCACAAACAGCAGCAGCTGCAACAGCAGCAGCAGCAGAGTGCGAGCATGTCCATGCAGCTAGCCAACTTGAGGTGAGTTAATGCGCGGCTTAATTCATACGCTTTAAACGCGCTCCATACACCCTCTCATTCACATCGTCGTCCTCTGCTTCTTTCCGTTGCAGGTCACAGGTGGGACTTCAGCCCGGGTCGCTGCTCGCCCAAGCACTCAAGCTCTCCCACCAGCCTTCCTTCGCAGCCGTCTCCAACCTCCCGCTCTTCTCCAATTTCCGTTCTGTCACCGCGCCTCACTCCCCCTCTGCACACCCCACCGAGCCCCATGCATCATCACCCCATGCAGCTACTCTGTCATCTACGAGCACTGTAGCTGCAGCTGCTGCTGCTGCACCTGCAGGCGCTACAGTGTCGGCTCCCAATTCATCGAGCCCTGCCTGGAGCGAGCCCGCGTTCCCCACTGTGCAGTCTGGGGAGGTGACGGACCGCTTCTCTTCCTTCAGCGACTCGCAGTTCGCCTCTGCTGCTGAAATCGGCGCCACTTCTTCCGCCGCTGCTGCTAGCATGATGGCGGCTGCTGCATCGGCAGGCCTCGATGGTGGTCGCAGTGGTGCTGTTGGTGCCGGCAGCAGTCTTGGTGGTAGTGGTGTTGGTGGGGGCTTAAACAGTACTTTGCCTGCTGGGGGCAATGACAGTGGGAGGGAGGGTGGTTCGTTCACCACTGTGCTTCGGATGTCCTCAGCTGCCTTTCAGCACCAGCAACAGCAGCAGATGCTGCTGCGACAGCAGTGGAGTGGGCAGGCGGGTGGGCAAGAGAGTGGAGCAGCTAATGCAGAGCCCTCTGTGCATGTGTGGAGGCCAAGGGAAGTCGCGAGCTGGTTCCAGCAGCTGGGACAGTCAGGCGTACTTGCGAAACTTGCTGGAGACATGGGTGGGGAGGGCGGGGAGGCGGAAAAGTCGACAGCAGCACCGGCTGCAGGAGGGGGAGCAGGAGTGGAAAATCAAGGGTTTGAACGGGGAGGAGGAATGCTGTTGCTTGCAGAGCCTGCAACTGCCAATGCAAGCAGACATGACGTCCAGAGGGAGCATCAGCAGGAGAAGCCTCAGTCCGACCTCAAAAGGCATGATCAGCATGTGGATGCAAGCAACCCCCCCGCATTGCAGGAGCCGCAGCCGCAGCAGAATGAGGCGCGAGATGGGACTCATCAACTGGGCCATCAGGCTTCCATTCTGGGCTTGCAGCAGTCTCGCAGGCCAGATGCAATCTTGGAAGCCCTCACATCAGGGTCACAGTCGTGGGTGGGTCAGGCAGGGCGCTGGGTTGACGAGCATCAAATGCAGTGGAGGATGCAGAAGGCAGGGGAAAATGCAGCCATGGGTGTGGGAATGGCTCAGGCGGAGCAGCAAGATGCTACACATGCGGATAATCTGGCTGAGGCGGAGATTCTTCGAGCATTGCACGCAGAGATGGAGGTGGGTGCTCTTTTCGTCGTCTTCTTTCATTTGTTCGTTGTCTTGGTATACCATATTTCCGTGTATTCATGCCACTCGGTTCTAATGTGTTGCAGTCGTTGAGCGTTCTAATGGATTCTTCATCAGCACCGACCAGTTGATCACGAGACGTCGGATTGGTTGCGTGAAGTGTCGTCAGATACGTGTACCATAGTTTTGGTGAATGTTGCTTGCTTTGAAGAATTGAAAGTACCCAAATCTGTGTACATATGCCGAAGATCGTTGCTGAGTTTTGCTGGCCTCCTAATCCAACACCTGATTCCTTTCATAAAGCAGCCCTCTGGACCATTACGGTGATTTGAACCATTTTGTAGGACAATGTACAGTTCATGACTATATGACAATACTGAACACTCGGAATTATCACGCCTCACATTCTGACACACGAACATCTATTCTTCCCGCGCGAATTGCTTAGACCTGAACCTATTGCATCCTCCGAAGAGCTCCCTCGATTTCAGACCTCTGAATTCCTAGGGATTTCCTTGTTTTCGTCGCACTTGCTAATTCAGTACCAGCTTGCCCATTTCCAGTGGTTCTTCTTGCGGCATCGCGTCCCCTTAGCTTGTTGATCACAGATTCATGGCTCCTCCCCTGACGTCGTGCCGATAACGTTAGGTTTAGCCCTGTTGCGTACTCGGAGGAGCTTCTAGCAGCATCTTGCGAGTGACGGTGGTTAGGGTAGTTATTAGGATCGAAAACTAGGGTTATATTGAGGTTATGGACTTCTTTAAAGCGGTATTGTTTCAGGACGATGAGGAGGAAGAGACAACTTCTGAGACAGAAGGCGTTGAAGGTGACAAAAACGAAGGCAAAGGCGACAAGCCCTCAGAGGGAACTGCTGAAGAGGTGTGTAGATTCTTTCTTAGTTTCCGATTTTCGATATGCTAGCACATTAAGGCTGAGACGTTGGTACTTCTTAGCACAGTCGAAAAACGCATCAACCATATTAAGTTTCGCCCATATTTTCACGTTTCAGGGCGAGATTGAAGAAGAGGAAGAGACAGAGGCAGAGCAGCCTTCAGCCTTGTGAGTACCCATCTAACTTGTTTGGTCCGAGCGGGACGCTCCTACGGAAAAGCACTTAGTAGCACAGCTTTGTCACCATTGTCTTTTTTCCTTCGTGTGCAATGTTAGTTTGCTGCGTATTTGACGCGTGCCGTCCCCACATGTGATGTCATCCACTCAACAGCGGTGCCTGGAATCTCGGCAGTCTGCTACAAACAATCGCCACCAAAGTAAGCCATCCTTTACTGCTTTGTCTAACTTGAGATTTTCCTGCCTTCCGTTCTCATCCCGTCGTTTGACCTTCGCTCACCTGAGGGAGATTCGTCTACATGCATGATTGCTCCTCGTCATGGCTGCGTTTGCTGTCTTTCTGCTCGTCCTTCCAAACCGTGACTCTGCAACCCGTGACTACTCTGACTGCTGTGCCTGCTGTGCCTGCTGTGCCTACCATGCCTATCATGCCTACCATGCCTGCCATGCCTGCCATGCCTGCCATGCCTACCATGCCTGCCATGCCTACCATGCCTGCCATGCCTGCCATGCCTGCCATGCCTACCATGCCTGCCATGCCTATCATGCCTCCTATGCCTGCTGTGCCTGCTGTCATGCCTGCTGTGCATGAGAGCAGTCAGAGGAGGTGCTGCGCGAGTACAAGCAGGAGCTGCAGGAGTTCGGCGAGGGGCTCAAGAAGGAGACGGAGGAGCTCGTGGAAACCACCGCCTCCACCGTTAGCGACCTGCCTTCCTCGCTCGAGTCCGGCGCCCAAGCGGCTCAGGTGAGAGCTGTGGATCCAAGGCTGCCCTTGTGGTATCTCCTCTGCGACTTGACATGTACACATCTTCTGAGCACTACCAGCTGCATCACTTCCTCCCTCCTCCGTCCTGCCTTCCTTCCCTCCCTCCCTCCCTCCCTCCCTCCTTCCTCCCTCCCTCAGCTTCCTCCTTCCCTCCCTCCCTCCCTTCCTCCCTTCCTCAATCCCTCCCTCCCCCGCTCCCTCCCTCCTCCCTTCCTCCGTGCCTCCCCCCCAACCCTCTCTCCCTCCCTCCCTCCCTCCTTCCCTCCATCCCTCCCTCGCAATCCCACTTCTTTCCTTTCTCCGTTCCTCCCTTTCCTAAACCCTCCTCCCCTCTTCCGGTTTTCATTCCTCATTTTCTCCCTACCTCCCCTCGTCACCCCCGTCCCCATCCCCTCCATCCATTGCGTGCCCTGAAGAGTTCACTGGAGGGTGTAGGCCACACAATTGAGGAGTTCGGCTCTTCTCTATGGAAAGGGTGAGTTTGCCACGTCAAAATGCAAAGGGGTAGACAGCTCCATGCACTCTATATCAGGCGCTCTGAATTCGTCTGAAAGGCGGTATACGGCAGTTGTGAAATAAAACCTGAATTTGCCCTCTTTGGCTTGTACAATCTAGTCAACCTCTACCCTGTTCCCTCTCCCTCCCCAATCTTCTCCACCCTCCCTCTTTTCTCTCCACCATCCCTCTCGTCCACTGCCTCCTCCGTCTCAACTTCTCCCCACCGCATCCCTTGCACCTCCCCCCTCTTGCTGGAATGAATCCCTCCCCTCGCCCTTCTCTCCTGGTGGGCGGGCGGCAGCACATCTGAGATCCTGGCGTCAGTGAAGGAGGCAGTGGCGATGGTGGAGGAGGAGGTGGCTGCCAATGCTACTGGCGCCCGCCCCCGAGCGCCCTCCGCTGCTGCTGGGCTCGCCTCCGCCATCCCCAGAGGGTGAGAGCACGGGGGGAAGGGAAATGTGGGGAAGAATGGGAGAGGGAGGTAGGGGGGGGGAGGGGGGAGGGTTAGGGGGCGGGGGGTTTGATGTGAGGGGGGTGGGATTTAGGAAGGGAGTGAGGTAGAGGGGGAGAAGTCTACGTGAAAGTAGGAACGTGCTTGTTGGAATGACTACCTTGATGGGCGCAGCGCTCCCTTGTTTTTCTGCTTTGTGCCTGCAGGCTGCATTAGCCCTCAGACTTGTATTCACATTATGTCACCTCTCCTCACTCTACCACCTTGCCCGTGTGCATTGGAATTGGTCCTCTTCCTTCCGTTGCGTTCTGTATGGCCAATGGAAGCAGCAAGTACAGCCGCTATGAAGCACTGGTGAGCGCTCAGATGCCCCCCCACTCTCATGGCTCGGACTTATGCATTCCCGCCTGCCCTTGCTAACCATACTCTGTGCCGCTGCTCACTGGTCGCACATCGTCGTCTTGTTCAGTCATCTTCCTCTCCCTCTTCCTCTCCTTGAACTCGCTCACTCTTTTCAACCGCCCACCCCTCTTCACCCCTCATCATCCCTCTGTGCCGTGTGTGCAGGTGAGCGCCATGCAGAGGGACAGCAGCACGTACTGTGACGAGCCAGAGGACACGGAGGACTTTGCCAAATGGGTTGAATCTTTCGACCTCAAAAACAGGTGCGCATTCACTCACCCACCCACCCAGCTACCCCTTCATAAATTGACTTTTTCTCTTTCTGCTCTGCTTCATCTCACCGTTGCTCTTTCGGGTCTCCATGCCCTCAAGGGCGATGAGCCGTTGAAACAAAGGCATGCATGACATTGCAAGTCTTTTGTGCCTTGTGTGGTTCTGACGTTTCTGCTGAATGTTCCACGTGTGTGTGTGTGTGCGGTGCAACAGGGAGGCGGACGTGGAGGCAGTGCTCAAGGACAACGCATTCATGCAGGAGCTGCAGTCGCGCATTGGTGAGTCGTGAGGAGCTGCAGTCGCGCATTGGTGAGTCGTGAGGAGCTGCAGTCGCGCATTGGTGAGTCGTGAGGAGCTGCAGTCGCGCATTGGTGAGTCGTGAGGAGCTGCAGTCGCGCATTGGTGAGTCGTGAGGAGCTGCAGTCGCGCATTGGTGAGTCGTGAGGAGCTGCAGTCGCGCATTGGTGAGTCGTGAGGAGCTGCAGTCGCGCATTGGTGAGTCGTGAGGAGCTGCAGTCGCGCATTGGTGAGTCGTGAGGAGCTGCAGTCGCGCATTGGTGAGTCGTGAGGAGCTGCAGTCGCGCATTGGTGAGTCGTGAGGAGCTGCAGTCACGCATTGGTGAGTCGTGAGGAGCTGCAGTCACGCATTGGTGAGTCGTGAGGAGCTGCAGTCACGCATTGGTGAGTCGTGAGGAGCTGCAGTCACGCATTGGTGAGTCGTGAGGAGCTGCAGTCGCGCATTGGTGAGTCGTGAGGAGCTGCAGTCGCGCATTGGTGAGTCGTGAGGAGCTGCAGTCACGCATTGGTGAGTCGTGAGGAGCTGCAGTCACGCATTGGTGAGTCGTGAGGAGCTGCAGTCGCGCATTGGTGAGTCGTGAGGAGCTGCAGTCGCGCATTGGTGAGTCGTGAGGAGCTGCAGTCACGCATTGGTGAGTCGTGAGGAGCTGCAGTCACGCATTGGTGAGTCGTGAGGAGCTGCAGTCACGCATTGGTGAGTCGTGAGGAGCTGCAGTCACGCATTGGTGAGTCGTGAGGAGCCGCAGTCACGCATTGGTGAGTCGTGAGGATCTGCAGTCACGCATTGGTGAGTCGTGAGGAGCTGCAGTCACGCATTGGTGAGTCGTGAGGAGCTGCAGTCACGCATTGGTGAGTCGTGAGGAGCTGCAGTCACGCATTGGTGAGTCGTGAGGATCTGCAGTCACGCATTGGTGAGTCGTGAGGAGCTGCAGTCAGGCATCGGTGAGTCGTGAGGAGCTTCAGTTCCGCATTGGGGAGTCGTGACATTCACTCATTTGTTCATCATGTGGCATCTATTGTGCCAGTAATCTCCCTCTCCCTGCGTCAAATTCCCACTCCCCCTGCTCCCCCTGTGCATCGCAGTGCCATTGATCGTGGAGCGTGAGACCTTCTGGACGCGCTACTTCTACCGCCTCTACCGCCTGCAACAGGCAGAGGACGCCCGTGCCGACCTCGTCAAGAGTGAGCCTCCTGGCTGCCTCAGCTCGCTCCACGCTTCCAGCACCCCATGTTAGAACTCGTCATCTGGCATGGCATACGCTCTGTCATGCTTCTTCCGGTGACTCAAGATGCAGGTTGCTCACATATGCTCACTGTCTTGCTCTCCTGCCCCCGCGTGGCTGCAGGGGCGACGACATCGGAGGAGGAGGACCTGAGCTGGGATGTGGATGACGATGCAGACGATGCTCAGAGCAGCCCTGCTGCTGCGCACCATGGCGGCACGGGTAAAAGTGATGCTGCTGCTGCCGATGCAGATGCTGCTGCTGGAGTTTCTGCAGCTGATGATGCTGGTGCTTCTGCTGCTGATGCTCCTGCTGATGGCAGTGGCTCCTCTCCTTCTGTGAAGCCCGAGGAGGCAGTTGTGAAAGGCAATGCGGAAAAAGAAGCTGCTGCTGGTGAGGATGTTTATGCTGGTGCTGGAAGGAGATCAGCTACTGGCGATGATGGTTCGGAAGTTGATAGGCATTTGATACCGCTCAAATAGCAAGTTTCCTGCGATCTTGCATATCCTGACCTGCCTAAGGCAATTGGGATAACCGTGTCCTGCTTGGTTGCAAGTGTGCAGGGACAGCGAGTGAGGCAAAGGGGAGTGGGGAAGAAAAAGATGCAGGAGAAGGGGAGGTCGAGAAGGAGAGGGACGCATCAAGTCAAGCAGCAACATCACCGCAACCAGGTGACTCCAAAACATTCCCTGTTGTCTGGCACACCCACTACCTAGCTAGGTAAAGCGGCATATTATCGTACAGTAGCTGTGCAAGGTTGAGCGTGGTGCTAACCATGGTGTTGGCGTGGTGCTACTCATACAATGACTTGTAAGGTCTCATTCTATTTCTTCACTGGTCATCGCCTCGTGTATGCACGCGTCTGTTAGGGAATGTGCATCTCTCGGAAGTGAAGGTGCCCCGCTTGGAGGATGCTGGCCTGGAGGACACTGCACTGCCCTTCTCCGACATCCAGGTCGGTGTCTCAAGCCTCGTTGGGCTGGCTCAGTTGCTTGTTTCCCGCGGGTGCATGGCGACCAGTAAGTGTGTGCCTGCGGCTGATCGTGGTGTTTAATTGCTGCCTGGTGGTTGCGTCGGTGCTGTATGTATGCATGTGCTACGTGGGGTCGACCACAATGCGGACAACAACGCATGCGATGGGATGAATGTGCAGGCTGCGTTTGAGATTGCAGCCAGAGCGAGGCCAAGGGGTGAGCATGGAGAAGCGGGTCCTCCTTTTCCACGTAGCTTCCCTCCAGTTGCCATTTGCTGGTTGCATTCCACAGGGTACACAGTGGGACTGGATGGCTTGTCTGTCCCTTTCTGACATCTCCTCGTTTCCTTGTCTGCATCCCCCACAGAACCTAGTAACCGTAGCAGCAGCAGTGACAGCTCGGCGGGCAGCGAGTGGCAAGTGGTGTCTAAAGATGACGCTTCTAAGGAGGACGGATTGAAGGCGTCACAATCCTCTGCTCCTGCTCCTACTACAGTAGCTGATGCGGTTGCTGCCACTTCTGCTTCGGATGTGTCAGAACCTGCAGCTCTGGGCTCCCAGCCTGCTGCCGAGCCTACAACTGCCAGTGCCTCAGATATAACAAGCCCGGAGGGCAAAGGGGGGAAGGAAGAAAAAGACGAGAAGGAGTTCGAGGCGGAGGAGAGGGGAGGGAAGGGCAAGAAGGAAGGTGGAGATGGCGAGGAGGACGAGGTGAGTCATGGATGCGCACAGGGAAAGAGAGGAGAGAGAGGGAGGGTGGGGTGAGGGGAGAGAGATGGGGGGAGGCTGATAACGAGCATGATGGATGCATTGTGTAATCGTTGGAGTTATCTTTCGATAGGTAAGCATTGGTTGCTCATGATTTGCCTGGCGATGCCATGCATGAGTTTAAAATCTTATGTGTTACCTCCGATGATCCGATTGCTTGCAGGACTGGGGTGAATGGGAGTGAGGAGTGCAACGAATCAAGGATTTGTATGAATACCCAATGCTAGCGTGTATCCGGTCAATTAGGATGCCAGCTCTTCGATTACCACTCGATCTTGCTATAATTTGACCCTCTTGGAATTCTTAGAAACTGGGTACGCTAATTTTATGAGCTATGCACGGTACTACTCAAGTTTCGATTTCCCTGGTTCGGGCAAAGCTTCTATCGAAGAAGTTTGGGTGATTGCTTGTGATGTGACACGTCCCTAAATTCTCTACCAATCCAGTGCTCCAAGATTGTGGACGGTTGTGCCTCCCACTTGTGGGAAGAGGTCCTGCCAGATTCGTCGCGAGGTGCGCCTGAAGCCAAAAAGCGTTGTTTATCCGATCTCACGGATTTGCAAGATAAGCTGCCAATTTTGTCTTTTCGAAGTCCGTGGCGCAGCCTCGACCAAGCACGCGTTTTCGAGGGGAATCCTAGGAAGTTTCGAATCGACGTGACACGTTGTTTGCGGCTGGCTGAGTTCGTTGACAGCATCCTCTCTTCAAGTGGTTGGTTGGATGAGATCAGGGTGGACCACATGACCCACTTCAGCTTGGATGTATCCGTTGTCTTGTGCAAGAATTTCTTTGTGGGCAGAGGGCACCAATAACGAGAATGCCGTTGTTGGAAGATGATATTGTGTTTTTTTCATGTTGAATATACTTCAACCTTCATATTAGTTGTCACTGTAAAAGGAAAGATTTATTCGACGGTCCGTGCACATCCTATTTATCATATATCCTTCACCGACCCAACCTGATGACGTCACCTCCGACGGTTCTGTACAGGATTGGATCGCATGTTGACCCGGTGACATGGGCCTGCGTGAGTCCCGTGGTTGACATCTGTCATTGCGCTCGATGCCTCTCATGCGAGCCGCGATGCAAATGTCCGTTTCAAACCAGCGACACTGGTCAGCGGAACATCTCATCCGCTAGATACACCCTCATTCTCGATAGACTGGCATATGTTATGCTGACCGAGATGCTTTGTGTGTTCACAGCGGGCCAAAGTTGGTCCTATCACATGCGTTATAGTGACAATTTGACCCAAGGCGTTGAGTCAAGGTTTTATACATTCTGAAATGTTACTGCTGTTTTCAAAGAGGTTAAGACGGGTATTCAGCGTTAACGGTTTTTTGTTTGCCCAAGTCCTGCTTCCTCGCCTCGTGCGACTTTGCCCGCAACCAAGTTATCTCACCAGCCCGCTACGTCCAAACACTGTAGCCAGTGCTTCCGCTGGTGAGATAGGTGAGAACGAGGGTGTACACATTCGCCGCTTGGCTCCCTTCGCTTTTTGCGCCGACACCGCACCATCGCGGAGCTATCACCTTCCATCTCCACCCTCGTGCGCAACCACCGCTAGTTGGAGTTTGCGGGCCAATCACGCGTGCTCTCACCTTTTCGTTGTGGTGTCAGCAACTTTCGCGCCGACTTGTTGGAGATGACCCTCTGAGGTGGGGTTGGCCCAGCCAACCCCTGTCAAAACATGTCCGTGACCCTCGTCACCTCTTCCAGACTTTGCACCCACTCAACGCACACAACATCGATACGCACCAACATCCGCCTGCAACCCGGTTCATTCGAACCGTTACACCCTGGTTCTCCCCAACGCCTCGGACTTACCCCGGAATTTTTCTCCATCTTCCCCTTCTCGAACAACCCACCCAGGCCCCCACGCGGTCCAGCCCCAAGCCCTCTACTCCTCTTCCCCAGCCTTTTCTCCCCACCTTTCTCGATCCTTCCCCTCCCCCCACCTGCTCCCCTTCCGCCATCCGCTCATCAGCCTCCATCTCCGAGACCCCTATCTCCCTCGCAGGAACAACTCTCGGAGCTGCTATAACAAACCTGCTCCCATCCCATTTCCTCACCTCATCTTTTTTTGAGAGCGGTTTCCGCTCTTTTCTCCAGCTCTCTCGTAGCTCACCGTCTCGCGCGTTACTACCTTATAACTTAGCTGAATTTTGCCGCAAGGGCCGTCGCTTTTACCATGGCTGATGCGCGTCAAGTAGGATCGCTCTGGACTCCGGAGGTAGGTTTCATGATTTTTCACATTTTCTTATCACAGATCTCCTCGTCGACGCCACTTCGTGCTCGTTCCGCAACCCAACTCACTATTTTGTCGCGAACCTGCACTCCGATTTTTGCATCCATGCAGGAAGATGTAATTCTTCTGCAGCACGTGGCTCGCTACGGCACCAAGCATTGGGGCTCTCTTCAGTCCAGCTCAACTTTACCTCACCGCGATCAGAAGGCGTGTTGTAACAGATTCATCCTTCTGAAGAGGTAACCAATTTTCTGAACTTACGAAACTCTCCGATCCCTTCATTCCGCGAGCTTAGACATAACATCTTCTCGCTTCGTATTTCCCCGTCGTCCCGCAGGAAGTTCTTTCAGGCTCGAGCTAAGGGTCAGAATCTGCAGACCATCTTTCCCTACATCAATGTCAACTCTCAGCCTCAAAGCCCCTCGGCGGCGGTGGCCTCGTCGATGCTTCACGCTCCCGCGTCGCCCTCTTCCACGGAAGTCGCGCTCCGCGTGAACGTTTCGTCCCGCGTCATCTCCAAGCGCGCCGCACCGCCTTCTCTTTCAAAGCCCGCTATCCTTCAGTCCGCTCTCGCCACGTACGTTAAGCTCCCTTTACTTTCTTCCTTCGTCCCAGACTTTGTGAACGGTCTTCACATTCAGTTTGCCTCTTCCGCTCATGTTCTGATCGAGGCTTGTCACACGTGTTCTGGTGGTCTCTTCCGCAGTGTTCAAGATCAAGCTGCAAACGGCAGCGGTTCCGTGTGGATGCCGAACCTTGTCGACGCGCAGCGCTCTCCCGCTGTTTCAGATCCCTCGTCTCCTCTCAGCGCGGCTCACGGCGCGTTATCCTTGCAGCAGCAGCAGCAGAAGCAGCAGCAGCAACAGCTGCAGCAGCTGCTCGTCACGATCGGCCAATCAGCGAACGCCGTGAGCCAAGCCGCGATGCAGTTCGTCAACGCTACGTCTTCCGTCAACTCTACTTCGTAAGCACAAATCTCAATAGCCTTTCGTCCCTCTTCCTTTCTGTGCCGTCACTCACTCGTTCCTTACCAATTTGTTCAATTGCCTCTCGTGTCGCAGATTTCCCGCCACTCAGGTCAACCAGCAGCAGCCGCAGTCCGCGACTTCCGCCGAGGGTCAGCAGAGCGCAGCGGACGCGGTCGTGAACATGATTCTGAGCAAACTTGCCGGCGACGCGTCTGGCTTCGCGAAGCATCCCGTCGCCAGCGCAGCGGCCGCAAGCCCCGCCTCGTCCAAATCGGACGTCTCCGTCGAGCCCGCCTCCGCGCATGCTCCCTCCGCTCCCCTGCTCGACGCCTCGTCCCGCCCCTCGTCCGCCGCCCCTCGCCGCCCGTCTCTCCTCTCCGCGTCGCAGCGCGGGCCGTCGCCCGTCGTGCCGTCGTCCGCGGCGTCCGCGGGCTCGTTCCCCGCGGACTCCGCCGGGAGTCTGCAGCAGGTGGTACCGGGGTCGGAGGGCGAGACGGAGAGCGACGACGACATGCTGCTCGCGTACCTGTACGCGCAGGGCCACGCGCAAGCTACCGCGCCGGAGATTCAACAGAAGGAGATAAGTGCGGATGGCGCTGCGGTGGAGGTTGAGAAACAGGAGGAGCAGCGGGTGCAGCAGGCAGCGAGGCAGGAGGAGGCAAAGCAGGAGGAGGCGATGGCAACAGACGCGGCGGACATGGCGCTGCTGATGCAGCTGCACGAGGAGGTGATGGTCCTCGAGAAACTCGTCGCTGCTGGCCCGTCCGCTGCGTCCGCTGCTGCTGCCGCGCCCAGCGCCACCCCCGCCGTGGCTCCTGCGTCGGCCTTGGCGCCTCTCCCGCCGCGCGTGGCGAACGCCTCGTTTTCCGGTGCAGCTGCGTCAGGCGCAGCTGTTCCGCTTCCCAGGAGCGCGTCCCAGCGCCCTGACGCGTTTCTGGAGCAGGTGTCGAGTGCACCTGGGCGCATGTTGTTTGGGTTCAGCCCTGTGTACGACCTCATGGCTCCTGGCGCTTCCTGGGACGCCCAGGCTGCTGCTGGTGATGCGGCTGGATGGGATCTGAAGGACATGGTTGATGTGTCTGCGTTCAACCTGGGTGCTTCTGCCGCCTTCCTGGCGTGACATGTGTACAGATTCACACTCGTGCGCACGCGTTACAATGATTGCAGTGGTGCTGTGGTGATGCTGATGCTCAGAGGCACCATGCCGTTTGCTCTGCTGGAGCGTTCTTTGCAGGGGCGTCTGCTCTTGTTCTTCCTTTCTTCTCTCTTCGCTTTTGTTTTTCCTGACCTGTGTCAGCTCCAGTGTCTCACCTTTTTTGCCAGGGATGGCTGGCAGCACTAGCAGGAGGGCGGCAGGTGCTGCGGTGCAGCTTGCTCTGACGGCTTCTGGCCGTTTTTTTGCCGCAGTGGGCGAAGGCCCGCTGTGCGCATGCTGTTGCTGCTCCGTGCCCTGCCTGTCCCTGCTGCTTGTGTCTGTTAGCTCTTTCCCAGGCTCCTAGGAAGACACTGAGGCACTTGTCTAGTTTGGTATGCTGTACCCGTATCATGTATCATGACCCTGTTGCGACTAATATTTTTTTAATCCATGCTTTGGGAGTACGACACAGAGACATGAACAAGTAGAATGCCACTCGAGGTATCTGGTGTTTTGTTAGCCATTTGAGACGGGAGGGTTGAGAATCTGATGATTCACCGACGCATCGACTAGTCCACGCCGCTTGACGTCTCATAATTGCCACAGCAGCACCCGTGATGTCAAGTCCTCACGCATTCTCCAGCCCTTGACCTGCGACGTTACGCTTCGCTGCTGTCGTCGTAAGTAACTCCCGTTTCCGAGTCCTCTTCGGTCGTTGCGCTCTCCGCCCATCCGTGCGCCTCCACATGACGCCATGGCTTCAGTGTCTCTATCCTCGCGCCGCATCTCGCCATTCGCCGTCTGTGCCTCCACCGCATTCCACCACTATGTCCGTTGCTGTCGTCAGATAGACTTTCCTAGTCGAGTCGCGATTCGCAAACACAAAGGCACGCGTCACCAATTCGGAGAATCCAGCAGTGCCAGTCCGAGCAAACTAGGTCCGTGCCTTCGCGCGTCCTGGCCGCAGTCGGTGGAATACCAGAAATCGATCCGACAGTTTTCCCCGTCTCCGTCATCGTCTGTTCCCTCCGTGATCATGCCATCGCCGTTATCACCTCATATGCGATCTACCGCACTGGTAGAATATCACCCGACAGGTCCGCTCAGACAAATACGTTGCAAATCGCAGAGCCGATTGCCTGCTCTCTTCGTAGGTCGTAGCACACGTGGATCTTATATGGCTGACGTCAGCGCGAGATTCTCTGAGCGGCGTTACTCCCGTTGCGCTGCTTCCGCCACCACCTGCGCTGGCGCTGATCTGCCGAGAGCCAGTGCTGAAGCGGCGGACGTGGCGACGGCCGGTACTGACGTGTCGGAACATGGCGGTGACGTGGCGAGCGCAGGGAGCACGAGGGAGGCGGCGGTGGCAGCGGGGCGCGGCAAGGGGCTGGTGGCGTTCTACGCGGACCACCACGTCGTGCCCCTCCCCGCCGGCCACCGCTTCCCCATGGATAAGTGCGCTCCGCGCCACGATACGCCAGGGAATGGCGTAGAACGTGTTGGGAAAGACGTGCTTATAGAGAGAGTGATCGGGGGAAGCGTGCGAGAGAGAGGGGAGAGAATGTGGCGTGCGGTCAGAGGTCCGCCATGCGTGGTGGTTACTCCATTGGATGCCCTCACGCCCATCCCTGACTGCCATCCACCCATCCCTGTGTGATGTATGCGTGTGCTGCACCTGATTGTGCCTGGTTGTGTGATTGGCAGATACCGCACCACTCGCCTTCTCCTGCAGTCAGATGCATCTCTGGATCGCATCCTGGCCGTCCATCCCGCACCCCTTGTCTCATGGGAGGAGCTTCAGCAGGTGCATGAGGAGGGGTAGGTGTGTGGGAGGGGTGAGTGATTGGAGGGAGGCACGGGGTGGGTCATGCGCAGGGAGGAGAAGGTGGGCGTGCAATACTGTTTGCACGTGGCTTGCCAGTGTCCCCTATGGTTTCAACCTTCCACGCTTTCTCCCCCTCTTATCTGTCTAACCCGCCTCTCCTTCCCCACTTCCTCTACCCCCCCAATCCCCTCTCCTCCCCAGCTACCTGACGCGGCTCTTCTCACACGCCCTATCAGAGCAGGAGCAGCGGGTGCTGGGCTTCCCATGGTCGCCGCACCTGCTGCTGCGCTCCCAGGCCTCCTGCGGGTATGCAGGGGCTGCCCGGGGGAGTGTGGGTGCTGCCTGATGCCCACTGCTAGTCTGTGCTCGCATCCCTGCTTCCATTCCTCTGCCTTCGCACATGCTAGTCTGTGCTCGCATCCCTGCTTACATTCCTCTGCCTTCGCACATGCTAGTCTGTGCTCGCATCCCTGCTTCCATTCCTCTGCCTTCGCACATGCTAGTCTGTGCTCGAATCCCTGCTCCCATTCCTCTGCCTTCGCACATGCTAGTCTGTGCTCGCATCCCTGCTTCCATTCCTCTGCCTTCGCACATGCTAGTCTGTGCTCGCATCCCTGCTTCCATTCCTCTGCCTTCGCACATGCTAGTCTGTGCTCGCATCCCTGCTTCCATTCCTCTGCCTTCGCACATGCTAGTCTGTGCTCGCATCCCTGCTTCCATTCCTCTGCCTTCGCACATGCTAGTCTGTGCTCGCATCCCTGCTTCCATTCCTCTGCCTTCGCACATGCTAGTCTGTGCTCGCATCGCATCCAGTGAACCGCTGCCGACCCGTCAACTCCTTACTCCCCTGCCCTTTGCCCCCAACTCTCCCCATGTTCTTCCTGGCCAGTGGCACTGTAGCAGCCACCCACGCGGTGCTGATGGGGCTCAGGCGGGCGGCAGGGGTGCTGGCGGGCGGCACACACCATGCGTTCCGGGGGCACGGGGAGGGCTTCTGTGAGTGAGTGGGGGCACGGGGGGGGAGATTCTAAAGAGGGGATATTGGGAGGATGGTTGTGGTGAGGGGATTATGGAAGCGGGTCGGTGTGTGCTGGTGGGAGGAAGGGGAAATGGGGGTGCTGTGAGGGTATCAATGACACAACTCCTTCACTGTCTCACCTTCATCTTCCCTTTTCCCCGCCCTCGTTTCTTCTCTCTCCTCTCTCTATACCTTTCCCTCGCCCTCTTTCCTCTCCCTCCCTCCTTTAAAAAAAAAAAAAAAGCATGAATCATTCTCCTTTCTTCTCTCCCTCCTCCTCCGTCCACTCTTCTCTCTATTCTCTCCCCCCCGTCCTCCCCATTCCCCCACCAGGTGTGTTCAACGACATAGCAGTGGCAGCCCTGGCAGCACTCACGCACCACCCCACCATCTGCAATGCCCATCGGCCCATCCTGGCCCTTGATCTCGACGTGCACCAGGTGCGCACCACCACCACCATGCACAGCCCTGTGGACTGCCAACCGACTCTCCTCCCTTCTCCATACCCCTCCCTTCCCCAGCCTCCACCCGCTCACACCCCTTTCCTCATCAATCCCTCAGCGCCTCTCGCAGTCATGTGCGCGTCCTGCTGCGGGCCGTGTGAGGCCGCTCAATCAACCGTTCTCGCCGGCCCCTCTTCCCCCCGCTGCCACGCCAACGGCACGGCGAGCATATTCGAGGGCGACCCGCGGGTGGTGACATTCTCGATGCACGGCGCCAACAACTACCCCTGGCGCTCCAAGCGCCGCTCTGACTATGATGTAGAGCTGCCTGATGACACGGGGGACGCTGCTTACCTTGCCCTGCTGCACGAGTGGCTGCCAAAGCTGTTTGACCAGCACCGGCCGAGCCTCGTAATTTTCCAGGTCAGGCAACAAGGTTGGAGGATGGGTGGGGAGTTGAGGTGGCTGGTTATGGTTCATGAAGCTGCTATGATATTTGTGGCAGCGGGCTTCACTGTGTTGGTGAATGTCTCTCTGTTATGCGTGTGCTTATACAGGCGGGGGTGGATGCTCTTAAAGAGGACAGTTTTGGCAGGCTTGCGATGACAAGGGCCGGCATGCTGAGGAGGAACAACATGGTGTACAGTGCTTGTATCGACAACGACGTTCCATTGGTCATCACCATGGGAGGCGGATATTCAAGACCTCCTGATGGTGAGAGTTTTCATTGCTTCAGGGAATGGTAGATCAGTGCTGATTGGATTGAATTGAATTTGTTTGCTTGACATTTGTTTCCTGATTTGTGTGCAGCTTCCATCGCAGCACATGCTGATGTGTATCGGTCAGCTGCTTATAGATTCTCTCATTTGTGAAGCCGAGTAAACAAATTAGACGTTATGCAAGGTTTGCTCAAACGCTAGTAGGCACTAGGTGAGTTCTTTGTAGTTGCATGGTAGGTAGTGTGATTCCATGTCAATCTTCTACTTGGTGGTGAACACTGTAACGCGTCTTGCTTGCACTGTTGGAGAGAACCGAGAACATTCGCCACGCGGGTGCCCTTCCTCGTCCCTTCTCGCTGCCCTCGAAGTTCCCCGCGAAGCGTCATTGCCTGGCGCACGGTGCCAAGAAGGGGACGGGACGGGATGGGATGGGACGGGAGGAGTGTGGAATTTGCGCCTCTCCCTCACCGCCTGCCTGTTGTCGGCCCTGCCCACACATTTGACTAGAACCACATTTCACAAATTCCGCACTCGTTTTTCCGCTTGCTCTGCTTGCCAGCTGCAATCCTCCGCGCTTCGTGCTTGCCTCTGCTCTCGCCTCTTACAACCTCGCTAAAATACCGCACTGCGCGCCGATGGCTGCTGCTCCGCCTCTCACGGCGAGTCCGGGCAAGGCGGCGTCACCGTGTGCGGAGGTCGCGCCAGCCATCCCAGGCATGACGCTGAGCCCGCACAAGCCGACCACCGCCGCCGCCGCCGCCGCGGAAGGACCGCTCTCCATCGTCATCTTCGGCGCGTCGGGCGACTTGGCGAAAAAGAAGACGTTCCCCGCGCTCTTCAACCTCTTCCAGCACGTACGCTCAAAAGAAGAAGAAGAAGAAGAAAAAAGCATGCGATTCGACGCGCCTTTCTCTCGTTTCCGCGCGCGTGACGGACTTTCCGCCGCGACTCTCCGGCTTCTGCTCGCCTCATGGTCTCCTCTCTCCTCTTCCCCGCGCGTCCCCCTTATCCCCACCTTCTTCCCCGGGTGGCGCAGGGCTTTCTCCCCGCGGGGGAGATCCGCATCTTCGGATACGCGCGCTCGCTGATGACGTCGGAGCAGCTGCGCGACAAAATCAAGGGGTGAGGGGGAGGGTCCGCGGAAAAGGGTTATGGTCATGGGAAGTGGGATGTGATGCTCTGAACCACCGGGAGGGTACTTGGTGCTATGCTGCCGCGGTGCGTCCTTACGTGCCACGCCCTGCCGGTCATGCGGTCACAATGCTGTATTTAAGAGTGTCTCTGCGCTGTGTCGCCTGCTTGCCCGCCCCTTCCCCCCCAGCTACTTGAAGCCTAAGGGCGACACGGCCCCTGGGAAGGACCCCGTCGCAGCTTTCCTCAACGTCGTGAGTGCCCCAAGCCCTGCACCGCACAGTGTCCCAAGCCCTGCACCGCACAGTGTCCCAAGCCCTGCACCGCACAGTGTCCCAAGCCCTGCACCGCACAGTGTCCCAAGCCCTGCACCGCACAGTGTCCCAAGCCCTGCACCGCACAGTGTCCCAAGCCCTGCACCGCACAGTGTCCCAAGCCCTGCACCGCACAGTGTCCCAAGCCCTGCACCGCACAGTGTCCCAAGCCCTGCACCGCACAGTGTCCCAAGCCCTGCACCGCACAGTGTCCCAAGCCCTGCACCGCACAGTGTCCCAAGCCCTGCACCGCCTTGCACCGCCCTGCACCGCGGAGTGCCCCAAGCCCTGCACCACGCCACGTTGCCTGCACCTCCCCTGTGATAGTCCTACTGCATCCCCCCACCTCCTTTCCCCCCTCCTTTCCCCCCTTCCATTAATCTTTCTCTTCCCCCACCCAAGCGTCTCCGCTCCTCCCCGCCCCTCTCTCCCCCCCAACCACGCCACTATGCCCTTAGGTGGACTACATCCATGGCCCCTACGACGGGCGCGACGGCTACGCCAAGCTGCAGGAGGCCATGCTCGCCTTCGAAAACACCACCGCTCCCACCGCCACCACCAGCGACACCACCACTGGTAGTACCAGCACCAGCAGCAGCGGCACCGCCAGCAGCAGCAGTGGTGGGCGGACGCGGCGGCTGTTCTACCTGGCGCTGCCGCCATCGGTGTACCCGCCGGTGTGTGCGGAGGTGCGGCGCTACTGCATGAACGCGCGTGATCGTGGAGAAGCCGTTTGGGCGCGACCTCGCGAGCGCGGAGGCGCTGAGCAGCGAGCTGGGGGCGCTGTTCCGCGAGGAGCAGATCTACCGTATCGACCACTACCTCGGCAAAGAAGTTGTTCAAAACCTGGTGCGCGCATAGGGGAAGGGGGAGGGGGGAAAGGGGGAAGGGGGGAGGGTTGTGGGGGGGCGAGCTGGGGGCGCTGTTCAGTGAGGAGCAGATCTACCGTATTAACCACTACCTGGGCAAGGAGGTCGTTCATAACCTGGTGCGTGCATAGGGGAAGGGGGAGGGGGGAAAGGGGGAAGGGGGGAGGGTTGTGGGGGGGCGAGCTGGGGGCGCTGTTCAGTGAGGAGCAGATCTACCGTGTTGACCACTACCTGGGCAAAGAGGTCGTTCAGAACCTGGTGCGTGCATAGGAGTGGGGTGGAGGGGAGGGGAGGGGGAGGGGGGGAAGGAGAGGGTTTGGGGGGTGGATGAGGTGGGGTAGATGGTTGGACGTGGAAGGGGAGAGAGTGCAGCATGTATTGTGTGCATGGAGCTGCCATGCGCTTTGCCGTGCATTGCTTCTTCCCTGGCTATACCTTGTGCTCGTCTCTGCCCTTCCCCCTTAAGCTCCCCCCTGCTCCCTCCGCCCGCTCCCCCTGGCCAGTTGGTGATGCGCTTTGCCAATCGCTTCTTCGTGCCGCTGTGGAACCGAGAAAATGTCGCCAACGTGCAGGTGGGTGGTGGGTGCATGCACGTGGCACATGGTATGCACAGTCAGCTGTGTCTCGTGCACTGATGATGTGACTCCTCATTTGCACCACTCCCTCCCCTCCCCTCTCCCCACCACTCGCCCTTACCTTCACCTTCCGTCCTTCCCCACACTCGTAACTTGCCTCACCACCTATCAATCCCCCATCCCCCTGTGTCTCCCCCTTGCCACGGCAGATAGTGTTCAGGGAGGACTTTGGCACGGAGGGCCGTGGAGGCTACTTCGACCAGTACGGGTGGGTGGCCGCCCCTCCTCCCTCCCCCTGCCCCTCCTCTGCCCTCTCACGTGGCTTCTCTCTCGCTGCCTCTTGCCACCTCGATTTCTTACATGGCCATCAGAGTAATGCGGTGCTTCTCACATGTGAATCCACGCATCTCTCTCCTCTTCCACTCGCTTGCTCCCCCCTCCCCCCTGGGCAGCATCATTCGGGACATCATTCAGAACCACCTCATGCAGGTGCACTGCCCCTCTTGCTCTCTCCATTTCTCACCTTCTTTACCTTGCCGATTCTCCCCTTGTCAACGTGCAAGCCATCCGCTATACGACCTCCTCTTTGCATGCACATTGCAATGCCACCCATGACCTGGACTCGTCCTTCCCCCCCTTCTCCTCCCAGGTGCTGTGTCTGGTGGCGATGGAGAAGCCAGTGTCAGTGCAGCCGGAGGACATTCGGGACGAGAAGGTGAAGGTGCTGCGCGCCATACAGCCCATCAGGGAGGACGAGGTGGTGCTGGGGCAGTACGAGGGGTACACTGATGACCCCACCGTGCCCAACGGCTCCCACACGCCCACCTTCGCCTCTTTGGTTCTGCGCATCAAGAATGAGCGCTGGGACGGTGGGTGTGGCTGCATGGTGTGGGATGGTGGGTGTGGCTGCATGGTGTGGGATGGTGGGTGTGGCTGCATGGTGTGGGATGGTGGGTGTGGCTGCATGGTGTGGGATGGTGGGTGTGGCTGCATGGTGTGGGATGGTGGGTGTGGCTGCATGGTGTGGGATGGTGGGTGTGGCTGCATGGTGTGGGATGGTGGGTGTGGCTGCATGGTGTGGGATGGTGGGTGTGGCTGCATGGTGTGGGATGGTGGGTGTGGCTGCATGGTGTGGGATGGTGGGTGTGGCTGCATGGTGTGGGATGGTGGGTGTGGCTGCATGGTGTGGGATGGTGGGTGTGGCTGCATGGTGTGGGATGGTGGGTGTGGCTGCATGGTGTGGGATGGTGGGTGTGGCTGCATGATGTGGGATGGTGGGTGTGGCTGCATGGTGTGGGATGGTGGGTGTGGCTGCATGGTGTGGGACGGTGGGTGTGGCTGCATGGTGTGGGATGGTGGGTGTGGCTGCATGGTGTGGGACGGTGGGTGTGGCTGCATGGTGTGGGACGGTGGGTGTGGCTGCATGGTGTGGGATGGTGGGTGTGGCTGCATGGTGTGGGATGGTGGGTGTGGCTGCATGGTGTGGGATGGTGGGTGTGGCTGCATGGTGTGGGATGGTGGGTGTGGCTGCATGGTGTGGGATGGTGGGTGTGGCTGCATGGTGTGGGATGGTGAGTGTGGCTGCATGGTGTGGGATGGTGGGTGTGGCTGCATGGTGTGGGATGGTGGGTGTGGCTGCATGGTGTGGGATGGTGAGTGTGGCTGCATGGTGTGGGATGGTGGGTGTGGCTGCATGGTGTGGGATGGTGAGTGTGGCTGCATGGTGTGGGATGGTGAGAGGGACTGTGTGGTGTGGGATGGTGAGTGTGGCTGCATGGTGTGGGATGGTGAGAGGGACTGTGTGGTGTGGGATGGTGGGTGTGGCTGCATGGTGTGGGATGGTGAGAGGGACTGTGTGGTGTGGGATGGTGAGTGTGGCTGCATGGTGTGGGATGGTGAGAGGGACTGTGTGGTGTGGGATGGTGAGTGTGGCTGCATGGTGTGGGATGGTGAGAGGGACTGTGTGGTGTGGGATGGTGGGTGTGGCTGCATGGTGTGGGATGGTGAGAGGGACTGTGTGGTGTGGTATGGTGAGTGTGGCTGCATGGTGTGGGATGGTGAGAGGGACTGTGTGGTGTGGGATGGTGAGTGTGGCTGCATGGTGTGGGATGGTGAGAGGGACTGTGTGGTGTGGGATGGTGAGAGGGACTGTGTGGTGTGGGATGGTGAGTGTGGCTGCATGGTGTGGGATGGTGAGAGGGACTGTGTGGTGTGGGATGGTGAGTGTGGCTGCATGGTGTGGGATGGTGAGAGGGACTGTGTGGTGTGGGATGGTGAGTGTGGCTGCATGGTGTGGGATGGTGAGAGGGACTGTGTGGTGTGGGATGGTGAGTGTGGCTGCATGGTGTGGGATGGTGAGAGGGACTGTGTGGTGTGGGATGGTGGGTGTGGCTGCATGGTGTGGGATGGTGAGAGGGACTGTGTGGTGTGGTATGGTGAGTGTGGCTGCATGGTGTGGGATGGTGAGAGGGACTGTGTGGTGTGGGATGGTGAGTGTGGCTGCATGGTGTGGGATGGTGAGAGGGACTGTGTGGTGTGGGATGGTGAGAGGGACTGTGTGGTGTGGGATGGTGAGTGTGGCTGCATGGTGTGGGATGGTGAGAGGGACTGTGTGGTGTGGGATGGTGAGTGTGGCTGCATGGTGTGGGATGGTGAGAGGGACTGTGTGGTGTGGGATGGTGAGTGTGGCTGCATGGTGTGGGATGGTGAGAGGGACTGTGTGGTGTGGGATGGTGAGAGGGACTGTGTGGTGTGGGATGGTGAGAGGGACTGTGTGGTGTGCTTTCATGGGTGGCTGTGTGCTAAGCACTGTGGTACAGGTGACTTGCACCACCTTGCAAGCTGGCAAGTGCAGTGGGAGTGAAAGCCATGGCTGCCACCCATCGATATTCCCTGCACCCTGTATGAACGGGCCTGGTCCCATGGCCACATGTGACCCACACAGTGTCCATCACTGCCTTCCCCTCATTGTGTCAACTGGCGGTGTGCAGGGGTGCCGTTCATAATGAAGGCGGGCAAAGCATTGGAGTCACGCAAGGCGGAGATCCGAGTGCAGTTCCATGACGTGCCGGGTGACATCTTTGGCTGTGAGCTCATTCGCACCACCCCCATTCACATACTGTGCACACACTTCACTCTCGTGCGGCTCTTCGTCTTCTTGCCCTTGCTCCATCTCTCCGGCAGTCGTCTGCTCGTAATTGTCACATTTTTGCTCCTCGCTGCTTCCTTTCTTCTCACTTTTCTCCCTTGCAACGGTGGTGTTGCAGGTGGGCGGAACTCGCGGGACGAGTTTGTGATGCGCCTGCAGCCATCGGAAGCCATGTACATGAAGCTCACGGTGAGAGATGAGGGGTGTGACAGAGGAGGGGTGTGAGAGAAGAGGGGTGTGAGAGAAGAGGGGTGTGAGAGAAGAGGGGTGTGAGAGAAGAGGGGTGTGAGAGAAGAGGGGTGTGAGAGAAGAGGCGTGTGAGAGAAGAGGGATGTGAGAGAGTAGGGATGTGAGAGAAGAGGGGTGTGAGAGAATTGGTTTTCACATGATGCGTATCGCTTGCCGCATATCCAAAGTTGATGGGACTGACAGCATGGTGCATTGCATGGTTCATGCTGCATGGTGCATGGTGCATGGCATGCTGCATGGTACATGGCTTGGTGCATGGTGCATGGCATGGGGCATGGGGCATGATGTACGGCATGGTGCATGGCATGGTGGCATGGTGGCAGGTGAAGAAGCCGGGGTTAGAGATGGCAGCGACGATGAGTGAGTTGGATCTGAGCTACAGCCAGCGCTATGCAGGGGTGGTCATCCCTGAAGCCTACGAGCGCCTCATCCTTGACAGGTCAGCAGAATAAGCGCCTCATCCTTGACAGGTCAGCAAAATAAGCGCCTCATCCTTGACAGGTCAGCAGAATATGGCCATGCTGCTGCCTGCACTCCTGCAGAATATGGCCATGCTGCTGCCTGCACTCCTGCAGAATATGGCCATGCTGCTGCCTGCACTCCTGCAGAATATGGCCATGCTGCTGCCTGCACTCCTGCAGGATATGGCCATGCTGCTGCCTGCACTCCTGCAGAATATGGCCATGCTGCTGCCTGCACTCCTGCAGAATATGGCCATGCTGCTGCCTGCACTCCTGCAGAATATGGCCATGCTGCTGCCTGCACTCCTGCAGAATATGGCCATGCTGCTGCCTGCACTCCTGCAGAATATGGCCATGCTGCTGCCTGCACTCCTGCAGAATATGGCCATGCTGCTGCCTGCACTCCTGCAGAATATGGCCATGCTGCTGCCTGCACTCCTGCAGAATGTGGCCATGCTGCTGCCTGCACTCCTGCAGAATGTGGCCATGCTGCTGCCTGCACTCCTGCAGAATATGGCCATGCTGCTGCCTGCACTCCTGCAGAATATGGCCATGCTGCTGCCTGCACTCCTGCAGAATATGGCCATGCTGCTGCCTGCACTCCTGCAGAATATGGCCATGCTGCTGCCTGCACTCCTGCAGAATATGGCCATGCTGCTGCCTGCACTCCTGCAGAATATGGCCATGCTGCTGCCTGCACTCCTGCAGAATATGGCCATGCTGCTGCCTGCACTCCTGCAGAATATGGCCATGCTGCTGCCTGCACTCCTGCAGAATATGGCCATGCTGCTGCCTGCACTCCTGCAGAATATGGCCATGCTGCTGCCTGCACTCCTGCAGAATATGGCCATGCTGCTGCCTGCACTCCTGCAGAATATGGCCATGCTGCTGCCTGCACTCCTGCAGAATATGGCCATGCTGCTGCCTGCACTCCTGCAGAATATGGCCATGCTGCTGCCTGCACTCCTGCAGAATATGGCCATGCTGCTGCCTGCACTCCTGCAGAATATGGTCATGCTGCTGCCTGCACTCCTGCGTTCTGTGTGCCTGCCTTGTCATGTTGGCCATTGCATGCTCTGTCCTGTTAGGCTCACCTCTTAGGCCGTGTTCCGTGCGTGCATCCGCTGTTGTGCATCTTTGTGCAGCATCAATGGCGACCAGCAGCACTTCGTGCGTCGAGACGAGCTCAAGGTTTGGCAAGATCCATGGATACATGGATATTTTTTACAACGCCAATGCAGTGGGATTCTGTCGTTTTGAAGAGTTGACTTTTGCTGTGCAACTGGCACAAGGTTCCAAGAAAGCATTCTTTGTCCTCTGCCATCTCTGCCACCCTTCCCGTGCCTCCCCTTCACAGGCTGCGTGGGAGATCTTCACGCCTCTGCTGCACCGCATCGACCAGGGCGCCCTCCCCCCGCACCCGTACAAGCAGGGCAGCCGAGGCCCCGATCACGCGGACGAGCTGGCGGAAAGGGTGGGGTACCGCCGCACAGAGGGGTACTGCTGGATCCCGCCAACCCTCGCGGAATAGAATGGTTCGTGAGGAATGCTTTCCTGAAGATTGTCCGCTTCTCCAGTGGAAAAAGTTATTGCGTATTTGAGTTGATTTTCTTGGCTTGTCACTGCATTGTAATAGACATGGTCATCTGGGTGTTGAGAAGATTGCCCGTGTACTTCTGCATGATAATGTTCGGAGTAGTGTTTATACAAAATCACAGATATCCGACAATACATCAGCAACACTTTACCACAACAAGGTTACAAAAAAGACAATGCGAACTGCGAGCCTTCAGGAGGGACTCCTCACAAAATGCTTTGTCCAGCAGAGGTCTCGAACAAGCATGAAGCCCTGCAGAGACAGGTAGGTACGAGGGTAAGTAATCGAGCAAGCAGCAACCAGTATCAATAAGATACGAACGCGGGTGCTACCAACAAGGTGCGGAAAGAAATGATCACGAAGAAGCGACCATAGCTATCGGTTGGAAATGTCCCGGACGACAGGTCAACGAGAGCACACGGGGAGGATGCACTAATTGGTTTAAAGAACGGGCTATTCCGATCTCCGCTCGACAAATGACACTTCCCAGGCATCAAAAGGCCAGGCAAGCAACGCCTCGCCAAGCGGGATCTAAGGAGGAAGGATAGTGAGCGCAAGTTACAACCCACGTACTTGTCATCAGGCTGACATCTGGAGCGCTTGATGTCTACACAGGAAACCTTTTGCCTGACCACACACAACGAAACTCAGCCAGGGACAAACGTAAACAAAGGATCACCAGCGTCAGGATGCAGTCTGCCAATATGGAGGGGTCAGAAAATGGTGCAGGCGTGGGCCTAGACTGAAGACTGAAAAAGTAGTCATCACGAGAGGATGATAAATAGTTAGGAAGAGCGGTCTGAACCAGGAGGTGGCGGGTGGGATTGTGAGGAGGAGCCGAGATGAGGTGGTGAGCCACCTGCAGTAACCAGACGAACATCGCGCACTCGCCCAGTGACCGTCGCCCAATAGCGCAGCATCGTTCATTTCACTGAGGTAACATCTCCCTTGGAAATCTGGTGTTCGTTTACGAACACCCCACTATCAGTCATGTCTATCTAGGTTGCCAGCGTTTCCCTCCTATTACTATAACTTCCTTCCAGTAATTTCTCTATTGTAAGACATCTTTCAGAAAAACACAACCTAACAATCACTCTACAGCAAATCATGTTTGGAGATTCGACCTACAACTTCTTTGATTTATCCTAACCATATCCTCCATGTGTTCCTGTTCATTCTCTACACAATCTGACAATCGGAACACTGGAGTGGTCGTCACAACTGCTGGAGGAAGCATATGCCAGGAACCTTCTCCGTGCCCTTCAATCCCCCCTCTCAGTGGCAATGTAGGCCCAGGCAGCACGACCCTTGCCTTGTGTGGCACGGATAATCGTTGGCCCCTCTCAACTTCTCCATCTGTGTCACTTACCACCATGTCTCCAGCCTGGGAGCTGGCTTCACACACTGCAGTACTTGAGCTGGGACTGAAGCGCGAGGGCTCACCGGGGGTTGGTTGGTCGTGAAAGAACGGAGAGAAGTGCGGCCCTGACTCAATCACACTGGCTGGACTTTCCTGTGGAGCTGCACGCACGGTGCACGAGGCAACGGCAGACACTTGAGCTGCAAGCACAGCACCAGTCAGTGCTGGGGAGTGTGCCAATGTTGCCGCGGTTGAGACTCCGTTTTGTGCACTGCTTGCAGCGTGCAGGCCACGGTCACCCTCCAGCATGGCATGGGTTGGTGCTGATGTGGCGGTATCTTCCAAATCCAGATCAAATATCTCTGCTCCATCCAGCATTGCTCCTGTGTCTCTGTGCTGTCTCCTCCCCAAGTCACAGTGAGCTCGAGGCGCAAGCTGAGACCCAGCAGGGGGGAGGGGACACGCTCCGGTTCCGCTATTTCTGCTGCTTCTGCTTCTGGCAGCAGAGGGGTTGCCGTTGCTGCGCCTACTGTTGGCAGCAGCCTGATTGCTTATCCCGTTCCTGCCACTCCTGCTGTGAGTGTCCTGTGAGCTATCCATCAGGGACGACCCTGGGAAAAAGCAGGGCGGGGTGCTGGCGCTGCCAGGTGGGGTGGAGACTGCAGGCACGGTGGGAGCACTGGAGTCACACTGGGGGCTGTGGGGCGCCAGGGACGAATCAGGGTTGGAACCACAGGGCATAATCGGTCCGCCCTGCTCTCCCACACACGGCGACGCCATGCACAGTGTATCCAGCGACAGCTGCAATGCAAACGACGGCTGCTTCTGGTCGGCGTTGCTTGTCTGTTGTGCGCGGCGCAGCAACTCGACGACGGTGCTCATGGGGGGCCGGGCGGCGGGGTCGCTGTGGACGCACGCATGGGCGAGTGCTGCCACGGTGTGCAGCGCAGCAGGGTGGGGCGGTGACGGGCACGCCAGCAGGCGAGGGTCCAGCAGGTGGCGGTAGCGGGAGGGCTTGGCGAGGAGTGGACGGGCCTGCCATGATCATGGGGCAGGGCATAGGGCGCAGGGTGGAGGGTGCCAGGGTGGAGCGTGGAGGGTGGATTGAGAGTGGAGAAGAGACATGGGGTGGGATAGAGTGAGGGAGACGGGAACCAAAGGAAAGAGGAAGGAGTGTGGCATTTCAGGTAGGAAGGGGATGGAAGGGAATGTATCAGTTACGACTCCACACTGGCAGCACTCACCCAGAGCACGAGGCTCTCCTGGCCAAGTGGCCTGGAGGTGTCAACGGCCTTGCGGCCGGACAGCAGCTCCAGCAGCACGACCCCGAAGCTGTACACGTCGCTGGGCACCATCAGATGCCCCGTCATTGCATACTCCGGCGCCACGTACCTGCACCGGGAGTGGGAAGGGAAAGGGGAGGGGGGAACGTGTGGGCGGAGGGGGTGGGTGGAGTGGAGGGGATGGGCGGAAAAGGGAGGAGGGTGAAGAGGAGAGTTAGCATGGAAAATGGTGTTCATCAGAAGACGACCAGATGCTTGGTCATGCTTCCATCAATTATGTGCAAGATCCATCATTCATCCAAAGCTGACCCGCCACTCACCCAAAGGTGCCCATGACGCGGGTGGACACGTGCTCATCCACCCCCTGAGGCGCCGCCTTAGCAAGCCCAAAGTCAGCGAGCTTGGGGCTCATGCACGCGTCCAGCAGGATGTTGGACGGCTTTAAGTCGCGATGAATCACGGCCGGCTGCGACCCCTCGTGCAGATACGCCAACCCCCGCGCCGCCCCCACTGCTATGCTGACCCGCGCGGGCCAGTCGAGGAAGGCGCGGTGGGAGTGGGGGCCGTGCAGCCACGAGTGCAGACTGCCGTTGGTTAGCAGCTCGTAGCACAGCATGTGCTCGCCCGGTGATACACAGTAGCCTAGAAGTTTAACCAAGTGCCGGTGGTGCAGGCGAGATAGCACCTCTACTTCCACTAGGAACTCTCTGTCGCCCTGCCGCCCACCGCGGTCCATCCTCTTTATTGCTACTTCGATAGGAGCAGCAGGGGAGGAGGGGGTGGAGTGCGGTGGGGGAGGGATGGTGCCGCAGTAGACTCGTCCGAAGCCGCCCTCTCCCAGGACTGACGACTCGTGGAAGCTGCAGGTAGGACGGAGAGGGGAGAGATGGGAGGAGAATGAAGTGGCGAAGGGAGGAAGGGAGAGAGGAATGGGTGGCTGGTGGGGGTTTTGGTTGACTTATGATGAAACATGTAAGGGTTAAGGCGAGAGAGGGAGGGTAGAGGAGAAGCAACGGAGTCACAGCAAGAGTGATTGGGATCGGGATGTGAGTCCCAGATTCGTACTTGTTGGTTGCGAGAGCCATTTCTTGGAAGGAGAACTCCCGCACACACGAGAGCCCACCCAATCCTCCCTTCCCGCTGCCTCCTGCAACCCCCCCATCATTGACGCCCTCACTGCCCTGCCCGTGACCCAATCGTGCTGCGGGCAGTGCAGCAGAGGAAGCAGCAGCAGGGCCCGCATCACTAACCCCAGCCTTGTGGCACCCCAGCAATGCTGCTCCGTCCTCACTTGCACCCATCCTCCTGTACGCCCCTGCCGGCCCTGCCGTGAAACCAGCTGTGCTTGAGCCGAGGCAGCAAGGCGACGAGCTGTCCGCATCCGCATCCCCATCCGCGTTCTCATCCGAGTGTGCCGGAAGGATTGGGTGCTGTAGGTCGCTGCTTGCCCGCTTGCCCTTGATCAGCACCTGTGGCTCAGCTGCAATTGTGATGACCGGGAGTGGGAGAGGGGGGAGAGGTAGGTGTGTGTGGCGGCGGCATATGGCATGATCAACATAACAACGGTATGGAAAGCATATGCACGTGACAACGAGCACTTGAATCTCAAGCCACATTGCATGTGACGTACATGGCATGGCGTCATGAGCAGTGCGGCGTGGCACACAAGTGCAGTAGAGCAGGGCACCCACGGCCACTGCAGTCACCGCCACCGCCCCCACCACCACCAGAACCACCATGTTCACGCTCATCCCCTGCTGCTCGCCCCCATTCTCCCCTGCACCGTTCCCCCCTGCCTGTGCCTGTACGCCCACCCCTCCCGCGGCAGTGCCTGAGCCAAGGCTGCTGCTACTGGAGCCGCTGTAATTGGCTACAGCCCCTGCGCTAGGGCTGCTGCCGCTGCTGCTCCTGCTGCTGCTGCTGCTGCTGCCACTCGCATTGCTAATAACATTGCTGTTACCGCTGGCATCGCTGGTGGTGTAGCCACTATTTTTACCGCTGCTGCTGTTGCCTGGGGTTGGTGCGGGGGGAACGGGCGGTGGCGACGGCGCGGGCAGGGAGGGAGGCGCGGAGGGCGGCAGCAGCTGAGTGACTGCCACGAGCGAGTATTCCCCGTACAGCCTGGCGTCCAGGTGTATCTGGTGCCGCCTCATCCGCGCGTCCACCTGTGCGAGGTAGCTTCTGGGGAAGGTGGTCTGGAAGCGCGGGAGGAGCAGCAGAGTGACGACAGCGGCGGTGTGGTCGGTGCGGGAGAGGGAGCGGCGCAGGATGCACGAGTCGGGCAGGCGCAGCTGCTCCGCTAGGTCCTGGTGGGCGGGGGAGAAGGGGGGCGGGGGGGGTGGTGCGGGGAGGCGTGCGCGCATGGAGAGGAGGCGAGAGAACGCAGGCGGGTGAGAGGATGAGTGTTACATGCATTTGCCATGCGGCAACTGCCAACAGACGAGCGTGACACGGCGACCATCACATGGCGACCGTGACATGGCAAGCGGCATGCAAGCAACGTACGTGCACGAAGGATGAGAAGTGCATCTCCACGGCCGTCGCGTTCGACAGTCGCACCGCCAGCTCCGCGGGGTGCACGCACGCGCACCGTCCCTCCGCCGCACTCGGACTCAGCGCCTCCCACTCCCCCTGCGAGCACGCGCCCGCGCACACCACTGGCGGAGGCGAAGGCGCAGGCGGAGGCGATGGGGAAATCCCGCTTTCTCCGTCCCCTGACCCGTCGTCCGCGTGTCCGGTTTCGGCATTTGTGTGGTTAACCGGCGCAGCGCCGTCCAAGTGCTCCTGGTCCGAGCTGTCACTCTCGCCTACGACTCTAGGGGGAGTAGATTCGAGAATCGGGTTCCCTGCTCCACCGCTGTCGTTGTCAATGTCTGCATGATCGCCATCGTTATCGTCAACGTCACTGTGAACGTTTACGTCACCGATCGAATGCGGGCTGCGATTCAGTGGTCGATGAGTCGCGGGGAGACGAACCGCGGCTGGAGAATGGAGGGGCGTGAGTGAAGGGGGGATAACGATCAAGGACCCGACATGGATGTAATGAGAGTAAGGGGAACGAGAAGTGTGGCGAAGAAGGCAAGGCCAAGTAGCGTTGGAATCCGGTACAAACAAGTGTCGCTATCCACGCTCTGCTGGTCAAGCCCGACCAAGCCTTCATGGCCTCAAGAAAATAAGGGCTCACCTGTTGGGACAATGGTTATTACAGCCGTTACGATCACAGCCAGAATGGTCAGCTGAACATATACTGCGGGTGCCATGCGAAACCGTGAAGATCGCATTCTCGGCAATGCGAGGTCATGCGCGATTCGATGAGGACTACGATTAGCCTTACTACGGGCAGACAGAGCTAGTACTACCAGCAGAATGAAAGGCTTTGGCAAATGGTACGCGTCTGCTTTATGGCATTCGATTTGCGGTCTCTGCTCCTCCTACAGGAATCCAAGGTAGGAATTTGAGTCCACTGAACCATCTGTGACGAAGGGTTAGAACGCTCGCCATTCTTCGTCTCAACGAGCCATCGATATCTCGAGGAAGTTGCTGCTCTCGAGTGATTCTGGACGAAAACGAGTGGCATTTAGCATGAGTCACTAAATCGCCTGATATTACATTCCCGACATTTTATAAGTCACTAAAATCATTTCCATCCACTGACAGATAATGCGACTAACGCGAAATAGTCTTTCGCCGCAGCGCGAGACGCGTCAGGCGACTGACGTGCAGAACCTTATCGAGAGCTGCCAGAGCAAGCAGCCAAGGAATACTCGCAGCAAGAGAGTGTTGTGCTGGGTGAGAACAAGAGTCCCTCGGGGATGGCTGGCTGGCCTTGGGAATTTCGGTGGGCAATTGTGCTGTGGGCTCATGACCAGCCCAGCATCTTCTGGGTAACTTATCCAGCTTATCGTGAATACCCTGGGAAAACATGCCGAATCTTGAGAGCGCTAAACACCGAACCGACCAGCAGGAACACGGAGACAGGGGCCCTGGCGCCTACGATGTGGTTGGAGCCATCCCGTCCTGTCAAACTCCAAGCCTGGTCAGTGGTCACCCTAAGTTGATACGGGCAGTAATTAACGACTTTTGTCCTCCATTCCTTTCCCGAGCGGAAAGATGGCTAGCGGAAGTAGGAAAAGGTAAATGAGCGCACTCCCCATTCTCTCCCCCTCCCAAATCAAACCCTGCGGGATAACCCCGTGTTGGGGTCTTGCTTGTTTGCGTCGCATCGCATTGCGCGCTCGACATGCGCTGGCGCATGCAAACGATCGCCTTCTTTGTCGCATAGGCGGAACAACGAGGCGCATAGGCGCGTGCGACTGAAGATTTGACCAGTGGGTGTGCGTGAAGGGTTCGGTTGACCAATAGGAAGCATTGAAAGAGGGGCTGAGCCTCGCAACTGGCGAGCTAGGAAACACCATAGAAGCAACCCTGCCCCAACCAGAGACCTTGCGCCACGCTCTTAGAAGCAGCCTCGTTGTAGGATTTCTTTACACAACAGCCAAATACCTATTTCTGTTAGACACACTGAACGTAACACATACAAAAAGAGACCATTGACAATGCAGCACTGCTATATACGTGCACCAAGTCCAAGGCCCTTGGGGCGAAGCTCAGCTTGCACAGGCTCGGAGATTCCCTGCTTGTCCTTTCCAAGGCCAGAGCCAATGCGGAAACCCATTTGCGCCATCATGCGCGACCCGAACCCCCTCGTGTGCGCCTCAAAACTTGCAAAATCTGCTGCCACACCACAGCTGCCCGAACTGCTCCTGCCACCCATAACTTCTTCACTTCCTCCCCTTTCTCCCCTCTTTGTACTACCCCTGCCACCTCGCCCTCCTTGCCCTAGTCTAGCCTCTCTGCTGCCATCCCCACCACCCTTTGCCCAGCCTCTGCTGTGTACATTTTTCCTCTCCTGATCGGTGGCCTTGCCAGCTGCCTGTCCCAGCTCCCGCACCGAAACAGAGCCCCCTGCACTGGCAACTGCAACAGCATCTAATGCCCTAACACCCACCACGCCACCTGTGGTACTCACACCACCGGCTACAGCCACACCCCTTTCTGAACCTTCCTCATTCATCAAACCCTCTGAAGCCTCCTCTACTTCTGAGGTTGGTTGTTGCACGCTCTGTACAGTCACACTCACCTCAGTCACCTCCTGGTCGCCCTCATCTGTTACAAGCACATCGGTGGCCATGATACCCCGTGACACAAACACCACAGGGTTCGACGCATACCCCTGTCTCCCTGACCCACCACCCACCCGCCCCTCCCTCACGCCCCGCCTCCCACTACCTCCTCCAGCTTGCACCAACCCTCCTCCCTTCCTCCTCCACAGGGTCTCCTCCTCTCCGCTAAGCGCTCTCTCCCTTCCCCTCCGCCCCTTTTCCCCCCGTGCCTTCTCCCGGAGCTCCCTCTTCCGCGCCGCCTTGTCTCGCTGCATGCGCTCCCCCAGTGCCTGCATCAGCCGTGCCTGGGCCTGTGCCCTGCGCTGCTTGCGCGACACACGGCTCACCTCCTCACTCCCATCACTCCCCTCACTCTCACTCCCTTCGCTCTCGTCCTCCCCACTCTCATCTTCATCCCCCTCCTCCTCCTCATCCTCCTCGTCAGCATCCTCATCACTGTCATCATCACTCCCCATCATCAGCATCATCTCCTCCATCTCAGCGACCCCATGCACCACATCCATGTCCTCCATGTACTGTGCCAGCTGTCGCTCTCTGTAGTCCCCGCCCTTCCTCGCTCCCCGCTGCCCCTGCCTGCTGCTCCCACCACCACACTCAGCAGCAGCGGCTCTGGCAAGGTTGAAGCGCCCGAGAATCTGGTAGGCGGGGCCGAAAGGAAGGCACAGAGATGGTAGCTGTAGTTCCAGAAAAAAAATCCAGAGAGGACATGCAAGGGATGGAGAGAAGAAGGCAAAACACATAGCACTGCCTGGCATGGCCCAACGAACTGCCCAACAAAAAGGCCCCGCAGAAAAAAGCAGCAGACCTCTTCCAGTCGAGTCATGTCCTCGCCCTGTGGCACTGCCGTGTGCCGCCCTGACCGAAATAGCAGCATCCTGAAGGGCAAGACAGAAGAAGACGAAGGTGTGCAAGGCATCATGGCGAAGGGCAGAAAGAGAGAGAAAAAGGGTCGTGAGAAGAGGTGGGAGCAGGCATGAATATACACACATGCAAGGCGGAGCGAACGAGGCAAAAAGCAACAGGCGAAGTGGAGAGCACGTACTTTCTCTTGCCGCTCTGCTGCACCATGGAGGTCAGGCGGTATGAACGTGCCATGGCTTGCACCTGAGGAATGGGGACGAGGGAGACGGTGGATGGGAATGTGCGAGTTGACTGCATGGAAGCAGCCATGCGTGCGTGAAAACATCAGCATATGAACACACGAGCACAAGGACAGATGACCCTTGTTGTGAGGTGGAGCAGGTGCGCAGAGCAACGCACCATGGAGAACTGGTGCTGTGTCAATGGTGGCGACGCAAAGACGTCCACTCGCCCCACCGCCACCTGCTGCATGCCCTGTGCACGGCCGGAGTGAGGGCAGTCCCAAAACGGAAGTAAGAATCGTTGGGCATCAAACGGTAAGAGACAAGGTGCAACTCGACACACAGGGCGCTGCAGTGCCAGGTTGACTGCGGGCAGCACGTGTCATGGCAGCTCACCTGGTTGAGGAGCATGAGGTCCACGTCAGCAGCGTCCGGGTTGAATCCCACCGCTCGCTGCATGCGCTTCAGCTCCCTCGCCTGCTTCCTGCGCCCCTTCCTGCTGCCCGCCGCTGCCAGACGAGGGGGGGAACAGGGGATTTGGGCGAGAGATATGAAATGAAGGGGAGAAAAGGTTGTATAGGGGAAGTAGAGTAGGCTTTCAGGGCACGCAGTCCAACTACTTGGCGTCTCACTGCTACACCTTCCACTGCTTTCTCCCCCACGCACACAGTTCCAACATTTCTCCTCTCCATTCTCACCTTTTCCTTGCCCCACACTCAGAGCAATCCCCCCTACACCTTAGTGCACCCCGCACCTTTAGCTGCCTTCTTGGCTTGCTTCGCCAGGGCCCTCTTTGCCTTCCTCGCTGCCCTCTTTGACCCACGCCCCATCCCCCCTCTGCCACCACTGCCCTCCGCACCCTTCTTGCTCCTGCTCCTGCTCCTGCTCCTCCTTCCTCCACACTCCCCCTTCCAGCTGCCGCGTGCCCTGCCCTCCCGCCTCTCCCTGCCCTCCCGCCTCTCCCTGCCCCCCCTCCTCTCCCCGCACTCCTGCCTCCCGCTGCCCGCCCTCTGCCTCGCCCCAGGGGCGCAGTGCCCCGTGCAACAGGAGCAGCAGAGGCGGGGCAGGGGGGAGCAGGAGCCGCAGAGGCCGCGCCCTTGCCCTTGCCTGACTGCCGGCGAGCCAGCTCCCGCTGGTAAGCCGCCTCAAGCTCCCTCTCCCACTCCTCGCCCAACTCCTCCTCCATGCCCTCCGAGCTCTCCCCTTCCTCTTCCTCACTCTCTTCCTCCTCCTCGTCCTCCTCATTCTCTTCTTCCTCCTCCCCTTCGCGCTTCCATTCACACTTGTCTGCATCCCCCTCCTCCCCTTCACCTTCCGCCCCCTCCCCTCCTGCTTCATTGCCCTTCCTCGTTTCACCCTCCACTGCCGCCCCGCCTCCCCTCGATCCTCCTCTGTCGCCCCCCTGCCCCCTTTGCTTCGAGTCCCTGGCGCGTTTGAGGTGGTTCCAGAACTCCTCAGGAGAGGGCACAGGGACGGAGGCACCAGCGCAGTACCCCAGCCCAGTGTGCCGCTCCTCCTCGTACCACACTCCGCCCTCGCCCTCATCGTCGCCCTCGTCCTCCACTGCATCTGCTTCTTCCCCGTTCCCCTCGTCCACCTCCTCATCCTCGCCCTCCTTGCCCTCGTCCTCCTCATCAAACACCTCTGCCTCTTCCTCCGCTGCCTCCTCCTCCTGCTCCTGCTCCTCCTCCTCCTCCTCCTCCACCTTTTCTGCCTCTGCCATCCGTCCCTCCGTCACCACCACCTCCTCATCCGTCTCCGCCTCGTTCCCTTCATCCTTGTCTTCCTCCGCCTCGCCCTCCTCCATGCTCGCATCGTCGCTGTCATCCACCAAGTTATCCATAAAGTCCAGTGCCACGTCAGCATCGATGCTACTGTCGCTCCCCTCCTCACTCTCTTCCCCACTCTCATCTTCCTCCTCACTCTCTCCCTCTCTCCCCATCCCACCTCCCCTTCCCCCACCTCTTTCCCCACCCCACCCCCTCCCCCTACCACTCGCCACACCACGACCCCTTCCGCGTCCCTGCCTCCCTCCACCCCCATCCCCCCCACGCCAACCCAGACATCCACCTGTCGATACAGTCACACCGCCAACAGTCACATAACCCACGTCCTCCACTCCCCCCTCCAGCATTCCGCTCTGCCCCCGCCCCCACGCCCACTGCCCGCTACCCACCTCCACTTGTTGCTCGTCTCCCCTGCCCCTCCTCCCACCGCCCCTGCCTCTTCCTCTGCCCCCACGCCCCCTTCCGCCTCGCTGCCAACCGCCCTGACCCCACTGCTGTGCTTGACCCCCTTGACTCGCTTGACCCACTTCTTGACCCCCTAGGCCCCCTTTACCTTCCTGGCCTGGTGAACCCTCTTCACCTCTCCTTCCTTTTTGCATTCCTCTGCCGTCTCGCCGCTCCCTCTCCTCACCCTCCGCTCCTCCCTCCGCCCCCCCAACCACCTCGCCCGACCCTATGGCCTCCACGCCCACGTGGAGCCTCTCAAACCGCACTGCCACGTCTGCAGAACACGTCACTTCCGCTGCTCCCGCGGACAGAGGCAAGCGCTTTTGCCTGTCATCCAAAACAGGTAGAAGCCCCACCCTCTCTTCCACCACAGGCAGCACCTCGCACGTTCCTGCAGCAGAGCCTGCCCCAGCACCTGACCCAGTAGCTGCACACTTAGACAGGCCCATGGCACCAGCTTCAGCAACAGCAGCAGCAGGAGCGGCAGCAGCAGCAGCATCCGAGCAGGGCTGAGCCTGTGCGTGCACCCCAGTGGAGGAGCCTCCCCTGTCGAAGAACACAGGCAGCACCGCCACCGCCCTGCCCTCCTCTGCTCCCACAGTCGCCTCAGGCACAGCTGCCTCCCCCGCCTCACTCTTGGCACGCCCGCGCTCCACCTCACCCGCCACCTCCCTCTCCGCGCCGCTGCTGCCCCCTCCCACCTGTGCGCCACTTAATACAGCCGTCGTCCCAAGACCTCCTTTGCCGCCCTGCACTTTCTCCTCCACCACCATCGCCTCGTCCTCTTCCTTCCCTTCCACCCCCCTCTCCTTGCCATCCCTTCCGTCCGTTCCTTCTTCCCCATCCCTTGCGAGCGCGCCTTTCTCCGCCTGCTCCCCACCCTCGCCGTCCCCTCGCAGCACGCCGCCCAGCCTGAACGTCCTCGCTTCACCCTCGCCCCCCCAGGCACCACTCGATACCTCCGCCCTGTGAGACCCGTACCCGAGGCCTCTGTGGCCGCCTGTTCCTGCATGCACACCAGCAGCACCTTTCCCGCCCCCCCGACCTTGAGCTCGCGCGGATCCGCACGCCAGCCTCAACCACACACCACGCCCCTTCCTCCCATGCCACTCCGCACCGTTGCTCGCTTCCTGCCCTGCTCGCCCCTCTGCCGCACCTCTAACCTCCTCTTTACCCCCGTGCTCCGCATCACCCCTCCCCGTCACCTCTCTCTGCTCCGATCCCCTCGCCTCGTCAAGGTCGCCCGTGTCATATCCGCTCCCCCGAACAGTTTCGTACTCGTACACGAATTTCACCGCCGAGTAAATGCCCCTTCCGCTTGCCGCTGCACCGCCGCCGCTTGCGCCAAGCTGCCGAGGCTCATTCCTCCGCGGATTCTGGCCTTCATTCGACGGCTGCGCGCCGATGCCGCGGCCACGACCACGGCCGGCCCCCATGGCACGTCCGCGGCCTCGAAAGCCTCGCCCCGAGGCTCGGCCATCCCCGGTCTCGTTCGCACCGCCTCGCCCGTCCGCTCTTCCTTGGGCGTTCGGTCTTCCTCCGACGTCGTTCGCAGCTCCGTGAGGAGCATCGCCGCGTCCTCTTCCCGCCGATCCACCGTTCCGCCCGCCCCCGCCTCCCCGGCTTCCTCCGCCACTCCCCCCCCCTCGCTTGCCCCTCCCGCTGTTCCTCCTTCCCATGATCGTGGCGCTCACGATTATACCGTCAGGAACAGACGCACCAAAGTCGCACCCACTCACGAGCCTACAAACAGAAAAGCGTCAAGAACCACTGGGTGTCGTGCAGACGGAAAATCGATGAAACGAAAGAGGGTTCACGAGCTGCAGAGCGTCAACTGCGAGCCTTCCTCGACGTACTAGGGAGAGTGCGACTGCCTTGGAGCTGAAATATGCTCTGGTGGGGTGGATGACAGCACACGCTGTCCCCGAGGGGGCGAGAATATGCGGACATTCAGGGATGAACTGCGTTGAGGTGCCTCTGCGAGGCGACGCGTTTTTGCCATGCACGTCACCATGGTGTGCAAGACACGCCATCCACAAACAACAACCCTCTCCCAACAGGCGGAGCCCGCCCATCATGGGTTTGGGTTTTCATGGCTCCATAAAATGCACACCTTTACCAGGAATATCCACAATGGCATTATGGGTGGACTTGAAGCACACCTTTCATTCCACAACGAAAATCGCTTTAAAAAACTCTGTACAGGAACACAACTATCATGTAAGGTGGTTTGTATCAATAACAGCATGGAAGCCATGGCTACTGTGTTGCTTGAGCAATGATGGAGGACAAACTACCGCCCTGCTCCTTTGCTGTCTCCACCAATGTGTCCTGTATAGGGAGGAAAAACGTCAGTGAGACGGCTGTTGCAATCAGTGAGGATGGAAGTACAATAACTGGGTGGAGCGTACCTGAGCCGCTATCACTCTTGCAACCGACTTCTTGCTCGACTCTTGTAGCTCTCCTGCTATGAGGATTTCATCTAGTATATAGTATGCCTGGAAGGTCAGCACAAACACAATGGACGGAAGGTTGTGTTGGAAAACAGGAGGATCACGCCTCCTGACCTAAACAGCGAAACCACAGAATCAGAGTGTCATTAATCCAATCCAGGCGTACCTTGTGGAAGTTGAAGATGAGATCAAGCTCGCAGACCTGCAGAATGACAGCAGCAGGTGGAGAGCCACCATGAGGCTAGTGCAGGTAAACGGCAGCACCAGAAAGCACAGGCATGGAAGCAAATGGGGAAGGAGGTGGTTAACGTCGCCTTACGTTGGTGAAGTAGCGGTCGAGCACCTCGACGTAGTGGTGGATGATCTCGAGGGTCTCCAGCTCGTTGTCGTTGATGTCCACGCACATGCAGAAGTACAGGCTCGCGTACCTGCAACGTCCAACCACACCAGGGTTGCGACCGTCAGCTGGCTGAAGCACTTAGAGACCTTATGGCGGACTTCAACAGACAAGGGTAAGATTTCCTTCTGATTGTAAGTGAGCTCATGAAGTCGTAGTGTCTTACCGCTTGTAGACAACCTTGTAACCCCGCCAATCCACGAAATTGCATAGCTTAGCCGGCCTGCTGAGTATTGTTCCTGACAGCTCCCGCGTGATCTGAAAAATACAAATTTACTTGATACATTAACTCCACTGTAAACTGGGGCCTCACTACCTAAGTCGGCAAGCACCACGAGAGCAAGTAGGCGGAATAGTCACGACAGGATACGCATACCTTCGTCCGTTCTTTTTGAGAATAAGCGGAATACCATTTGGCCAGCCTGACCTTCCCTTGCCGGCTAATGAGGAGGACGAAGTGAATCTGCCAGAACGGTATCCACATCGACAAGTAAGCAATCATGCCGATATCAGAAATCAACTACAACGACTTTCCGCAGCCAAAATACGTACCATATCTGATTACGTCCCTAATCGACGCCTTCGGGATCGTCGTCCTTGGAGGCCTAAGCAGGTGATTTCAAGACAACGGATGTACTAGTGAAAAGGAATGCTGAGAGGAACGCAGATTGACAGTGCGACCAGCGATGAGTTTCGATACGAACCATTCCGCATAAAACATGTGTTTTTCTCGGTTGTTGATATTTGTGCAGCTGCTGCTTTTATCGGGACACATTTATAAAAGATTTTTACGGCGAACCCGCCGACATTTTTTGGGAGGCACGGCACGGCATTGGTCCAGAAGCTGCTGGTGATTCACGGCACGACCTGACAGAAATGTGCGAAGCGCCTGCGAATATGGCGGTCTGCGAGGGTGGATCAACCCACGAACCCAGCCGGCTGAGAAGAGGAGGCGCATTGAGCATCACAGGCGGACCGGTAGGCGTGCCGTGTGTGTAAGTCATAACATAAGCCCATTCGCCAGACTGCAGCAAGAAATTCCGCTCATTCCAATCATGCCACTCACATACCCGCATCAACCACCGTGTTCCGTCGAAAGTCCTGTAGTTTTAGAGGCACCGTCGTCCTGTCACTCTGTAAATATCATGCAGTGGCGTCTAATCACACGTTGTATGAATCAGAACTCGGTGCAGTGTGAGACTAGGAATACGATACGAAGACCAAAGCTAGCCAGATGATTCTTCGGCGATTAATCATGGCGCTGCAAGCCCTGAAAATGCGAACAGCCAAGTCACCAGACTTTTCTTTCTCCTCGCTGCTTCGCAGCAAGCGCTGGTCGTTCTATGTCGCCCTCTTCCTCCTTAGCGCCTTCCTCGTCCTTTCCTTCATCGTGACGTCACCCTCATACGGTCGATTTCGCTCCCAATTTGACTCGTTCATCTCGCCGCCGGCGGTTACCAGCAGCAACCTAACGATACCGTTCAGAGAGCTTACTAAAGACGGATACTTCCCGCCATGTCCGTCCAACTGGACCCACCACATCCCGTGCTACGATCCAAACATCGCCGTCCACTTTCCCTTCGCAGACAACGTTTTCCGCGAAAGACACTGCCCGCCTCCTTCCGCCCGCCCGCGCTGCTTGATTCCCCCTCCCCCCGGCTACCAGCGCGCGCCGCCCTGGCCGGATAGCCTATGGAGCGTGTGGCGGAACAACGTGCCGCACTCCAAGATGCTCAAGGACCCGCGCAACGTCCTATGGATGGAACTACGTGGCAACACGTGGCATTTTCCGCACGCGCTGACGGCCATGCCCGAAGCGGACGGCGCGGAGCGGTACGTGGCGCAACTGCGCAACTTCATTCCGTTCGGGTCGCGCCTGCGCACGGCGCTGGACATCGGCGCGGGGGTGGGGGGATTCGCGGTGGAGCTGCTGCGCCAGGGCATGATCACCGTGTCGCTGGGCCCGCGCGACGGGTTCCGCGGGCAGGCGCAGTTTGCGCTTGAGCGCGGGCTGCCCGCGCTGGTGGGCATTCTGGCGACGACGCGCCTGCCGTTCCCGTCGCTCGCGTTCGACCTCGTGCACTGCTCGCACTGCCAAGTCCCCTTCGGCCTCCCCAGTACGTGCGCCGCCTCACAGCCCCGCGCTCTCTCGTGCTCTCATGCTCTCGACTGAGTAACATGTTTCGACCCGATTTCCATCCCCTGTCCCCCTCCCACGCCAACCCTCTTCCCACATCCCCCCCCACATTTCCCCCCTCCCCCCCCAGACGGCACGCACCTGTTCGAGGTGGACCGCCTGTTGCGCCCAGGGGGCTTTTTCGTGCTGGCGGGGCCGCCCGTGCGCTGGGCGGGCAGGGCGGCGGAGTGGCGCGCGCTGCGCGATAAGGCGCGCGCGCTGTGCTGGCGGCTCGTGCTGGTGGTGCCGCACGTGGCCATCTGGCGGAAGAGTAGGGGGGTTGAGGTGGCAGAGGGAAGCGGGGGAAGCGGGGGGGAAAGAAGATGGTGTCCTGGAGCCAAGGGATTCAGAGAGGCGGAACAAGAGGGGGACGGAACGGCGGAGAGGGAGGAGGGAGGCAGCGAGAGGGAGGAGGTAGAAGAGTCGCAGGAGGAAGGGGCAGAGGGAGAGGAGAGAGGGGTGGAGAGAGAGGTGGGAGGGGCGGAGAGTGGGGAGGGAGGGGGGAAGAGAGAGGAGGAAGGGGCGGAGGGAGAGGACGGACGGGCGGAGAGAGAGGAGGGAGGGGCGGAGGGAGATGAGTTAGGGGGTGATGTAACGGGCGAGAAGGAGGGAGAGGAGAAGCGGGAGGAGGAGGCGGGGGAAGGGGAGGGCGAGATGGGCGCGGAAGTGTGTGCGGCGGACGCCCAACCCGATGCAGCGTGGTGCGTGCCACTGCCTGCCATGCCGCTGCTGCCCACGCTTCTCACGCACGCTAAAGCTCTGCCCTTGCCCCGCGCCCACCTCCCTCCTCCTCCCGTCTCATCCTGTCCCCTCTGCCGCCTTCACCTTGTCTCCCTGCCCCCCTCCCCTTCCCCAGGTACTCCCCCTTGCAGCCTTGCGCCATCCGCCCTCCCCCCTCCACTTGGAGCCTCCCCCCCTGGCCGCATCGCCTGTGGTTCGCCTCCCCCGCATCTACGCCGCCCCCCTCATGCACCCGCCCCCTGATGCGCCGCGCAACGCTTGGGGCGCGGGCGCTGAGGGGAGGGCGGAAGAGAAGGGGAAGGGGAAGGAGGGGACGAAAGGGAAAGGCACGGGGGATGGAGGGAAGCGGAGGAGTGGGAAAGGATGGAATGAGGATGAGGAGGAGGGGATGCAGGCGGGTGAGGAAAAAGGGCCGAAACAGGGGGAGGAAAAGGGGGTGAAGGAGGGGCGGAATAAGGCCGGGCAGCAGGTAAGGGGGAGCAGCAGCGAGGAGTCCCCCGCTGGTGCTGCTGCTGCTGCTGCTGCTGCTGCTGGTGGGGGGCGACGCCTGCTCAGCTCTGATGTGCATGGCGATGGTGGTGCTGCACAAGGGAGAGGAGGAGTAGCAGGAGGAGAGGGAGGGGGAGGTGAGACAGACAGGAAGCAGACAGCAGGGACAGGGCAGGAGGGGGAGGAGGGAGACATGCACAAGGCACTGAGAGCAGAGCAGCAGAAATCACTAGTGAACGCGGCCTCATCGCAGTACAGCAAGCGGCAGGGCACGGCACTGGCAGCGCTGTCGCCTCGGCAGAAGCGCATGAACATGGAGAGCAAGCGGTGGGGCAAGCGACTGGCGCACTATGATTCCCTTTTCCTGGGCGCCCTGCTGGGCCACGAGGGCCAGCGGAAGCGGTGCAAGGGCGCGGAGGGGGATGGTGGGGAGGCCAAGGGGGAGGAGAGCGAGGAGAAAGGGAGGAGCAGGGAGGAGAGTGGGCCTGGGAAGGTGCGGAACGTGCTGGACATGAATGCAGGGGTGGGGTCGTTTGCGGCGGCGCTACAGGGGAGGGAGGAGGACGGGGAGGAGCGGGTGTGGGTGATGAATGTGGTGCCGGTGAGCAGTCGACTCAACACCCTGTCTGCCGTGTTTGACCGCGGGATGGTGGGCACGCTGCACGACTGGTGTGAGGCGTTCTCGTCGTACCCACGCACGTATGACCTCGTGCACTGGCAGGGCGTCTCCTCCTCCTTCCACCCGTGAGTGTTCCTCCGTGTCTCCCGCTGTGGGCGGTGAGTAGTTTTCGCTGGGAATGGGTGGAGCAAGAAGCACTTAGCGTATCACGTTCCGTCGATTCTGTGCGCAGTCACAGGTCATTTACTTGAGAAACCATGCATGAAAAAGGTTCCTCACTTGTCGTTCTCCCCGACCCCCTCCGTGCACTTTACAGGGACCGATGTGACATAGATGACGTGATTATAGAGGTGGACCGGCTGCTGAGACCAGGCGGCACAGTAGTTATAAGAGACCTACCGGATGTGCTGGAGGGCGTGCAGAGAGCTGCGAGGGCAGCTCACTGGAACGTGACGGCATACCTGCCAGAGAAGGGCAGCAGCAGAGAGCAACTCCTGGTGGCTCGTAAGCCGTTGTGGAAGGTGGATGCACGGGGGGTGATTGAGATTGTAGACGCTGATTTGTAATAAAATGAGGAATCGTCAAGCCAAGTTGAATTGCACTGGAGAGACGGGCATGTTGCGTTGCTGAGATTGGAAACTGAGCAGGCTGGCTGACGGGCTGGCTGGAGGAAGGCCTACATATCCGAATCCGATACAGCAGCAGCCCATCCACAGCCACAGCACCGCCACTGCACACTACAAGTGACAAAAAAGTGCACGGGCTAATCAACTGCTCTGGGCAAAAGCAAAGAACGACATGGTGAAGGAGCCCACAACTCGGGGCGGGGCGGCATCAAGTGAACACATTCGGAAACCCGAGAAGGGTTGATGTTTCGACGATGGCATGCCATTCCACTGGAGTTCACCTGCCGTAGTTTCTTTCTGCCTGATGGTCAAAGCAACGGGTGTGATGGCTGAAGTGGGGCAGACGCTCTGTATATCCAGTGAGGCAAAAGTTATGCACGTGTGTTAGCTTTACCTCTGACAGCAGCAAGGTAGGGCCAAAAGCTCCGTTGCCGGGATTTGAACCCGGGTCGCCTGGGTGAAAGCCAGGTATCCTAACCAGGCTGGACGACAACGGATGTGCGACGTTCGTGATGTTTACACTAGTTAGGTTGAATATATTTTGACCATGGAATCACTCTATCTCCACAGCTGGGTTCGCAGATGATAGCAGGTGGTGAAGCCGTGCCGTTGGTGCGGGCTGGCGTGGGTGCAGTCAGCATCCATGGCCGCGGATCCGCGCTGTCCAGCTGTCCGCTCCTTGAGTCGGCGCGCTATGAATCAGTGCCGCGAAGCCCGACGAGTTTCATTAGCGCCGGATCACGCCTCCCACGCAGATTCGCGTGCCCAAGGGATGTTCTCAGCGTCGAATCCAAGATAGAGCCGCGCGCGTCGTGTGACCGCGTGGAAAGCGGAAGAGCTGGTCGGGGAGCAGATTATGGTCGCACCGCCGCGGCAGTACCTCGCTGCCGCTCCGGTAATCGGCGCGCCCTGGCTCCGCGCGCGGGATTGGGGGATGGCGTGGGGAGTGGTGCGGCGGAGAGTAGCCGGGGAGGCGGATTGTACTTGGAGGGCGCGGCACGGTTCTGGCGTGACGCACGGTGAGAGGGAGAGGAGAGAGGTGTGACTGTATAGAGATAGTGAGTGAGAGGGAGAGAGTGAGGGAAACAGGAAATAATCTTCCCCTTCCCACCCTTGATTCCCCTTGACGCCCGCTTGCCCGTCCGCCCCGCCGCAGTTCCGCCTACTCCGCGGACGCGCTGGGCGCGGAGATGGCGGCAATTGCGCTGCCGGCGCTGCTGGCGCTCGCCGCCGAACCCGTGGCGTCGCTCGTCGATACGTTCTACATCGGACAGATGGGTGAGGGCAGATGGGTGAGAGCAGATGGGTGAGAGCAGATGGGTGAGGGCAGATGGGTGAGAGCAGATGGGTGAGAGCAGATGGGTGAGAGCAGATGGGTGAGAGCAGTCCCTTCGTTGGGCAAATGGGTTGTTAGTGAGGCGATGGGGCAGAATGGCAGATAATCAAAGAAGTAAGAGAACGGGCATGTTTTCCACAGATCAGTCCCTCTTTCGTCATTCCAGACAGTATGGCGTGTCATGGCATGGTAGATGCCGACCCGCTCTCTCTGTGTCCCGTGTTTCTGCCACGCTCCTCGCCCCCTGCCCCCCTGTGTGGCGCACGGCAGGAGCGGAGGAGCTGGGGGGGGTGGGGGTGGCGGTGGCGGTGGTGGGCGTGGTATCCAAGGTGCTCAACGTGCCGCTGCTCAACATCACCACGTCCTTCGTCGCGCAGGACCAACACCTCCTCGCGCAATCTCCGCAGCAGCAACCGCACCAGCAGCTACAAGGCTCGCCGTCGGTACCCTCCGCCTCCTCCTCCGCCTCCTCCTCCGCCTCTGCCGCCTCTCCCCAGCCCGCGTGCAAGCCAGTGGTGCCATCGGTGTCAGCGGCGCTGCTAGTGGCCATGGTGCTCGGCGCATTAGAGGCGCTGCTGCTGGCGCTCGCAGCGGCGCCGCTGCTGGCGGTGATGGGCGTGGGGCCGTTGTCCCCCATGCACGCGCCCGCACTGCAGTACCTGCAGGTGAGGGCGGTGGGCGCGCCCGCGGTGGTGCTGTTCCTCACGGCGCAGGGCGTCTTCCGCGGCCTCAAGGACACGCGCACGCCCCTCGCTGCCTCCGGTGAGCCCCAAGCTTCACCTGGAATAGCGCTTCAGGTCAGAAGTGGGCGTTAGGTGGGATCAGCGTATCAGGAGAATGCAGCAGAGAATATTACGTGCACAGCCTGTGCGTTTGGAGAAAACGAAACGACAATCCCTTCTTTCATCTTTTTCCACCTGGCCTCCCCCCCCTGCAGTGAGTGGCAACGTGGTGAACATCCTGCTGGACCCGCTGCTCATCTTCTCCTGCGGGCTGGGCGTGTCAGGCGCTGCAGCAGCCACGGTGGCAGCACAGTACGGCATGGCGGCCTGGCTGCTGCTGCGACTCAGCAGCACAGTGCAGCTCATCCCACCCTCGCTCTCCCTGCTCTCCTTCGACCGCTTCTTTAAGTCCGGTGAGCCCTGCTACTCACAACAGAGCTCGCATCTGCATCAGCGTCACTATCAGCATCAGCATCAGCAGCATCAGCATCAGCATCAGAATCAGCATCAGAATCAGCATCAGCATCAGCATCAGAATCAGCATCAGCATCAACATCAGCATCAGCATCAGAATCAGCATCAGCATCAGAATCAGCATCAGCATCAGCATCAGCATCAGAATCAGCATCAGCATCAGCATCAGCATCAGCATCAGCGCAAGCATCAGCATCAGCATCAGCATCAGAATCAGAATCAGAATCAGCATCAGCATCAGCATCAGCATCAGCATCAGCATCTGCATCAGCATCAGCATCAGCATCAGCATCAGCACATCAGCATCAGCGCATCAGCATCAGCATCAGCATCAGAATCAGCATCAGCATCAGCATCAGAATCAGCATCAGCATCAGCATCACCATCAGCATCAGCATCAGCATCAGAATCAGCATCAGCATCAGCATCAGCATCAGCATCAGCATCAGCATCAGCATCAGCATCAGAATCAGCATCAGCATCAGCATCAGCATCAGCATCAGCATCAGAATCAGAATCAGCATCAGCATCAGCATCAGCATCAGCATCTGCATCAGCATCAGCATCAGCATCAGCGCATCAGCATCAGCGCATCAGCATCAGCGCATCAGCATCAGCATCAGAATCAGCATCAGCATCAGCATCAGCATCAGCATCAGAATCAGCATCAGCATCAGAATCAGCATCAGCATCAGCATCAGCATCAGCGTCAGCATCAGCATCAGAATCAGCATCAGCATCAGCATCAGCATCAGCATTAGCATCAGCATCAGCATCAGAATCAGAATCAGCATCAGCATCAGCATCAGAATCAGCATCAGCATCAGCATCAGCATCAGCATCAGCATCAGCGCATCAGCATCAGCGCATCAGCATCAGCGCATCAGCATCAGCATCAGCATCAGAATCAGCATCAGCATCAGCATCAGCATCAGCATCAGCATCAGAATCAGCATCAGCATCAGCATCAGAATCAGCATCAGCATCAGAATCAGCATCAGCATCAGCATCAGCATCAGAATCAGCATCAGCATCAGCATCAGAATCAGCATCAGCATCAGCATCAGCATCAGAATCAGCATCAGCATCAGCATCAGCATCAGCATCAGCATCAGCATCAGCATCAGCATCAGAATCAGCATCAGCATCAGCATCAGCATCAGAATCAGCATCAGCATCAGCATCAGCATCAGCATCAGAATCAGCATCAGCATCAGCATCAGAATCAGCATCAGCATCAGCATCAGCATCAGAATCAGCATCAGCATCAGCATCAGCATCAGCATCAGCATCAGAATCAGCATCAGCATCAGCATCAGCATCAGCATCAGAATCAGCATCAGCATCAGCATCAGCATCAGCATCAGCATCATCATCATCATCAGCATCAGCATCAGCATCAGCATCAGAATCAGCATCAGCATCAGCATCAGCATCAGCATCTGCATCAGCATCAGCATCAGCATCAGCATCTGCATCAGCATCAGCGCATCAGCATCAGCATCAGCATCAGCATCAGAATCAGCATCAGCATCAGCATCAGCATCAGAATCAGCATCAGCATCAGCATCAGCATCAGCATCTGCATCAGCATCAGCATCAGCATCAGCATCAGCATCAGCATCAGAATCAGAATCAGCATCAGCATCAGCATCAGCATCAGCATCAGCATCAGCATCAGCATCAGCATCAGAATCAGCATCAGCATCAGCATCAGCATCAGCATCAGCATCAGCATCAGCATCAGAATCAGCATCAGCATCAGCATCAGCATCAGCATCAGCATCTGCATCAGCATCAGCATCAGCGCATCAGCATCAGCGCATCAGCATCAGCATCAGCATCAGCATCAGCGCATCAGCATCAGCATCAGCATCAGCATCAGAATCAGCATCAGCATCAGCATCAGCATCAGAATCAGCATCAGCATCAGCATCAGCATCAGCATCAGCATCTGCATCAGCATCAGCATCAGCATCAGCGCATCAGCATCAGCGCATCAGCATCAGCATCAGCATCAGCATCAGCATTAGCATCAGCATCAGCATCAGCATCAGCGCATCAGCATCAGCATCAGCATCAGCATCAGCATCAGCATCAGCATCAGCGCATCAGCATCAGCGCATCAGCATCAGCGCATCAGCATCAGCATCAGCATCAGCATCAGAATCAGCATCAGCATCAGCATCAGCATCAGCATCAGAATCAGCATCAGCATCAGAATCAGCATCAGCATCAGAATCAGCATCAGCATCAGCATCAGCATCAGAATCAGCATCAGCATCAGCATCAGAATCAGCATCAGCATCAGCGCATCAGCATCAGCGCATCAGCATCAGCATCAGCATCAGCGCATCAGCATCAGCATCAGCATCAGCATCAGTATCAGCATCAGCATCAGCATCAGCGCATCAGCATCAGCGCATCAGCATCAGCGCATCAGCATCAGCATCAGCATCAGCATCAGCGCATCAGCATCAGCATCAGCATCAGCGCATCAGCATCAGCATCAGCACATCAGCATCAGCACATCAGCATCAGCATGTGCATGTGCTTGTGCATGTGCTCCCCCATCTCCCTTTTCCCCCGTCTGCCAGGCGTCTTCCCTCTCAACCCTGCACCCCGCCCTCTCCCCGTCCATGCTCCCTCCAGGCGGGCTGCTACTGGGGCGAACGGTGGCGCTGTTGGGAGCGATGGCGGTGGGGACGAGCATGGCGGCGAGGCAGGGCGCGGTGCCCATGGCGGCACACCAGCTCGCCCTGCAGCTCTGCCTCGCCGCCTCCCTGCTCTCTGACTCCGTTGCCCTCGCTGCTCAGGTGCGCCCAGGTGGATCCTCAGGTGGTTTTCCATGTGATTCCTCAGGAACTGTTTCAGTTGTGGCTTGATGTCGTGCACACATCCGTTTCCACATCATATTGTATCTGTTCCTGTGTGTGTTCCTATGTGCGCTTGCATGTGTGCATGGGATCATGTTCTCTTGTGCGTGCATGTGTGGTGCCCATGTGTATCAGACCCTATTGTCATCAGCCTTTGCACGGAACGACACGGCCATGGTGCGAGCCATCATGCTGCGATCACTGCAGGTAAACGGCCAGGGGGGAAGGCACCTCATGCTGCACGCACCACTGCCAATGTGAATGCCAGCACCTTGGCTCTCCCTTCTCACAGCATCGGCTCTTCACTCACTCCCTCTCTGTCATCCATAGCCACGCCCTGCTATCACCTCATTCATCGCTCGCACCCACCATCAGCCGTCTCCCAGCACTTAATCACCCGCTCTCACTCGTGCATGCCAACCCCTGCCTTCCCTGCATATCGGGCAGATAGGGCTGGGCATGGGAGAGGTGATGGGAGTGGTGCTCTCGCTGTCGGCCCAGCTACTCCCGTCGATATTCACTTCGGATGACCGTGTGCTGCTGCAGGCTGTCTCCCTCATGCCCGTGAGACGTCTCCCTCACGCCCATGAGATATTCTGTTTCCTCGTCGCATTGTTTCCAGGCAGCACCATGCCACCACCGCCCTCAACTCATTCTCCCTTCCTCTCACTCCCTGTCTCACGTCACTCGTTGTTCCCCTCCTCGCCCCACTTGCAGTTCGCAGCGGCGATGCAGCCGATGGCGAGCATGGCGTTTGTGTTTGACGGGCTGCACTACGGCGCCACTGACTTCGCCTTCGCTGCCCTCGCCATGGTACCCCGCCCCATGCCAATGCCACCAGCATTGTGCTCCCAGTCCCATGCTCTTTGCTCTGTGCACATTCGGCCTCGGTGAATACCTCTCTACTTACCTGCTGCTTTACTTGTTGCAGATGGCGCTGGCTCCAGCAGCAGTGGCGGTGCTGGTGTATGCACCGAGCGAGTGGGGAGTGGAGGGTGTGTGGATCGGCCTCTCTCTCCTCATGGCCGCCCGCATGTTCGCCGGCTTCCTCAGGTCAGCCACCACCTCAGGTCATGCTTGCGTTGCTCCATCAATGGTTTGCTCCACCCCATGATTTGCCCCCCGCCCCCCCCATGCCTTACGCCCCCCATGCCTTACAGCATCCCTGCCAGGGCCTCAGATTCATTTTTAGGGACCCTGAGCCCTCAGGGCATGACAAAGAAATGCGTGTCCTCCTCAGGGCAGAGCCCCTAAGAGGACCCTGATTTCTCAGGGCATTCCAGAACTAAACCATGATGCTTCAGGGCATTTTTTAATCACACTGTAGTTGCAGATGGTGCAAATGGTGAAGTGTTAGTGGTGGGTGTTAGAGGGGTACTGTAACGGGCAGTCACGCCTGCTGCATCACTGTAAGTTGCCCCATGTGGGCCATTTTGTCGTCAATGTGAGTGGTGGTGGGCGACTCGCGTGTTTTCGGAGCGACATCTTGGAAATCAAGGACTTCGCATAAGGGTCCTCCTAGGCGCACAGTGTAACTGTTTCAGGGTACGCCATACAAGCACCCTGACGCCTCAGGGCAGGCACGTGTACACTACTCTGAAATCTCAGGGTTACATAAAACATATATCCTGAAATCTCAGGGCCGTAAGCACAGAGACCCTGATTTTTCAGGGCAAGGGGGTTATGTCAACCCTGAAATCAGGGTAATCAGGGTATTTTACCCTGATATCATAGGCCCTGATCCCTGCCTTACGCCCCCCATGCCTTACAGCCTCCCTGCCTTACACCTCCCATGCCTTATGCCCTCCCTGCCTTACACCTCCCATGTCTTATGCCCTCCCTGCGGTGGCGGCAACGGTATGCAGAGTGGGCACGGGCGGAGGGGCGTGGGCAGTGCTGCAGGCGCCACCACCACGTGTCCACATGAGTCCCGCAAAGGCACATGATGGTCGTCATGCATTCACAGCCAATTCAACCGCTGGTGACAGTAGTGATGTGCATCAAGACGGCCACACAGCCACAGCGGAGGCAATTTTGGTAGAGGGAAAATCTGCTGCCATTGGGAATGTAAATAGCATGAAGCCTGATAGAAGCACTTTTTAAAATTATTTTTCATACCGGGAAATTCCATGCTCCCTGCACAAAGCATTTGCGGCGAACTGGCCTCTTAGCGAAGCAGCTTTTTCCCACAACAGTCCTCGAGAACAGTTTTCTGGAAGATTCGCATTCTGCACTCCTACCACTCAGATAGGGGCTGCTCGCCAGCACCATTATAACTAAAAACGACGGGATAACGACGGGATCAGGAAGGTGGGTCTCGCCTTCCTGATCCCGTCAGTTAGAGTTCGTTAACCTCCGTCAGCTTGGTCAGCCCGCGAAAATTGTGCCGAGCCTCATCTATCGTCCAAACCAATTAACAAACTGGGCGTCTGGCGAACGCCCACTTTTGTACACCAATTTCAACGTTTCGACGGCATATGGAAGCGGGGGCGAAAATTCCTCCCCAGGCAAAACACCCCCCTTTGCAATGCCATCGTCATGCGGCGTTTTTAGAAACACTGCGGTGGCACAGCGGACGCATCGCTGTTCAGGGGAACCCGGGAACAAGCCTTCAGTTTAACAAAGAGGGGTTCGTATACCCCCCATTTTTCCCTCCCAAACACACCTTCGAAATGCTCCCCGGCGCACATAACTTCTTTTATTTGCGTTTTTTACCCACGTTGAGCAATTTTTGATCAGCGGGCAGCACAAGGGTCAGGGCACGTTCCTGGCTGGTGTCAAGCTTCGGGCCTTCCCGGGAAGACCCGAAGCTAAGGGTTAAAGTTCCGGTCAAACTTTGTGTTTTCCGGAAACAGGGGCAATTTTTGGCCGGAAGACCCGAAGTTGGTCTCGGATGACCCAAAGTGGGTCTAACTTCCGGTCATCCGCGGATGACCGGAAGCTTGACACGCGCCAGGAACGCACCCTCAGTGAAGAGCAAATTTCGAGCCATTTGGGGGAAGGTGGGGATGGACCTTCCTGACGCGGTTGCGAAATTTCGCCTTTCGGGCGCGCGTAGTTTCTCGGACAGCATTCCGCCCAAACCAGGAAGGAGGGTTCCGCCCCCGTTTCCATATGCGGTCGCGATGCTGATGCCATCGTTTTTTGTTGAAGAAACGATTTGCTGGCGAACAGCACCTAGTCTCCCCCGGCCATCCATCCAAACCCGACACGTTCACTTTCCATACAGCGCTTCGGCACGCGGGCCATTGGAGCACTTGTTTAATATCGCACCTACTAGTTCTGCAGGAAGATCGTGAATAAAACTGGCGGTTTGAGCTCGGGTTGTTCGGTTGGTTGGGATGGCGGAGGCGGGAAGTGCCACCGCGCGATCACCGGCGGAAGAGGCGGGAGTGGAGTCCGACATGGCGCGACTCGCGGTGGCGGATGCGACAGACGGGAAGCCCGCAGGCGCCGGTGCTGACGTGGACGAGTTGGATGACGTGGAGCAAACAGAGGTGGTGTTGTTCCACCTCAAGGAGTGCTACGTGTACAAGGTGCGCACCGTTACCCATCCTCCTTCCCGCTTCCGCGCATTTTTCACTCGTGCGGCGGCGATGCGCTCAGGCGAGTCGCGAGCAGGCGGCACCACCGCATGGCGTAACGCAAGTACGTCGCATGGGCTGTGCGACGCGCCTAGCGAGGAATCTTGAAACAGTCTGCGCAGCGTGCGGACACGTGCTTAGCCATTTCTGCCCCTCCGCGCCACAGCGGCCTTCGAGTCGCGTCGACAATGCCGCGCGTTCCACGCTGCTGCTTCCCTTGACTCTTCACATCACCTTCATCCTCCTTTCCCCTGTCCCGTCTCCCCTCCCTGCCCTCCTGTCCCCTTCCCTCGCGCTCCCCGCGGGTGCTCATCCCCCATTGCCACGAGGCGGCACCAGATTCCCCCGCGCAAGACAGCAGCGTCGTACAGGTGCGCGCACCCTCCCTCACTCCCCTCCCTCCCCTCACTCCCACTCCCCGCACCCTCCTCGTTCCCCTCACTCCCAGTCTTCTTACCTCTTCACCATCCTTACTCCCAGTCCCCTCTCTCCCCTCGCACGTCCCCCACCCTTTCTTGCCTAATCATCTTACAAGCAAGTCTCCCCTTCTCACCCCTACAAGCATTTGCCCTACCACATCGCCCCACCCACGCTTCCCACCTTCCCTCCATCCCTTCCTCGTCCCTTACCCCCTCTCCCCCATTCATCTCCCCACCTCCCCCCCTCACAGGGCGGACGAGTGGGACATAAACAGGTGGGCGTGGGAGGGCGCGATCAGCGTGGTGTCACGCGGCGACCACTGCAGCATCCGCCTGCTCGACTCCGCCACGGGCGACCTCTTTGCGCACGCGCCCGTGCGCCCCAACCACCCACTGCCCCTCGAGGCCGTCATCGACAGCAGCCGCTTCTTCGTGCTGCGCATCGAAGACTCCTCCCCGCCCCCGCCCTCCGCCTCCTCCTCCTCCGCCTCCTCCACCAAGGGTGGGAAGCCCGCAGCAGGAACAGCAGCGGCGGCGGTGGCACCGGTGGTGCGGCATGCGTTCATAGGGCTGGGGTTCAGGGAGCGCACGGCGGCGTATGACTTCCAGGCAGCGGTGTACGACCATGTCAAGTACGTGCACAAGCAGCAGGAGGCGCGGCGCATGGGACAGGCGTTTGAGTCACGGCCCGCTGCCGACTACCGCCTCAAGGAGGGGCAGAAGCTGCACCTCGACATCAAAACGGTGCGCCAGAAGAGGGGGGGGGGGGGAAAGGGGGGGAAGGGATGTACGTACAGTGAGGGATGTGTGGTGCAAGCAGGAGGGGTCGTGCAGGGGATTGGGGGGCAGTTAGTGACAGGGCATGGGGGGAGGGGGGTTTGGCGGAAGGCAGCTTGATGGTTCCTCCCGTGCTGCTCACTCTGCTGACACGCCCTGCTGTGTGTGCGTCCCCTCCCCTTTCCCCTCCCCCCCCCCAATGGCAGCCGGCACGGGCGAAGCCAAGCACAGCAGGGCTGCCGCTGTCCCCCACCACACCCGGCAACGTGGCATTCAAGTCGCCCTCCCTCACAGGCGCTGCCCCCGATGCGTCTGCCCCCATGCGCCAAGCATCAGGGGACCATGCCGCTGCTGACTCCTCCCCACCGCATGCCACCGCAGCTGGCACCACCGCTGGCGCCTCGCCCCCCATCCTCCCTCCCCCTCCCCCAGCGCGCCTCTCCTCGCCTCCCTCCGCATCCCCCTCCTCCCCCCCCTCCACATCCTTCTCTGCGCGCTCCTTCCCCCCCGCCGCCCCCTCGCCCTCCATCGCGTGGGCGTTCCAATCCGACGACCCCCCTGCTCCAGTCACCTCCGCGCCGCAATCCATCATGCCTGCGACTTCTGGAGGCAATGAGGGTGCTGGCAGCAGCAGCAGCAGCAGCAGCGGGGGAGGACGCAGATGACTTTGGGGAGTTTGTGGCCGCGTGAGGTGCCTGTGGGCGGTAGCGAGGGGGAGGTGTGAGTTGAGAGCAGGTGGAAGGGATGAGGGGCACGGCATGGAACCCCGGGACTGGCAGCCGCATGCATGCATGCGTGTATTGCTGTGCTGCCATGGGGGTGGATGGCTTGCAAGCAGCACAGGAGAGCATCAGCATGGCCTAGCTGACACCAACTGCTGCCTGCTAAGCTCGTTCATTTTCAAGAAGATTCTCTCTCCAAGCATGTATAGTAATCCATTATCTGTACGTCACAATTACAGTGAATCTAAATTCACCCGCTACTACAATGAAGCACGCGTGGATGCACAGAGCACATCATCTGCATGTCTACTACGGTAATACCAGTGGGCCACCACTGCAGCATGCAGCACCCACAAGTACCAATCCATCTGCTTCGCCCCTACAACTCCGCGACTGCTAGCTACCTCGCACCGTTCTTCTTCCCCCACCCCACCCCCTTACCCTTGCCGCTCTTCCCCCCCAGCGCCTCGCGGTGCAGGAAAGCAGCACTCATGCGGGCAATGCGCCCGCCCACGCCCTCCTGCGCCTTCCCCTCGCCCTCTCCATCGTCATCCCCGCCCCCATAGCGCACGCGCCTGGTCTCGGCCTGGAAGTCACCCAGCATGTCTCTAACCACCTGCGCTGTGATGCCGCGCACGTAGTAGTCCAGGGGGGGCGGGGGCGACAGTGCCAGCTGCACCACCTGCTGCAGATGCACGCGTGACGCCATGCGCGCACCATGCCCTGGTTTTGTCTCACCTGCGCCCTCCCCATTTGCGCCCTCTCCGCTCCCCCCTCCTTCACTAGCGCCTGTCTCTCCAGCGGGTCGGCTGTCGAACGCCTCCCGCGCATCCTCAAACTCGCCCCCCTCCGCCCCCCGCCCCGCCTCCCCTTCCGCCGTTTCTGCTTTCCCTACCTCCTCCGCCCCGCTTCCGCCCTTCTTTGCTGTCTCCGATTCCCCCTTTCCCTCCGCCGCCTCCCCCGTGCGCATGTCCGCGGACCCTGGCACGGGCAGCGGCTCCACGCGCCAGAAGCCCTCGAAGCGCCGCATGAACCCCGGCTGCGCGATCTTGAACGACATCTGCGCGGGGGGGTGGGGAGGGGGGAGTGGGGGGGCCGAGAGGGGAGGGGAAGGGTGAAGGCATGAGGGGGAAAGAGGGTGGGGGGACGGAAACAGACGCGTGAGTGCCCGCAGCAACTCAAAAGCGAATAGAAGTCCTCTCTTTGGCCTCGCTCCACTCCGATTTCCATCTACTCTCCCCGTCGTCGCTCCACCCCCCCCCCCGTGCGACGCACCGTGCGTTCGGCGCGGTCCTGCGTGACGAGGAGGCGCGTGTCGAAGGAGCCGGAGAAGACGAGGAAGCGCCACGCGGCCGACTGCTCCACCTCGACGAGCTGCCGGTCGCCGTCGTCCTCCAGCACCTTGCGATGCTTCACCGCCTTGATGTTCTTGAACACGCGCCGGTTGTACGGGTCGCACAGCGTGTTGTACACCGCGTCGGGCGGCAGCGCCAGGGTGACGTGGCAGTCCAGCTGGCAGAAGGTGCCTTTGGGCGTCGACACCGTCAGCTGCGCCGCCTCGTCGCGCCACTCGGGGTCGTCCCGCCACGCGCGCATCTGCCGCTCCAGCTCCGCGCGCCACAAGATGCGCCCCTCGCGGTACCCGTCCATCTGCACCACCGCCTCCTCCCCCTTCCGCTGCGCCTCCTCCGCCTGCCGCTGCGCCTCCGCGGCGTGGTGCGCCTGCTCCCACTCCCGCTGCCGCGCCAGGCTCTCTTCATCCATCACCAGTTCCGCCGGCGGCTCCTCGCTCGTCGCGTCTTCGAACTTCTCTGCCACGTCACCGTCGCCGGCCGAGGCGTCCTTGCCGTCACTGCTATCGGCGGCGGGAGTTTCGGTTGGTTCGACGAGAGTTTCGCTGGGTTCTGCGGGAGTTTCTGTTGGTGCGGCGAGAGCCTCGCTAGGTTCGGCGGGATTTTCGCTTGGTACGGCGGGAGTTTCGCTAGGTTCTGAGGGAGTTTCTATTGGTGCGGCGAGAGTTTCGCTAACTTCGGCAGGAATTTCGCTAGGTTCGGCGGGAGTTTCGCTTGGTGCCGCGGGATTTTTGCTTGGTGCGTCCGCTGTTTCGGTTGGAGCGGTGGGAGCGGGCAACTCCGCAACTGGTTCTTTCTTCACGTCGCCGCCATCCACATCCCCCCCTGCCTCCATCGCCGCTCACTGATAATGTGTCCAGGATCGCGATTCCCGTGGCTTTCGCCGAAGATGATGCACCAAGTGCCGTCGCGCTGTTGTTCTGAACGAAAGACACAGCAAGTGCGGATCTGCGAAGTCAAGGACGCGCGGGGAAGTGAGCTGCTCGCTTCCTGTCGTACCTAGATGGCTATTTTATGCGACCATGTCGATAACCGAGGGAACCGCTGGAACCAATCTTGCTGCAATTTCGCCTCATAAATGCAACGCTAGGGAGGGGTGTTCGTGCACGGCAGGGGCTGGCGCGGGGATTCAGCCCAGCACGTTCTCGAGCGACATGCTGCTGGCCTGTAGGGTCTTGCTTGCGTGGCGCCACGCGGCCTGACAGGGAGGGGGCTAGACTACCAATCGCAGGGCTTGATTTAGGGAAGTCAGCAAGGCTCGCTCTCGAGCTGGTGTTTGACTACAGTTCATCGAAACACAGCAAGATTCACAGTTTTATACAAAGAAATTACAAAGAACAGTATAGAATGAGGATTATGTACACAACCCTACGCAGCCCTTGAGGGCAACGTTTCTTTGCCCATTCGGCAATGCCTATTTGGCACAGAGCCAAAGTATGGTGAAGTAATTCCAGAACCTCAGCACTTGACTCCCCGTCTCACGGGCACCCAGTTGCTCTCTTTGCGAGGCAGTGGGCTCTTGAGCACCTCCTTGTGCAGGAAAGCAGCACTTCTGACGGCACGGAAGCCATTGTCCCTCTGAAAGTGCAGCTCGTGGGGCTCCACGCCCCGCTCTCCTCCCACCTCCACTGCTCTCTCCTCTACCTCCTGCTGCTTCTCCTGCTCCCCCTCTCGCACCTTCTCCTCCACTTCCTCGTCCTCACCAGAGCTCTCGCCTTCCTCGTGCGAATCCAGTCTCACAAGAGGCGGAGGGGGGGGAAGGGACGCCTCTGCTTGCGGTTTTTCAGCGGGCGCGGGCATGTCAAACGCGAAGGCGGGGGCGGGGTCGGGGAAGGCGGTGTGGCCGTCCGCGATGGGGAAGGGCGCCTCTCTCAGGCGCCGCGCCTCCGCCATGAAGGCTGTCAGCATGTCTCTTGCCTCGTGCGCCGTCTTGTTGCGCGCCAGCATGTCGAACGGCGGGGGCGGCGGCATGGCGAGCAGAATCACCTGCTGCAGGCGCACGCGCGAGGCCATGCGCATGTGGCACTCCGCGCAGCACTCCTCTGAGTCTGTCTCATCCGGTAACACGTCACTCGCGTCAAAGAACACGTCACCCTCCTTGTCCATCTCCCCGCCTATCCATCCGAACCGCCCATCCCCCTCCGTGTCTCTGCCCTTACCACGCGCAGCTTCGCGCTCCCGGGCGGCCATGGCTTGCGCGTGTCGCGAGCACGGCACAGGGAGCGGGTCCACCTGCCACGAGCCCTCGAATCGTCGCATGAAGCCCGGCCGCGCGATCGAGAACGACATCTGCGGAGCGACGAGAGGGAAGACACGGTCTTAGCATGCGCTAGGCGTGGAAGCGAACACTGCACGCGCGCAGAGACCAGGAGTGATAGCCCAAGGACGAACCGCTCATAAGGTAACTGAAGCTACACACGTGAGCTCACGGTTTTGCCGCAGCGAGACGTACCGTGTGTTTTAGGCGATCCTGTCGCACGAAGAGTCGCACGTCGCAGGAGCCGGAGAAGATGAGGAATTTTCCGACGGCCGACTGCTCCACCTCGACGAGCTGCCGGTCGCCGTCGTCGTCCAGCACGCGGCGGTACGTGACGGCGCGGATGTTCTTGAAGACGCGCCGGTTGCACGGGTCGCACAGGATGTTGTACACCGCATCGGGCGGCAGCGCCAGCGTCACCTCCGAGTCGATCTGGCAGAATGCGCCCTTGGGGGCCGACACCTGTGCGCGCGTGGGGGAGAAGGGGGGAGGAGACAGCGAGTGAGTAGCGCACGAGATGACGGGGGAGACGGGGACGGTGCGCGCACGAGGGGAGGCAAGAGCAAGAGAGGGGATTTGGATGGAGCCTCGCGGGATGAAAGACGTGCGTGCGAGGGGCCGCGACGCAATGGGAGCGTGGCTGACCTTAACGTTGGGCGTCTCGTCGTGCCAGTGCGGGTCGTCGCGCCACGCCTGCATCTGCGCTTTGAGCGTGCGCTGCCACTGCACCGTGCCCGTCTTGTACGGCCCCATCTCCACCACCGCCTCCTGCGGCCCTCCTTTTATTCCATACTCGCATGCTGCCGCCCCCATGAATGCGGATCCCAAGTGACTCAACGGTAGAAAATAACGACACGGCTCTCTTGTTGTATGTTGCTGCACCTCGAAATCAAGCACGCCGTCGAACAGAATACTGTCGAATCCGTGTCCAGAGCAGCGATTCAGTCCTATGACGCGTTATTGTAGCGGGTTTTGTGGATTTCAATGGTAAGTAGCGAGTTCAGGATGACTAAGAACGTGTGTGAGTGGATGCTGGTAGCAGTTGACATGGATAAAGAAGCTGAGGGTCCGTGGGGGTCAGATTCGCATTCCCTTCAGCGCCCCGTCGGCATCCCACATCCCATTTCCCCAGTGCTGGTCGCGCCGCCGTAACTCCCCAAACCCAACCTCCTCTCCTCCTCACTGTCTCTGTCGACTTGCGTTGACCACACCGTGCCTCACCCAGCCCAACCACAGTGGGAGCTCCATCATCACCGCCCCTACCTGCTTCACCAGCTGTTCCGTCGTGCGCACCTCCCTCACCACCCGTTTGACTTTGCGGCTCCCCATTCGCTCAGCTTCGGCACTTGCTGAGTTGGCTTTTGATGTTGCCGATGTGTCACAGCTGCGGGGTGTCGTGGAAGTGTAGACGTTAGCAGATGAAACGCACACCGCTAGGGTTCACTGGCCGCTAGACACTCCTGTCAGGAGCGTCAGCGTCAGGTACTGTACCACAGGTACGTCCAATCAGCGCCAAGTGTTCAACAAGCAAGTCTTCGACATGGCACTCGCTGCGCGTGGTGGAAAGGGGTTCTTCCGTGGCAGTTGGCGAAGTTGATGTGCTTTCGTGCTGGCATGACGCCAGCTGCGATCAAAAGGCTCCAGCGACACCCGGAGACCAACCGCAAAACGTCACTCGGGATCAACCTCGGAGTCATCCACGTGGGTCTAGAAATTTCTGGCGTGATGCACCACCACCGCGACAACAGCGTTTTGGGTTCGGTGAATTTTGCGAAGCAGTTCCCCTCGAATTGATACACCGCCAATGACATCAGCGACCCTGACTCTTTATTGAGAGTTCAGCGAACCAGGATAACGTCTAGGTTTGGCAGCCAACCCGTGCAATGTTTGCGGGAGCTGAGATGTTTGCAAATTAGCTAAACAGAACAAAACGCCTGATTACCAAGCAAAAAGCATATATACAGGATCGCGAATTGTGCAACAAATCAACCAGTGCACACTCAGTCATCCACTTCCTCTTCCCCTGTCTCAGGCCCTTCAAACATCTCTTCAAGAGGTGGTGGCGGCACGGGCATGCACGCTTGCCCCCTCTCTCCTGACAGGATGCACAGCGCCTCGGCGTCTCTGAGGGCGGCATCCAGGTCGATGTGGCAGCTGAGGTCGTTGGCAAACTTGAGCAGCGAGTCAAACTCCATCTGCCCACACACAACCATTGTGCAGTCAACCTTGGCAGATATAACATTGACAAAACAAGCATACCCTTTCCTTTTTATGCCCCAAACTCAACACCCCGCACTCCCTCATCCCTCCCCCCCCCCCCCCCCTCCCCACCCTCCACGCACACGGGCGCACCTGTTCGTCCATGATGCGGCGGCGGTGGCGTTTGAGCACGGCAGCAGCGATGAAGAGGTGAAGATGCTGCGACAGCTGGCAGCTCCACAGCGCCTCCCACAGCCGACACGTCTCCTCAAGCTCAAACTCCCTGCCACCCCCCCACGCAATTTGCACAAAAGCAAAGACAGTTATGGCTTATGTGGGGCATTAGGGGAACAAGTGGGCATGAGGCAAGCCTGGGTGGGTGCTGGATGCGGCACTGTATGGAAGGCATCGAGCAGGGCAGGAGGGCATGGCTGACCTCTTGAAGCGCACGAGGATCCAGCGGAAGCAGAAGAAGAAGTTGAGGCAGTCCACGCTCTCCAGGTACTCGTACAGGGGCGCGTCCACCAGCTGCACCAGCTGTGCATGGGAGGAGGAGTGGGGCGGGACAGCGAGGTGAGGAGAAGGTGATGAGAGAAGGCATGCACTGGGTCCACCAGCTGCACCAGCTGTGAATAGCGGGCGCACGCGGGTGGAGAGGCAGCAGGGAGTGAGGGGCGGCATGCACATGGCGGGCACCATTAAGAGGCAGCTGTTGAGGTAGACACCAGATGAGGGAGCGAGAGCCAACAAACGCTGTGCATGCACCTGGGAGAGGGCTTGCAGCTGCGCGTGCATGCCGCTCTGGTCGCGGTGGAAGTTGGGCGCCATGGTCTCCATGTACGCCGCGAAGGCCCAAAACGCCTCCACCTCATCGCCCAGCACCATCAGCAGCGGCGCTAGCAGGTCGCCCATGCCCTGCCAGGGGGAGAGGGGGGGGAAGAGGAGGGGCGGACGAGGTGCATGGCAGGCACGGAGGAGGAGGCAAAGAGCTGATCGATTTGGGAAGGAGCATGAGCATGCAAGGCAGCACAGCAGCAAGGCAGGAGGTATCACCTGGCAGCATGGCAGCACCTGGCAGCATGGCAGCACCTGGCAGCAGCTGATCAGATGACAGCAAGGCAGGTGGCAGCACATGACATGAGAGGGCGGCACCTGGCAGTAACCGAGGTCGAAGTTGTAGAAGGCGTAGGTGATGAGGATGCGGCGCACGCGCTCCAGATTCTCATTGCCCTCCCCCGCAAAGAAGGGCACGTGCCGGTCCAAGCGCACCTGGTGGCGCGGGCCGGCAGGGGACACGGTGCAGGGTGCGGGGTGCATGGGACGGGGCAGGAGGAGAGAGGTGGAGGCAGGTCGGGGCAAGAGGTGGGGGAGAGAAGGGAAAAGTGCAGCATAAAATGTGGAAGAGTGTGCAAAAGATGGAAGTGTGCAAAAGATGGAAGAGTGTGCAAACGAGGGAGGAGAAGGTTGAAAGGGGTGTGACAACAACTGGAGGCGCAAGCGGGCACGAGGCGGAGGGGAGGGAGGGGGGGGGGGGGGGGGGGGGAGAGAAGCGGCGGAGCGTACAACGTCCTTGTCGATGCGGCTGCACCTCTCCCTGTACTTGCTGAACCGCCTCGCCTGCTCCTCACTTATACTCTGCACCGCATGGCAGCAGCATGGGGGGAGCGAGAGTGGTGGAGCATATAGTGAGGGAACCGAGCGGTGGGGGTGGAAGCAGGGTACAGAGAGACGGGGAAATGTGTTTGAGCTCTGATTGTCCGCATGTCACAAGCAACGCTCACAGGGGCCCCTGTGAGCCCAAGTGCGGCCCACCTGCCACTGCAGCAGCAGAGCGTTGTAGGCGGCGACCTGGTGCTGCCGCAGCTGCTCCCTCTCCGCGTGACTGGCATCCCACGGCACATAGCCCAGCAGCCGCGGCCACACCTGCTCGCTCCATGCGGGTGTGCGTGGGGGGCATGGGGGGCATGGGGGGCATGGGTAACATGGGTGAGTGGAATGAGAATGGGTGGCGTGGGGCGGAATGAGATGCGCTGTTACCACCCACCCACCCCCCCCCCCCATGCATACATGCACCCACGGCAGTGGCAGGCATGGCAGTGGCAGGCATGGCAGTGGCAGGCATGGCAGGGGGGGCACCTGTGCACGCAGGTGGGGTTCGATGCCGCTGTAGAAGATGCGCTGCAGCACCGCCTCCCTGCTCGCCTCGCTCACCCGCCCCTCACTGTCCTGATACCCCCGCCACTGGTGGGGTCGATTGGGGGTGGGGGGGGGAAGAGCGAAGGACGTGTGGGGGGAGATGGAAGCTGATGCAGCTACAGGCTCACGACAAGGAAGGGCGGGACAGTGATAAAAAATAAACTTGGAACTGCGGAGGAGGCGGATAAGGCGATGTGCATGGAAGCATATCAGCACGGCAGCAGGGCGCACAGCTGACCTCGTCTGCGGAGAGTGGTGGCAGTTGAGGGCGAGGCGGCACGAGGGAGGAGGAATTGTCCTGCCGGGGGGCATGCGCACACGAGGCATGCAGCGTTGGAACCCACGTCAGCACATGCATGGCAGCGAAAAGCGGGAGGAGACACACTGGCAAGGATGCAGGGGAAGAAGAATGGCGTCCAGGAGGTAAGTGGCATGTAACATGTGGCATGCAACGTGTGGCATTTGGCATGTGGGCATGCAGCGTTCACCTGAAAGTCATCCAGCAGTTCAAACTCGCCCACGCCTGTGCTCTCCTCCGTGCTCCCCTGCACACAAGCGCACATGCACATGCACATGGATGCAGTGGGGATACTGGGAGAAGATGAGAGTGCATGCATGTGCCTCGATCTCATCCCACCATGCCATCACACCCCACTCCGAACCCCCCTCTTCCCACCATCCCTCCCTCCCCCGGTTTGCACTCCGCCCTCCCCCCACAGAGTACGAACCGCACCTTGATGGTGGTGAGGCGGCTCAGACTGCCCTCACTCTCGCCCTCCTCGTCTTCTTCCTCCCCCTCCTCCCCCGCCCACCCGCCCCCCCATGCGTCAGCAGCGGGCATGCGTTCGTCCGCGTCTCTGCCGCCCAGCAGCCGCCCCTCGTAACCGCCCATGCCGCCCAGCCCGCCCATCGCCTCCCCCACGGCGGCGGGCGCGGCGGCCAGCATGCCGCGTGCCATGCGCGTCACAGCAGAGAAGCTCCCCAGCACCTGGGAGAGGGAGGCAGGGAGCAAGAGGGGGGAAGGGGGAGATGGCACAGGCATGGTTAGGCCGTCAGCATGCCATCAGCATGCCATCAGCACTGGCAGCGTTACCTAGAAGATCCCCAGCCCACCTGCATCGAGATGTCCTTTGCCACGTCAGCAGGCTGCTGGCGCTGCATGCTGTGCGGTGCACGGTGCTGGCGGTGCTGGTGCTGCGAGAGCGCCCTGCCCCGAGCAGCGTCCTGCAGGGCGCGCTCATTGGCGGCCTCCAGGATGCGCAGCACCTCCGCCTCCGATGGCTGCTCCCCGTTTCCCCCTCCCCCAGGCCCCCTTTCCCCTGCTTCCCCCGCCTTCCCCCCTCTCTTCTGCTTGGCCTGCTGCTGCGCCAGCGCATGGGCGGCCTCCAGCATGCGAAGCATCTCCACCTCACTCGGGTACTGCTGCTCCCCCTCCTCCCCCTCCCCTGCCCCCTCGCCTTCCTTCGCCTTCTTCTCCCCATCCACCGCCCCGCCATCAGAAGGGGTGGGAGTGACGGCGGTGCTGCGAGGGGCGAGCGACGGGGGCAGCTTGTTCCGCCGCACCACCTTCGCCGATTCCCCCTTCCTGCCCTCCGCGCCCTCCGCGCCCTCCGCGCCCTCCGCGCCCTCCGCGCCCTCCGCGTCCTCGCCCCCCTCCCCCTCGTCCTCGCTCACACTGCCCAGCGCCCTGCTGGCCCGCAGCGGCCCCACCGCCGACGCACTGCGCTCGCCCAACCCGTACTTCCCCCCCGCCCCCGCCCCTCCCCTCCCCCCTGCACCACCCGCCGCTGCTGCAGCGGCAGAGGGGGCAGAGGGGCGGAAGGGCGGGGCGTGGCGGCGGGCGGCGGGGAGCGACATGGAGCGGAAGTTGGCAGAGGCGCGCTCGGTGGCGGGCGGATCCCACAGCTGCAGCTGCGCTAGACTCCTCTGCTCCACCGGGGGGGGAGGGAAGTGAGGGAGAGGTGGGTGAGAGATATGGAAGACGAGATGTGTGGTTAAATGGCGCATGCAGCAGCCGCCCTACATGCATGCAGTGAGCGTGCATGAACAGGGACGGCGCATGGAGGTGCAGGGTAGGGCAGGGCAGGCATGAGCAGAGGAGCATGGAGAGGTGGGGCCGGGCAGGGCAGGGGAGGGCGGCACCTGCAGGAGGTCGAAGGACTGGTTGACGTTGTAGACATTGGGGTCATCGAGCGAGCGCACGAGCATGGCGTGCTGCTTCAGCACGTGCAGGAACTCCTTCACGCCCCCGTCGTAGAAATAGAGCGGCGGGAACGCCACCCCTGCACCCCACACACATGCGGCCAAGAGCACGGGGTCAGGTGAGCAGCGGTGCAGGGCAGATAGCGGTGAGATGCGAGGAGGCGAGGGAAGGAAGGGGAGGGCACCTGAGGTGAGGACGATGATGATGTAGTGCCATCCGAAGGGCGGAGTGTGGCGGCGGATGGATCGCATCTCTGACACCGCCACTGATCGGATGGAGTACAGCAGACTGCCGCGTGCTATGCCTGCCCCGTTGGTTGAGGGGGAAGAGGGAGGGGATTTTGGGATGGGATGATGGCCCATGGCATGGAAAGAGGGTGATAGCTCACAGGAAACTCGGTAACAGCACGGGAGGATGGCAGTAGCAACAGCTGATAACACAAGGCACACACACGTGCGGTGAGAGTAATGGGATGAACATAATGCATGGCAGGGATGCCAGGCGGCACGAGCATGGGTGTGTGACCACCACCTGGGTGGCATGCACAGAATGCACGGCACATGCCATGAGCGCAACACAGAGCAACACGCGAGGCGGAACCCCTACAATCATATTCCCCGCACACCTCTGGGCGTGCCTGCTGGTGAGGAGGGCTCGTAGGGAATCCAGTTCTGGCAGCACATGCACCGGGTGGGAAACGGAGGCACGGGGGTGCACAGCAGTGGGGCATGCCACGGCATGAGCGGAATGATTGGCATGCACAGCAGAGGACAGGCTCCTGGGAGCTGCAGAGAAGGGGAACGATAACCTGCTTGGACAAGGGCAACGGTTCACACGCAAGCAGGGCGCATGGGGTCAAGGCGAGGCAAGGGGGGGTCCGGGCAGGTCGAAAAAGGGCGAGAGGAGGCCGCGAGGGGGGGGGGGGGCGCGCGTACGAGGAACACGTCAGCGCCGTGCTTGACGAGGCGCAGCTGCCCCGCGATCTTGCGGCTGGACGACGCGGATGGGTGCACCGCCACGTTGCCCTTCACGAACAGCACCTCGCGCGCCACCCCCGCCACCGCCGCTTTCTCCTGCGCGCCTCCCCCGCCCGTCCCCTCCTGCGCCTGGTTTCCCCCTTCGCTCCCCTCCATCCTCCTGCTCCCACCGTTCTCGCGCGCGCCTGGCTTCCCCCGGAGCTCCCGCGGCGGCGCATCCGGTTTGCTGCTGCCCCCGCCATCGCTCCCCTCAGCCGGAGGGGGCTGCGCGGGCGGGGGTCGGCGCAGAGGGGGGGTGGTGGTGGAGCGGATGTAGCGCGCGTTGCCGCTCGGCACGGACGCCGACGGCGGCAGCGACGGGCCCTGTGCGACCGACTGCGCGCTCGCAGGAACCTGCGGAGGAGGGAGACGGTGCGAGGGTGCGCTTAACTCAATCGTAATTAGGACATCGAAAAGAAGGTTGAACAAAATGTAACACATAAGTGCAACTAATTTGTCAGCGACGCATTCTAAGATGATAAACGCGTGCGTTTACGAAGTCGGGCCACCCCCGACTCGTTGATGATCGGATCGAGTGCTCGCAAGTCCGAGGTGATGGCTGAAGCATTACTTGAATCAGGAAAACAATTACTAGGAAACAATACTGACAAGAATGAGTATCTGAGACAGCCTGAGAGTCGTAACGGTTAGCACTTCGAACTAGAAAACATCGAAACCGGAAGGACAAGACGGACCGCAATAACAGGCCACAACCAGCAACGCTGCGCAGCCTGTCTGACCTCGCAGCCTGTCTGACCTCGCAGCCTGTCTGACCTCGCAGCCTGTCTGACCTCGCAGCCTGTCTGACCTCGCAGCCTGTCTGACCTCGCAGCCTGTCTGACCTCGCAGCCTGTCTGACCTCGCGAAATTGACTGCGAAGCGACGAGTGACCCCTTGGCGGCGGAGGGACGTCGTCGGTGTTGGGCTCCACGCACACGCTCCTATCGCGAGCCATGCTCTCGCGCGCTCTCACTCCCACTACGAAATTCACAAACTAAAACTATTATTAACGCTATCTGAGGGTCCCGAATAATCGTTCTACCACAGGCAAGGCTGACAAAGGAGCAGGTGGTATGGTGTTGTGTGCTTTGACTGGGAAATCTCGCAACAGCACATTCAGCTTTGGGGTTGTACGGCAGGGAGGGGAGGGTAGGATGAGGCGCACGGCATCCCTGCGGCGGGCGGTTTGACTGATGACGGGGGTTGCTGAGTCGCTGGCCTGTGGTACGCGAAGGATATGTCAGGCAGGCGAGTGTGACGATGGCATTGCGACGAGGAACTGGATGGAATGGGAATGCGATGCGACGGAATAGCGATTGTTTGGGGAATCCGATGGATGTGATGGATGGGGTCACGCGGGTGAATGCCGCCGCTGACGCACAGCTCCGCGCTTTCCCCGTCGCTCGGCAGGAATGCGGTGTGGTGCGTGCAGAACACGCTTGCGAGTCCACGATATCCGTCCCCACCCAACCTCACCCCACTCCATCCCACCCAAATCTAGTCGCGGGCTGCTTCCCCCCCCCAACGAGGGTGGCTGAAATTTGTGAGGTGAGGTGGCCTCAGGTCTCGCCAAAGGTTGGTTAAAGCGGCGGTATACATTTGGCAGAACTGTTTGAGTGTGTACAGTGCACAGACCTTTTTCGCCTGAACGAATAAAAAACAGAGTGGCGAATGTGTTCGCGAAAGTCCGACTCGAAGGGTCTGTGAGAGAAGCAGGGGTGGGGAAGTTGAGAGCACAAAACCCAACGGTATCACTTTTGCTCTCGCAACACAACGCTTCCTCTCACTTCAAAGAATAATCGCTCACCAATGGATAGTTAGAACAAGCCGACAGTTGACCTAGAAAGTTCGAGGCCACCAGCGCGCGACAGAATTGCACCATCAGCAGAGCATAGCAGCGCGACACGTGCAGGCATAGGCGGGCGCCAGCACATCGAGCGCCAGGTACGCTCGCGCGGAAGCAAAGGGCGTCTAATTGCAGGCACGCCCGCGCCAGGGAAACGTTCGCCAGATGCGTGCGCCCCGCCAGCCTGCCTACTGCATCTATGCTGTCGTTTCGCCAGCGTCACTTCCGACGCATATTTAGGCATTCCGCGCGCTCCAGCACAGCGCGCGGATACCAATCCTCGTGCAATAAATGCGCCTATAAAACGCCCGCTGCAACGCGAAGCGCGGCTGCATAGCGAGCGCGTGTGACGCTTGCGGTGCAGCAAACATCACGCTGTCCCATGCGCGCGCGCGGATGCGAAGTGCCATTCAGAACCGCGCGTCCCGCTAGCCAGCTTACTGCAGCCGCCAGCAACGCTAGCAGCCGCCAGCGCGCTTCTGAGCTTTCCGCCGCCCACATCCGCCAACATCCGCGTTCCCCCGTCCGCATTTCCCCGTCCGCATTCCCTCCGCGCGCACTCGCTCCCAAGCGCGCATTCGCTCCGCGCGTACTCGCTCCTGCACCGCGCATTCGCTCCCCCCGCGCGCACTCGCTCCCCCCGCACGCACTCGCTCCCCCCGCACGCACTCGCTCCCCCAGCGCGCATTCGCTGCCCCCGCGCGCACTCGATCCCCCCGCGCTCACTCGCTCCCTTCGCTCGAACTCGCTCCCCCACCGCGCGCTCGCTCCCCCCGCGCGCACTCGCTCCATTTGCTCCCCCCGCGCGCACTCGCTCCATTCGCTCCCCCCGCGCTCACTCGCTCCCCCCGCGCGCATTCACTAGCCCCGCATGCACTCCCTTTTCCGCCGGCATGCACGCACCCCCCTGCATCCCCTCCTTTCCCTCCCTGTTTCCCCTCCTTTCCCTCCCTGTTTACCCTCCTTTCCCTCCCTGCATCCCCTCCTTTCTCCCCCTGCACTGCATCTCCTCCTTTCCCCCCCTGAATCCCCTCCTTTTCCTCCCCGTTTCCCCCCCTTACCTTCATTCCCCCACTCTGCTTGCCCCTTTTCCTCTCCATCCCCTCTCGTTCCTTCACTCTCCTCCCACGTCCAATCTCCTCCCTTCCCTCTCTTTCCCCGTCAAATCTCCTCCCTGCCATCTTCTCTCTCGTCCAATCTTCTTCTAGCCCCTTGTTTTCCCCCTTGCTAGCCCCCTGTTCCCTACCCCGACCAATCTCCTCCCTTGCCCCTACTCCCTCGTCCGCACTTCCCCTCTTCCTCTCTGTCCCGCCTTTCCTCCCTGCTTCCCATCATTTTTTCGTTTTTTCTTCCCCTCTTTTTCCACCATCCTTCCCCTAATTTTCCCCCCGTCTCTTCATTAGGGTTCCCCCTTGCTTACCATTTCGTTACCCCCGTGCTAGCCTTCCTCCGCCATGCTCACTCTTCCTTCCCCTCCAGCTTACACTCTGTTTCTCCCATCCTTTCTGGTTTTTTTCCCCCTGGTACCCTATCGTCAACCGTCAACCCTCCTCTCCCACCATTAGCCCACAACTTAACTTGTCCTTCTGCCCAACATACAATCCTGCTGTCCCCTTCTTCGTCTCTCCCCTTCCTTGCCCCCACCGTGCCATTCTGCCCACTACTGCAGGTGAAGCACGTGTTTGACACCATAGCTCTGGCTGTCGGCCTTGCAATTGGCTCTCATCAACGGCCAATCATAGCTCGCTGAAGAGGCAACCCACCTCGTGCCGCACCCTGCCGCCCGTTATGACCCCTTGGGCCTCCTCAGTCACTCGAGATACAGACAGGGACACGGCTACAGCAGTGGCCCAATTCACCTCGCTCACCCTCGCCGCTGCCGCTGCCGCCCCTTCCGCCACCACTGCTGCCACGTCAGCAGTTGCCGGCATGCAGGCTGACATGGCAGTGAGCATGCCGGCTATTTGTTCCTAGTGTCGTAATCCCGTGTTCTTGCTCCTCCCACTTGCTCTCATCTTTTCACACGCAACCCTGCCTTCCCATCTTCCATCCCTTCCTTCCCATCACCGCTCTCCCTGCCTTCCTCACTCGCTCTCCCTGTGCTCGCATCTCCTCTCCCTGCTTCGCGCCTCCCCTCCCGTGTCGTGTCCTGGTGGCCAGCACCACTGCGCTGTTGCGAGTGTGTGTGAAGCAGTGCGTTACATCCCGACGAGTTCGTGGCCTAGTCGGAGTTGCCGCCTGCGTTATTACACGATGCCAGTCCGCCCAATTCATCCCCTTCTTTCCTGCTTTTCCCTTCATTGACCTTCCTTCCTTTCCCACCCCCCTGCCCTTCCCTTCCCTGCTCCACCCTTCCCTTTCCATCCCTTCTCCCTTCCCGTCCCTTGCATGCCCACCCCTCCCACATCACTCGCCACCGTCTACCCTCAAGTTCTTGTGCATGAAGTGCCATTACTTTCTTGAATTCCTTTGTTGCTTCTCCCCTTCTGCCTCACAGCACCTTCCCATTGGGCCTTACACAATCGTTTTTGCCTACTCTGCTAATTGGCTGTGTTGATACAGAGGGCAGCAATTACAAGCAGAGGCGTAGCTGGTGGATGGTTGCCCCCACTTTTGTTTTGTCTCGTGTGCGTTGTAATGCAAGTATGGTAGTGAGTTAATCTTAGAGACATGCGTCATGAAGCCTACTATGTACTACCACGATTCAGCAGTGCAATATCCTTCCAAGATGCACTAACAGGTGTCACATCCCATACGGGTAGAAAGAAGCATGTCCTCACATAACTTTATACTGTAGGCAAAGACCAAGAGGAGCAATGCCGTTCTATTGACCCTTTCTCTATGCCTTTGGCAACAAATATTAGCTGCTTTGACATGAGATGATTGGCTGAGGCGTGTTGAAATCTTCAGAGCAGTCAGTCACTGAAATAGGAAGGGGAGGGGAAAGAATCCGGGCGGGGGGGGGGGGGGAATGAGGGGAATCAGGGGGGGGGGGGGGGTGGGGTGGGAGGGGGGAGGCGATGAGTGGAATCAGGTCGGGGGGGGTGGGGGGAATGAGGGGGAGAAGTGAGGAGAAGGGAATCAGGCTTTGGAAGGCATGTGAGGAGAAGCACATTGAGATCGCTTTCAGCGTTGGAGGGATTGCAGGGAAGGTAACAAGAGGGAATAGTATAGCAGGGAGGCAGGAGGAAAGGAAGAAAAGGAGGGAAGGGAGAGAAGGGAGGGAAGGGAGGGAAGGGAGGAAAGGGAGGAAAGGGAGAAAAGGGAGGAAAGGGATAAAAGGGAGGAAAGGGAGAAAAGGGAGGAAAGGGAGAAAAGGGAGGAAAGGGAGAAGGGAGGGAAGGGAGGGAGAAAAGGGATGAAAGGGAGGTTGCCACGATCCCCTGCCATACACTTTGCCATCGCGGCCTATCCATGCCCAGATTGCTGGCACGTAGGTTGCTTGTGAGGCGCAAATATTAGGATGTACTGTCAGGAAAGCACCCCACCTGCAACACAAGCACAGAAATCGATCAAGGGGATGTGGATGTGAGAGCTGTTGGAGACGAGAATGAAACTAGTGTGGGACTGGGTGGAGAGGTGGCTTTGATGTGTGAGGATTGGCGCAGGCGGTACAATGTGCGGAGTTGGAGTCACCCCGCCTGCAAGAGAAGCACGGTTTGAGAAAGTATAGCCATGAAAACACGGTATCGAGAGGGAAGGGAGGGAAGAGAGGGAAACGAGGGAAGGGAGGGAAGAGAGGGAAACGAGGGAAGGGAGGGGGAAACGAGGGAAGGGAGGGAAGAGAGGGAAACGAGGGAAGGGAGGGAAGAGAGGGAAACGAGGGAAGGGAGGGAAGAGAGGGAAACGAGGGAGGGAGGGAGAGAGAAACGAGGGAAGGGAGGGAAGAGAGGGAAACGAGGGAAGGGAGGGAAGAGAGGGAAACGAGGGAAGGGAGGGAAGAGAGGGAAACGAGGGAAGGGAGGGAAGAGAGGGAAACGAGGGAAGGGAGGGAGAGAGAAACGAGGGAAGGGAGGGAAGAGAGGGAAACGAGGGAAGGGAGGGAAGAGAGGGAAACGAGGGAAGGGAGGGAAGAGAGGGAAACGAGGGAAGGGAGGGAAGAGAGGGAAACGAGGGAAGGGAGGGAAGAGAGGGAAACGAGGGAAGGGAGGGAAGAGAGGGAAACGAGGGAAGGGAGGGAAGAGAGGGAAACGAGGGAAGGGAGGGAAGAGAGGGAAACGAGGGAAGGGAGGGAAGAGAGGGAAACGAGGGAAGGGAGGGAAGGAGGAAACGAGGGAAGGGAGAACGGGAGGGAAAGGGGAGAACGGGATGCGGAAAGGGGAGAACGGGATGCGGAAAGGGGAGAACGGGATGGGAAAGGGGAGAACGGGATGGGAAAGGGGAGAACGGGATGGGGAAAGGGGAGAACGGGATGGGGAAAGGGGAGAACTGGATGGGGAAAGGGGAGAACGGGATGGGGAAAGGGGAGAACGGGATGGGGAAAGGGGAGAACGGGATGGGGAAAGGGGAGAACGGGATGGGAAAGGGGAGAACGGGATGCGGAAAGGGGAGAACGGGATGCGGAAAGGGGAGAACGGGATGCGGAAAGGGGAGGACGGGATGCGGAAAGGGGAGAACGGGATGGGGAAGGGGAGAACGGGATGGGGAAAGGGGAGAACGAGATGGGGAAAGGGGAGAACGGGATGGGGAAAGGGGAGAACGGGATGGGGAAAGGGGAGAACGGGATGGGGAAAGGGGTGAACGGGATGGGGAAAGGGGAGAACGGGATGGGGAAGGGGAGAACGGGATGGGGAAAGGGGAGAACGGGATGGGGAAAGGGGGGATTGGTCGGCGAATAAGGGCCTGCATGTTGTGGCGCGGTGAGCGTGATCAAGGTGGCGTGAGGAGGCGAGGTGACGATGCCGCGTGCGGATTTGCGGCGAGGCGACGCCGTGACGGGCGTTGAGGCGAAGCTACGACGCGATGTCCGGCGAGGCAGCGGGTTCTGACTCGAGGGAGGCAATTTGCGGCGAGTGGATCATGCAAAAGAGGGATCTCCTAGGCTGCGTGGGGAGGCAAGGAAACCACTACGGAAAGCGCGGCGAAGCGGCGAGGAGAGTGGAAGTGAGGGGCAGCGGAGGAAGGCGTGACAAGATTCCACATTATGCGGGCTCGTCGCTTCGCGCGCGTGATCGCAACCCTACGCGTGGCCAGGCCGGCTGCCACACTAATCGTACGATTGACGCGACGGCGACGCCCGCGACTACTAAACGACTAGATGTGTATTCGTCGACTCTAGCGCCGGCGAGCCTAAGGGATCTGCTACGGTCGCGTCGCACTTCAATGCTATAGGCAGGTTTTTTTTTTAGTAGTGCAGGCTGAGAACGCTACGAGAGTGTGCTGGTGCGGGGGGAATTGAATCAGTATACTTTTGGCATCTATAAAGTTTTGGCACTCGACTGGGCTGACTTGGTGGGGAGGGAACCCCTTGTTTCTTGAGAGAGAAGTTGGGTGGCACGTAATTCGGTAACCACCATGTACCTTTTATAAACTTTTGGCACAGGCCCTGCCAAATGTATACCGCCGCTTTAAAGGTTAAAGGTTAAATTTGTTTTTCTGGTCGTAACCAGTTTATAAGGGGTATCCACTCCTAGATGAGCACGTGCTAACCCCTACTTGGGGCTGGCAGAACACGCCTGCACGGGGGTGGGTTCGATCCCAGGACCTCATCTATCGGAAGTGCCTCTTTCTACTGACTAGGCCACTTCGGGATCGGTCTCGCCAAAGGTTGGAAGCTTTTCGGCGCGGTGAGCCATGGATGTGTTGAGTCAATATGGAGCGAGCGAAGTTTGTTGTCCGACTCGGCTGAATTTGATCGATAATACACGACCGTGTGTTCAATACAATCCCAGCAAATGCAAAAAACGAGGCAACGTCAACTGCGTACAGAAACATATTGGTGGGAACCCACCCGATCACGAGACAGGAATAAGAGAAATAGAGAGCTCTCTAGGTCGGCGCATCGTTTCTATGCATGATCAGTGTGCCACCCAGATAGACTGTAGTATGCATGCGTTCTTGTCAGTTCCAGGCCCTGTAGATATCTGTTATCAGTCGTGTTTCTTGTCAACATATACGTCGTGTCTGTCAGTGATCTCGAATTATGTAAGCGCCTTTAGGGCCTCACGCCACCTGCGGCCTCAGCGGCTTCACCGATCGCCAATGGCAATTCGATTGCATTCTTACCGGCATCTGTCCTCCTTGCTCCTAATTATAGCATCATCCGCGGCCGCAGCCACTCCTCTCACCACCCACCAGTTCAGTCACCCCTCTCCCACCTCTGCTAATCGTCATTCCACCATCGTCAGCCATTCGAACGAGCAGTACAATGGTCGTCGCAGGCTCGTACTGCCGTCGCATCTGGCTCGTCCGCACTCCGCGGACGACACGGAGCTGCCGTGCGGCGACGCCTGGCAGCACAACTACACCGCCTTCCACTCCTCCGCCCGCGCTGCCGCGCGCGATCCATCCGCGCGCGCGCAGGAGAAGGCGGAGTTGCGGTACCTGACGTTCACGTGCACGCCGGGGCTGTGCGGCGGGATCGGCGACCTGCTCATCGGGCTCGTGTCGTCGTTCCTGCTGTGTCTGCTGCAGGATCGCATTCTGATCGTCGACTACCCCTGGATGCTCCACGCGTTCGAGCCGAACCACATCGACTGGCGCCTCGGCGACGACGTCCCCATGAACCCCGCGCGCCCCTTCCCGCCGGGCCCAAGAGACAGGCGCAGGCGCGGGGGGGGGGACCCGAACGAGGTGCAGGAGGGGGAGGTGCTGCGCGTGAATCTGCACAACCGCGACCTGCCGAGCAACGTGACGGAGTTCTTCGAGCGCATGCGCGCCGCCAGGAACATCCGGCTCATGTGGAACCGCGGGCTGCTCGTGCGGCTGTATGAGGAGGACGGGCCCTGGTGGCACGAGCTGCACAGACGAGGGCTCAGACTGCCGTCCGCATTCGGGTGCATTCTGCGATACCTCATCATGTAGGTGCCAAAGCCACCCCACTTAGTGTCGCATGCCACGTGGTTGCTTCTCACAGTGTGTCCACAGCACAGGTCATGGCTTGCTGATGAATGGCAGCACAGATGCTCCTCTGCCTGATTACACCTTACACTCCAGCAACATCCCTATGTCCGTCCACCACATTTCAGCTCCACACCTCTATCCTGGCCTCTCTCCCACCCCATGCCTAAACCGTCATGGTGGTGGTGGCAGGCCGACGCCAGCAGTGCGGCACATGGTGCGCGAGGGCATAGTGCGGCTGACATACCCGGGCACGGCGTCCATCTGCATCCACGTGCGCACCAGCGACATCTCCACGTGGGAGCAGCCCAAGGTGGGCGAGAGGGTCAAGCCGCGCAAGGAGAACGTCAAGCGCCTCCTCAAGGGCTCCCAGCGCCTCTTTGCCTGCGCTCAGGTGTGAGGTCTCGGCAGTCCGCATGCTCTTCTGCTGCCGTGCTTGGCATCATCTGTTTGTGACTGAGGATTGTGTGTGATGACCCATGCAGAAGCTGGAGGACTACTGGTATTCGAGTGATGCCCCAGGCATGGCAGTCAAGTGGGTGCTCATGAGCTCGTCACTTGGACTCAAGCAGGCTGCACAGAGGAAATATGGCAGTAAGGTAACATGAAGGCTTGTGTGGAGGTGCTGGTAGACTTTGCTACGATGGCACCACATGCCCCTTTGATTTGCTTGACTCCCACTACCTGGGTCCTCATGCAGGTGATGACAACTGATATACAGCCCCTTCACATTGAGCTTCAAGGCTTCTCAGATGAAGAAAGGGCGGAAGCCTTTCGATCCACCGTGGCAGAATGGCTGCTATTCACACACTGCAACCACTTCGTCTTCACCGAGTCAGGCTTCTCCAAGACTGCTGCATTGTACTCATTGAGAAGACTATCAGCCCACATGATGGCAAGATGGGCTGATTCCTGGAGAGACCACTCGTGGAAAGATAAATGTGATCCCGAGGAGCCCACCAGGATTACAGTGCTAGGGAATACGACCCGATGGAGCGGGATTTAGTGTGTGAATGTGATTCGTAGGCTATTATAATGAAGTTACATGGTCCACCAATTATCACGGCACACTCTGCATCATATACGGTAATTCGCGCCTCTCCCTACAGGTTTCATAATTGGTCCTACGACAGCACCATGCGATGTCATGGGGTGGGACACGTAAGCTCACTGTGACACCGTCCTCAACCCAACAAGGTGGACGGCTGAAAAATAAGCACATATTTTTGTGCCCCTCGGGCCTCGGCAAATATGATTGTATACTTGTTATGAGTTGTAAAAGAGAGTACGCAGGTAAACGAATAACGAGACTGTGACTGAATCAATTCAGAATACAATGAATGCACAGACTAATGTAGGGCTAGCCTAGCTAGGAGGAAACCTCGGGTGAGCGAGGTTGGGTGCAGGTTTGGCGATGGAAATGCCGAAAGCGACGCGAGGAGCTTCGGCAGCGTGGAAATCGCCCGAACGTGCGAACTCCGAAAATCGGGTTGTACGCGCAGTAGTCAACCCCGATAAGGAATTCGAGAAAATTCCTTACACCACCCCCCCCCTTAAGAAAGGCGGTCAGGCGGCTCTGGGACAGGTCGAGCTGTCGGGGCAGCTTGCTGACGTGCAATGTCGGTCGTGGCTGGCACGAACTTGCGAAGCAGGCTTACGTGGAAGGCGTCGTGAATGCGCCAGTCGTCTGGTAGCAACAGCTTCGCGGTGACAGGTGTCACCATCTTGATAATCTTGAACGGTCCGCAAAATCGGGGCCGTAGTTTCGATGGACCGGGCAGGTGCAGGTTCTTCGTGTCGAGGAGCACTAATTGCCCAGTAGTCAAGACGAGTTCCCGGCGTAGGAGGTCGGTGTATTTGCGGGAAGTAATATTCGCCTTGCGAATTGCGTCTGCTGCTTTCTCGCGTATATGCTGAAGTTCCGTCACAAAAGCTTGTGACCTCGGGACCGGGTTTTCGAGCGAAGTCGCCGTGGGGACCGTCGGATCCATCCCGTAATTTAGGAAAAACGGGGAGTGATTAGTCGTGCTCGACGGTGCGTTGTTGAAGGCGAATTCCAACATTGCGAGGGAATCTTCCCATCGTGCGGGGTCGGGGCAGTTTGTCCGTATCAGCTGCTCCATCGTTTGGTTGGTGCACTCTGTTTGTCCGTCCGTCTGTGGGTGGTATGCCGATGAGAACTGTAGCTTCGTGCCGTACTGCGCCCATGTCTCCTTCCAAAACTTGGATGTGAATTTCGGGTCCCAGTCGATGATGATCGCCGAAGGGATGCCGTGTAGTCGCACGACCGTTGAGATGAAGAGGCGCGCAGTTTCTTCGGCTGTGATCGTCGTTCGGCATGGTGCGAAGTGCGCCATTTTCGTGAAGCGATCGACGACGACGAGAACAGCGTCGTTGCCGGACGGCCCAGCTGGCATCCCCGTGACGAAATCCATCGTCACCTGTTGCCACGGTCTTTCGGGTGGCTCGAGGGGTTGCAGCAGCCCAGCTGGTCGCTGACGTGTCGATTTCATGGCTTGGCACACCCTGCATGAGGACACATAACGTAGCACATCGTTAGAAGAATCGGGCCAGTAATATTGACGGTGCAGTAATTTCTGGGTTTTATCAACCCCGAAGTGTCCGGAGTAATTCGAATCGTGGACCTCCTGGATGAGGAGTTCACGCAGTAGCCGGTAAGCGGGGACCCAAATCCTGTCGGTGCCGGCTTTTAGGTAATAATCCCCCTTTTGCGTCGTGGCTTGCTAGGATTGCCTGTCGTGAAAAACGGGTCCGTAGTGTAGCCGTGGGTGAATAGTCCTGTAAGTAGCGGGTTCGAATGGGTTATCAGTACCGCAGCGGATTGTACGGTCGGTCTAGTCAGGGCGTCGGCGATGTTATTCGCCCCTTTCTTGTACGTGATGCGGTAGGTGAAGTGGCTCTCCATGTAATCCAGCCACCGAATTTGTCGCGGGTTGAGGTTCGGTTGAGCTCGCAGGTACTGTAGGGACTTGTGGTCCGTGCGCACAGTGACGTTGGCGCCCACCAGGTAGCATCGCCACAGTTTAAACGCGTGGATTATGGCGAGCATCTCCTTGTCGTGGATCGGGTAGTTGCGCTCGGCAGCTTGCAGCTTGCGTGATTCGTAGGCGATCGGCTGCAGCCCGTTCCCGAAATCCTGGAGAAGCACTGCTCCGATGGCGAAATCAGAGGCGTCGGTTACAACTTCGAACGGCTTCGATGGGTCGGCGATGCGCAGTACAGGAGGAGAAACGAGAAAATTCTTGAGCTCCTGGAAAGCCGCCTCTGCCTCCTCCCCCCACACGAAATTCTTGTCCTTGTGCAGCAGGTCGGTCAGCGGGCCGGTTATCCCCGCCATATTCGGGATAAACCGCCTGACGTAATTCACGAACCCCAGAAAACTCTGAAGCTCCGTGACATTAGTCGGGGCCTTCCACTCCTGTATGGTTTTAATCTTCGCCGGGTCAATTTTAATGCCGTCGCGGGAGATGACGTGCCCTAAAAACTCCAACTCCTGCTTAAAAAACTCGCACTTAGAGCCCTTGGTGATGAGGCGGTTCTCCTGCAACCGTTTAAATACTGCGTCCAGGTCGCGGAGATGCTGCTCCCGTGTCTTGCTAAAAATCAGGATATCGTCCAAATAGACGATGACACATCGGTCTAGAAGATCGCGAAAAACCCTGTTCATGGTCAGTTGGAATGTCGAAGGCGCGTTCGTGAGGCCGAAAGGCATCACTGTAAATTCGTAACTCCCGTAGCGTGTACGAAACGCGGTCTTGTGACAGTCGTCGGCGAAGACCCGAATCTGGTGGTAACCGCCACGTAAGTCGATTTTCGAGAAGTAGCGAGCGCCGCGAAGTTGATCGAGAAGGTCGTCGGTGCGTGGGATTGGGTAGCGAGATTTGATGGTCACCCGGTTCAACGCGCGATAATCGATGCACATGCGAAGCCCGCCGTCCTTCTTTGGAGTGAACAGGATCGGTGCCGCGAACGGGGAGGTGCTCGGCCGAATGAAGCCTTTCTCCAACAGTGCAACAATTTGTCGGCGTAGCTCCTCGAGTTCCGGTTGGGTCAACCGCCACTGTGTCCGAACAGTAGGTTGCGCGCCAGGTTCCAGCTGGATTTTGTGGTCTTCGGGTCTCTCGGGTGGCAGTCCAGGTGGCAAATCGTCCGGGAAAATGTCGGGGTACTGTCGAATTAGCTCCGCTAAATCCGGAGGTACAGCTGCACACAGCTTCTCGATGTCTTTTCCGTCGGTGTCAACTGCCAACTCGCGCAAGCGGACGGCGAACAGCTGCGCACCCCTGTTGAAGTGGTGGGCGATGGTGATGGCTTTGACGCACGGGGCTTGGATGTAGTCAGGTGTCCATGCAGGCAACTTAATTAGCCCCTCGTGCTTGCTGACGCAGCACGATCCCGTTGTCCAGTCGATGACGGGGTTGTGTCGTCGCAGCCAATCACGTCCCAGCAGCACGTCGCAGCCGTCCAGCGTCGTCGTGAGAAACTTCATGCTGAAGCCGAAATCTTCGCCGCACTCGATCCGCACCGTCCGTGTTTCTTCCGTTATCGCCAGAGGCGTCCCATCCACGAGTCGTGCGTCGATTTCGGGTAGACACCTGTCAAGTTGCATGTTGCATTTTTTTGCGCTCGCCAAGTTGAAGAGGCTATGGCTGGCCCCTCCATCGACGAACATTTTCAGATGATGTTTCCCCACCTTGCCAGCGACCAGTACAGGATGATCCACATGATTATCCCCGTTATTCGGCCGAGTGCGATCGATTGCATGAATCGGAACCACGACTCGGTGGGGATGGTGGTGTTCGGGCGACGGAGCATAGTCAGTAAAGGGCCCGTTACTTACTGACTCTTCCCATTTCCCTGCTCCTTCCTGTCGTCCCCTGTCAGCGGCATCTTCTCCTTGCATTCGTTCTTCCAGTGACCCACCTTCCCACACCGGAAACACTGACCCTTAGGAGGGCGGTCGGGTGTATGGACGGCGTTGATTGTGGCCCGATGGGTCTGGCCACGAAAACCTCTCCCATCCCTGGAAGCCGTTCTCGCGTACTGCATCAGCGCATCAGTAGACTCTGCCACGCGTACTGCTTCGAGAAACGATGTCGGGCGGCTGCGACGAACCTCAAACTGTATCTCGTATTTAAGGCCACTCACGTATTTATCCAACCGCTCGACCTGGTCGGCGAGGCCCATAAATGACGCCGTGTAGTCTTGGACAGATCCCATCTGCGACCATGCACGCAGCTTCATGCGAGCTTGCTCCGAGGCGGATACGTGCTCGAAGCGATCCCGTAAGGCTGCGCCCCACTCCTTCCATGTGCGTATCTTGGTCACACCGAAGATTGGTTCTGCAACTTGATTAACCACTGTAGAGGTCCCGTCTGCCGCATGTGTCACACCTGTCGGCGTCCCTGTTTCCAAGGTCCGGCGCCACCATTCAAGTGCTGCACCTCGAAGAAGCGAGACTGCGTAATTAATGCGCGTGGCATCGTTATTAACTCCGGCTGCAGTGAAGAAAACCTCAACCCCGAACAGCCACCCTTTTACCGTAACCGCTTTATCCGTAGGATTGAACGGGGGCGGGTTGACGGGCTTGATTTTGATCGTCGTGACTGCAACTGGTGCTGCTGCCGCTCGCTGCCTATCTTCTTCTTCGAAGTCACGTGTGAGCTCGTCCAGAGGATTGCCCATCACTTGGCTGTTGCCCTCGCCTTCGTCCACAGGCGACGTCTGACGCGCTTCACCTCGCGTCCGGCGTAGCTCGGCGTTTTCCTCCTTCAGCGTTGTCACTTCCGCTTGCAGCGATTCCATACCCTTCGCCATTTCTGCCACTTGCGCCATCAGTCGGTTAACAGCCTCCTGATCCATGTGTCTAGCACTACGTCTGGTGGGCAGTTGGGTACCCGTGGCCACCCGGCAAGTGAAAACACGAACTATCGGAGTCGGGCAGGATTGAATTAACAACCTCTGCAGCCAACCGTCGTGTAGTCACTAAACCAACCACACCCTATGCCACCAAACTACCCTCGAAAAGCGGGGTGAACTAGGAAAGTAGCTCTGATACCAGGTGTTATGAGTTGTAAAAGAGAGTACGCAGGTAAACGAATAACGAGACTGTGACTGAATCAATTCAGAATACAATGAATGCACAGACTAATGTAGGGCTAGCCTAGCTAGGAGGAAACCTCGGGTGAGCGAGGTTGGGTGCAGGTTTGGCGATGGAAATGCCGAAAGCGACGCGAGGAGCTTCGGCAGCGTGGAAATCGCCCGAACGTGCGAACTCCGAAAATCGGGTTGTACGCGCAGTAGTCAACCCCGATAAGGAATTCGAGAAAATTCCTTACAATACTCCTACGCAGCTACACGGCAATTCGGATACCGGTATGAAGAATGATTTTCAAGCCTTGAATCATTGGTCGTCGTGAAAGAATCGGGCGATGTGATGTGAGCAACTCCCTTGCAGGACCACCTCGTCTCCCGTTTTCCGCCCTCATGGAAGCGGAGCTGGCTGGCGCCGCCCACGTCCTTCCGCCCCTCCCCCGCAGGAGAGGTGGCGGGCAGGCGCAGGACAGAAGCAACCAAAGGAGCAGCGGTATTATCGAGCTTGACTGGCCTCCACCCATGTTTGCAGTGGCTCCTTCGAAGAACCTAATTTAGCCTTCGACTGCCTCCGGCGAGGTCAGCCGCCATGGCCGACGTGAGTTCTGACACATTTTCTTCTATTTATTGGCCGCATGTTAGTGTAGCGTAGTTTTCGAGGCAGGCATTTGTATCGAGTTCATTCTCTGGCTCACGCGGCGGTGCTTTGTTTCCGCTGTGTGTGCATGTGTTGTCGTGGGTCGACGCCGCTGGTCAGACAAAGAAACGGGCGCCATCATTGCGCGTGCTCGCGACACCAAGTCAAGGTACGCTGCTGGCATTTCTGCCGTCCTCGCTTTTGAAGAGGTTTTGTTTTTCCTAAAAGGTTAAACGCCGGCGCTTGCAAAGCGGCTCACTATGCTCCTGTCGGTTTTCACCCGTTTTTGCGGTGTGCAGACCGGTTCACCGATCTGTACGACCTCGGGCAGAAGCTGGGGTCGGGGCAGTTCGGGACGACGTACGTGTGTCGCGAGCGCGCGACGGGCAACAAGTACGCGTGCAAGTCGATTCCGAAGAGCAAGCTGCTCACGGAGAATGACGTCGAGGACGTGCGACGCGAGGTCGCCATCCTCTACCACGTGCAGGTGCGCTCTGCCTCCGCTGCGCCACGTGCAGGCGCGAACTCCCATAGTTGCTGTACGCAGCGCCGGATGCATTGCTGCAGTGTCGGCAATGCTCCGCTGCCGACAATGCGGGGCTGCTGGCAATGCTGCGCTGCGGGCAATGCTGCGCTGCGGGCATTGCCGCGCCGTTGCCATTGCTGCGCTGCCGGATTGCTGCTGCGCGCGCTAGTAGACAGCCATGTCGCGCTCGCATCTACCGCGCATGCGTCCACCTCTGACCGCGTTGCATCCTCGTCGTCGCCTGACTGCTATCCGCGTGCGTGCGTGCGTGGGAGTGCAGGGCCAGCCGAACATAGTGAACATGAAGGGCGCGTACGAGGATCGCGACTACGTGCACATCGTGATGGAGCTGTGCACGGGCGGCGAGCTCTACGACACCATCATCGAACGCATCGAGGCGCGCGGCGTCCCCTACTCGTAACCCCGCCCATCCCTGCGTCCTTCACCTGCTCCCCAACCCCCCTCGCACGCCTCAATTCAAATGCTCGTCTCCGCGCTTGTTCCCCGTTTCTCCTCTCCTTCCACTCTCCATTATTCCCCCTCCTTTCCTCCCTCAACCCTCGTTCCCCTCCCCCCCCCCCCCCACCCCTTCCCCCGCCACCGTTTCCCACTTTTCCCCACCTGCGCCCCCCGCAAACTCCCCCAACCGATCCCCATTGCGCCCCGCGCAGCGAGCACGACGCGGCGGAGATGGCGCGCGTGATAGTGCGCGTGGTGGAGCGGTGCCACGCGCTGGGCATCGTGCACCGCGACCTCAAGCCCGAGAACTTCCTGCTGTCCAGCCGCGACCCCGACTCGGCGGAGCTCAAGGCGACGGACTTCGGGCTGTCGTGCTTCTACAAGGGCGAGGGCATGGCGCGGCACTGCGGCTCGCCCATGTACATGGCGCCCGAGGTCGTGCGCTGGCGCTCCGCCACGCACCTCATGGCCAAGCGCCCCGCCAAGTACGGCCCCGAGGTCGACATCTGGAGCGCGGGGGTCATCATCTACGCGCTGCTCTGCGGCTTCCCGCCCTTCTACCACAGTACGTGCGCTCGTATCGCAGTGGCTTGCCAGTGAGGTTGATGACCGAATGGCGTGACTCGTGCAATCAACTGTTGCTGTTCCACCCTCCGCTTCTCCTCCTCGCCTCTCTGCCCACCAGTTCCCAACCTCCTCCGCACCAAACCAAACCCCCTCCTCCCCCCCCTCCCTCCCCCTCCCCTCCCCTCCTTTCCTGCCCCGCCACTCCCACTGCCGCGCCGTGGTGCTGGCAGGCAGCCATTCGACGAAGGAGATATTCAAGGCGGTGCTGCGCGCGAACCCGTCCTTCTCCATCCCGCCGTGGCCGTCCATCTCCGACCAGGCCAAGGACCTGCTGCGCCAAATGCTGCACCCCGACCCCTCCAAGCGCCCCTCCGCGCACGAAGTGCTCTGTCAGTCCCGCTCCCCGCATGCTCCGCCATCCCTTTCCCCCATGTTACTCTCTCATTCCCCCACCGTGTCCCATGCATGCCCTTTCATTCATGAAACCTCGTCCCTCCTCCCTTCCCCCCCTCAGCAGCAGCTCCCCAACCCCAGCCCACTTAACCCCCTTCTTCTCCCCCCCCCTCCCGCCATTGTGCGCGCGTGGCGCAGGCCACCCGTGGCTGGCGGAGGCGGGAGTGGCGCAGACAGAGCCGCTGCCGCCGGTGGTGCTGACGCGGCTGAAGCAGTTCACGTCCATGGTCAAGATGAAGCGCATGGCCATGAAGGTATGGTCAAGATGAAGCGCATGGCCATGAAGGTATGGTCAAGATGAAGCGCATGGCCATGAAGGTATGGTCAAGATGAAGCGCATGGCCATGAAGGTATGGTCAAGATGAAGCGCATGGCCATGAAGGTATGGTCAAGATGAAGTGCATGGCCATGAAGGTATGGTCAAGATGAAGCGCATGGCCATGAAGGTATGGTCAAGATGAAGCGCATGGCCATGAAGGTATGGTCAAGATGAAGCGCATGGCCATGAAGGAATGGTCAAGATGAAGCGCATGGCCATGAAGGTATGGTCAAGATGAAGCGCATGGCCATGAAGGTATGGTCAAGATGAAGCGCGTGGCCATGAAGGTATGGTCAAGATGAAGCGCATGGCCATGAAGGTATGCCTTTTGATGAACGAGGGGGGGCGGGGAACATTCAATCAACGCGCCGAAGCAAGCTAAAGCAGCGCACAATATGAATGCAACAGAGAGGGAGCAGAATGTAGGGAAATGTGTGGGGCAGGCAGTTTTGATGTTGCTGCCACACCACTGACGAGCAGGAAGCATGAGATGCCATGCGAGTCACATTGCATGCGCCCTCCATGCCTCGTCGCCCACCCCTCCCATTACCACCCATGAACGACCCACCTTGCTCCCCTCCCCCGCTTCCCCCTCCCGTCCACGCACCCCCTCCCCCTTCCCACAACCCGCGCATCACCGCCTCTCACAACCGCCTGTCCCCCTACGCATGATGTGGCGGGGCGGGGCGGTGGTTGAGGCAGGTGATAGCGGAGGGGCTGAAGGAGGAGGAGATCCGCGGGCTGCGCGAGCTGTTTGAGGCGATGGACACGGACCACAGCGGCACCATCACCATGACCGAGCTGCGTGACGGACTCAAGAAGTACGGCGCCAACCTCAGCGACGCCGAGATCAGCAGAATCATGGAGGAGGTGCGATGGGGGAGACTGTGGAGGAGGTGTGGTGAATGGTGGAGGGGTTAGATGATTGAATCATGCAGGAAGTACGATGAACAGAACCAAGGAGGAGGTGAGATGAATGATGGAAGAGGTGAGATGAGCGGAATTGTGGATAGTGTAAGATGAGAAGAAGTATGTAGGAGGTGAGGCGAGGTGAAGCATCGAGAACGGGGGAGTGCAGTGGCGGGTGAATGGAGAGCGAGGGGGGGGCGGGGGCATGGTGGTGGGGCACGGCAGTGTGGTGGTGCTTAGGACGCGTCACAATTGCGACATCGAGGGAGGATCGCGGTCACACGCCGATCCTGTGAGAATCGATCTCCTCCGAGCCAGATGTGTCGTGATCGTCTTCAGGTTCGATAGTTAGCGGGGTTAGAAGCCTTATTGGAAGTTGTTAATGCAATATGTATGATTTCAGTGCGGTAACAGATCAATTTGAAAGTGACATCGCGTTCGGTGACTTGTGTCGGGTCCTAGCGAACTTTCACGAAATAGGGATACAAGTCACAGCGATTTACTCTACACCCCAAACATCGCTCTCCCGCAGGTTCGGTGTCGCAATTGTGACGCGTCCTTAGCAGACTACATTACTCATGCCATGTGACATTTTGTTGTGCTGGCATGCTGGGTGCATGATGGCCATGTGGTGGCATGGTGGACATGAAATGGCGCGTGATGGCATTGTGGGCATGTGACTTGTATGCTTTGGCATATGATGGCATGCTGGGCATGTAATGGATTGCATGGCATTGGATGGCATGGTGGGCATGTGATGGCATGGTGGGCATGTGATGGCGTGGCATGCCCCTCGCAGACGGACATAGACCAGAGTGGGGAGATTGAGTACGGGGAGTTCCTGGCAGCGACGCTGAATCTGAGCAAGATAGACAAGCAGGAGAACCTGCTCAAGGCGTTTGCCTTCTTTGACACAGATGGCAGCGGCACCATCACGCTGGACGAGCTGCAGAAGGCGTGTGAGCAGCTCAAGATGTCCACGGGCGAGGTCGAGGCCATGATGCGCGAGGTCGACGAAAACAAGGTCCGTGCACGCTGCTGGGGGGAAGACGGGTGGGGGGAAGGGGGGTTTGGACGAGGAGGGGAGGGGAGGGATGGTTTGGGCACAGAGGGGTTAGGGGCTGGGCGGAAGTCAGTGTCGTGTGAGCGTCATACACTAAGGTCGTATCTCCAGCAAGTGTCAAGAAGGGCTTGGTGTCAAGCGTTGTTAACGCTTGACACCAAGTGGAGCCGCGTCTGAGCGCGGCTCCAGCCTGGTGTCAATGTTGGGCACATTGGACGATTTCCCGCGATCACATTGGTTGGATTAGCTGACACCAGGAGGGATAGTCCTCCGAGTTGGTGTCATGACACTAGCCCTTCTTGACACTTGCTGGAGATACGAGCTAAGTCTGTGCTTTGCTGTGTTGTTTTTTCTCCACTGCGGAATGCAATCTGCTGATATCATGCTTATTGCCTGACCGATTTTCTAATCAAAATGAGTGCAGGACGGGACGATTGACTACCAGGAGTTTGTGGCGATGATGAGGAAGACACAGACAGGGGGGCTCACTCGCCGAGACATCATGGATGGTAACTACGGCCTCACAGATAAAGAGTTTGGAAGCGAATCCTTCCGTTTCTTGCTCAGCTGATAGCGTTGCAGGAACTTGTCACTGCCTAAGCTGGTTCAACGAATGTAGGAATTGTCTGAGATGTTAGCTCTTGTAACTTTATTTGAATTGCTCTTAGTGCTGTATGTCCCTCGTGTTTTCGTACTCCCTAACTTCGTAACCTAGTTTCAGCGCATCACCTTTTCGCAAATTGTACGTCGTGAATTTCAGCCCGCTGGAGCGGAGGTGGCATCCCAGCTTCAGTGGTCGCCACGTCGGCTAATCCCGATGACGTGGCTGTATCTTGGAAATAGCCCCAATCGCCAGGTTCTTGGGGATTGTGGAACCAATTCGAATGGCAGCGCCTGGAAAGATGCGCGCTCCTAGATTGCCCCGTCCTCCTCGCTTCCCCCCTCCCCGCCTCCATCGCGCCTTGCGCTCTCGGCTCCTCAGCTAGGTACGCCCCTCTCTGCAGCCACCTCCCTCGACTCGAATCTCTCGTCCACGACCCCGCCTCTCCGCGCCACATGAGCGCAACAACAGCCACGAATATTCGTTCATACAATACAGAAGAGTTGAGGTGATCACAGCAGGTGTAGAGATTTGAGGCGAGGCATGGCGCACAGGCAGGAATAGGCTTCGTCCCTGTCGACCACCAGAACTTCCGGTGCGGCCGTCTTAATCGCGCCATTGTCTCTACGTTGCGCCGTTTCAGCCATGGCTGCTCTGAACCAGAGTGCAGTCCTCCAGCCAAGTACGGTTCGTGTCATGCTTCTGCCCAACACCCCTCACTCTTCCCAATTCCCGTTTGCTCTGCCCAATTCCCGTTTGCTCTGCCCAATTACCGCGATTCGCTTTTAAAATACATTCAATAGTGTTACAAATTCATGAAATTCACATGAGCGTAGAGTCACCGGCAATCTGAAGCATCGTGGGGATGAAATGCGAACCCGCTCTCTCCCCGCCATTGTCTCAGCGCGTCTCGCTATCGGTCACTCGTCCCACCGCACCTCCGCGCGTCGCGTCGAATGCAATCCCGCGTTCGCGCCATGCGCCAGCCTCGCGCCATACTCGGTCGTTGCGCCATCAACCGTCAGGGCCCGCCCTCTCCGCGCCAATCAAAGTAGCCGGCGACCGCATTCGAGGCGGCTGGTCGTTCGTGCGGCAGAAGGCGACGAGGGCGCAATCGCTCGTCGGGTGGATGAAGCGCAAGGCGGGGACGCGAGCAGCAGAGGCGGTGGTGATGGCGCAAGGGGGGAATCCGCGGGCGATAGCGGCGGAAATGGTGCGCTTTCGGCGGGGACGGGTGTGACTTCCGCAGATGCGCTGGTCGGCACTAATGGAGCGGTAGGCGAGTCGGCATCGTCGGTATCGGGGGGAGAGGCAGCGGCGGCGTCGTCCCCCGGGTGGTGGAGCGGCGTGTGGGGCGCGGGGGGCTGGCAGAAGCGGTGGAGCATCGTGGTGCTGTGCTTCTTCGCCTTCCTGCTCTGTAACATGGACCGCGTGAGTCAATGGCGAGGGGGAGGGGAGAATGGGGCACACGGAATGCAACATGGACCACGCGTCCTGACTGGGGAGGGGGGGCGGATGCAACATGGACCGCGTGAGTCACGGGGGTGCGAGGGGGGGGAAAACAACGCAGCATGGTCCGCGTGAGTCACGAGGAAGGGGGGAATGCAACATGCAGTGCGTGAATCATGGGGGGAACGGGAGTGCAGCATGCTGGGCAGGTCGTTGCACACGATGGATGAGGCGCTGCTGGCCTGGTGGCCGTGCGGCCATGCGCACATGCCGTGCTGCTGCGCCTCACGTACTGCTCATGCACATCAAACCCTCCCCCCTTCCTCCATGCGCGCGGGCACCTGCAGTGCAAACTGTCGGCCCCTCCTAACCCCTTTCCTCCCCTTCCCCCCGGGTTGGTACGGGGTGGGTGCAGGTGAACATGAGCATAGCGGTGCTGCCCATGGCGGAGCAGTTCCAGTGGTCGCCCGCCACCGTGGGGCTCGTGCAGTCCTCCTTCTTCTGGGGCTACCTCCTCACGCAGGTACCGCTACCTACCTCCTCACGCAGGTACCTGCCGCTACCTACCTCCTCACGCAGGTACCGCTGCCGCTCGGCCTACCCTCGTCACGCACGCATGTGCCCCTCACGCAGGTGCCTCGCTCGTGTGTGTGCGCTGCAATCACCACTCACACATCGCGTGCTCACATCTTAACACTTGTTTTTCTCACCCAGTTGCCGTGCCGCTATGCCCTCTCACCACTCTCTACGCTCTTCCTCCCCTCCCCCTCCCATCCCACCCCATTCCCTTCTCCCTCTCTCACCCCCCTCCCCTCCGCGAGCGCGCCCCTTCCCCTGGGAGCACGGCAGGTGGCGGGGGGGGTGTGGGCGGACACGATAGGCGGCAAGCAGGTGCTGGGCTTCGGCGTGGTGTGGTGGTCGCTCGCCACTGTGCTCACGCCCATCGCCGCCTCCCTCGGCCTGCCCGCTCTGCTCTTTGCTCGCGCCTGCATGGGCGTCGGGGAGGTGAGTCTGCCTCCCTCCCACCATGCCACCCTCCTCGCCGCCCACCCTCCCTCCCGCCATACCCCCCTCCTCGTTGCCAACCCTCCCTCCCCCTCGCCTCTGCCGCCGCTCACTTAACTGCTCCTCCCTGCTTCCCTCGACCCACCTGCTTGTCTCTCCCCCTCCACGTCCGCCCACCTGCTGGGCCTCGCTTCCATCACCCACCCCACCCCACCTGTCCCAAACTTCCCCCAATCTTTCCTCAATTCCCACCCTTCCCCATCCCTCTCGCTCCCCCACCTCACCGTTGTCCCCCCACCCATCACCTTCCCCGCCAGGGGGTGGCGATGCCAGCGATGAACAATCTGCTGTCCAAGTGGGTGCCGGTGCGCGAGCGCAGTCGCTCGCTGGCGCTGGTGTACAGCGGCATGTACCTGGGCAGCGTCGCGGGGCTCTCGCTGTCGCCCGCCATCATCCACGCCTTCGCCTGGCCCTCTGTCTTCTACTCCTTCGGTGCCCTCGGCCTCGTCTGGTTCGCCTTCTGGCAGACCAAGGTACGCCACGTGCTGCTGTCCCGCTCCATGCACTGCAAAACTCCCAGTACAAAAGAAACAAACAACAAGAACAAAAAATGACACGGCTATTTCTACCACAGAGCCCTTGGCTGCCCCTCCTGTGCAGCCTAACTACCTCCCGCCCTCACTCCCCGTCACCCCTCTCCCCTCAGGCGTTCAGCTCGCCTGCAGAGGACCCGAGTGTGTCGGCCGCAGAGAGGGCGCTCATAGCAGACACGGGCGCACAGAATGGGCAGGGGGCGGGCAAGGGGCAGGAGGGGGGAGGGGGGCCGCACCTGGAGGGCGGTGAGGCGCTGCGGCTGTCAACGATCCCGTGGAAGGTGCTGCTGAGCAAGGCGCCCGTGTGGGCCATCATCATCTCCCACTTCTGCCACAACTGGGGCGTCTTCATCCTCCTCACCTGGATGCCCACCTACTACCATGATGTGAGGCATGCCCACCTACTACCATGATGTGAGGCCCACCTACTACCATGATGTGAGGCCCTTGAGACATAGGCATGCCCACCTACTACCATGATGTGAGGCCCTTGAGACATAGGCATGCCCACCTACTACCATGATGTGAGGCCCTTGAGACATAGGCATGCCCACCTACTAACATGATGTGAGGCCCTTGAGACATAGGCATGCCCACCTACTACCATGATGTGAGGCATGCCCACCTACTACCATGATGTGAGGCCCACCTACTACCATGATGTGAGGCCCACCTACTACCATGATGTGAGGCCCACCTACTACCATGATGTGAGGCCCACCTACTACCATGATGTGAGGCCCACCTACTACCATGATGTGAGGCTTGTGGGGCATACGCATGCCATGCCCACCTACTACCATGATGTGAGGCTTGTGGGGCATACGCATGCCATGCCCACCTACTACCATGATGTGAGGCTTGTGGGGCATACGCATGCCATGCCCACCTACTACCATGATGTGAGGCTTGTGGGGCATCGGCATGCCCACCTACTACCATGATGTGAGGCATGCCCACCTACTACCATGATGTGAGGCATGCCCACCTACTACCATGATGTGAGGCTTGTGGGGCATCGGCATGCCCACCTACTACCATGATGTGAGGCTTGTAGGGCATAGGCATGCCATGCACACCTACTACCATGATGTGAGGCATAGGCATGCCCACCTACTACCATGATGTGAGGCATAGGCATGCCCACCTACTACCATCCCATGATGTGAGGCATGCTCACCCACCTGCTATTACATTGTGAGTCATCCTCACCTGCTACCACGATGCTCGTTGTGCCACAGCCCTCCCATCCACCCAGTAACCCACCTACAAACAAGCCCCTTTAATCTCCTAATCCCTTGTCGCCAACCCCCCTGCATGGCTCGCACATGGCACATGGCACTGGCACATGGGCGGGTGGGCGGGGGCAGGTGTTGGGGTTCAACCTGACGGAGTCGGGGCTGTTCGCGGTGCTGCCGTGGCTCACCATGGCCATCGCCTCCAACGTCGGTGGCTGGATCGCCGACACCCTCATTGCCAGGGGGCTCTCCGTCACGCTCGTGCGCAAGGTGGGCCTCTGCCCCATTCCCTCGTGCACCCCCGCTTCTCCCCGCTTACTCTCCTCTCTGACTCCACCTTCGTTTTCCAATATGCTTGTTCACTAACCTGCTCCTCTCGCGTCCTGTGGGCCTGCCGCCCCTCCACCCATCTCCCCCACAACAGGTGATGCAGAGCATTGGGTTCCTGGGGCCGGCCATCTGCCTCTCACTGCTCTCAACGGTCAAGTCGCCCGTGGCTGCCATCGCCCTGCTCATGCTCTCCCAGGTAGGTACCCACCCACAAACCCACTATCTCTCACTGCTGCTGCCTCTCACTCTACCTCACTCGCACACTCTTCTTGCAACTGTCTTGGATTCTCCCATGCCCCTTGCATCCATGCCCCATGCCCCATGCCCCATGCCCCATGCCCCATGCCCCATGCCCCATGCCCCACGCACCTTCCCCCCCCCCCACCAGGGCACGGACGCCTTCTCCCAGTCGGGGCTCTACTCCAACCATCAGGACATCGGCCCACGCTACGCGGTCAGTGCCTCTGCCTCCCCACTGCCGCACGTTCGCTGCCTGCCTCTGTGCCGCTCTTGCACCTGCCATTCTCACTTCCTTTGTCCCTCACCCACCCCGTTCTTCCCTTCTTTCTGCGCCCGCATTACTTGCCTCACCACCACCCCTGTCTCTCGACCGTGCCTGCTTGCCGCACCTCAGGGCATTCTGCTGGGTCTGTCCAACAGCGCTGGTGTGCTGGCAGGGGTCTTCGGCACCTACGTCACGGGGCAGATCCTTCAAAACGGTACGTCACAGACTCACGCTACGATCCCATATACAGCCTTGGGAGCCGCAACGCCCTGCCGTACTGCCTCCCCCATACAGCCGTCTCAACAGCACCACCTTCCCTCCCCTCTCACCTCCTCTCATGTGCCGTGTGGTGGCAGGGTCGTGGGACGAGGTGTTCACGGTGGCCGTGGCGCTGTACCTGGTGGGCACTGTTGTGTGGAATGTCTTCGCCACGGGGGAGAGGGTCTTTGACTGACCCGCTGCCTGCCTCCTCGACTTCTCTGATTGCATGTGCAAGCTTGGGGTAGTATGAAAATACATTGTTTCAGAGCCACAAGGTATCAATGGATCCCTCTGAATAATGTTCCAAGAAGAGATATGTCCTAACTGTGATGTTTACTTCTAGTTCTTTGACATACGGTACATCTAATACCGTAGGTTAGAACATATGGTATGAATGAAGAGTGTATAGCTCACAATTGGACAAGAAAGAAGGCACTACAGGAATAGAGAGCAACAAGTTTGTCACTGTAAGTCAATGTGTACTTGCAGATTGAGCATATTCATCAAACACAGCCAGCCACAGATTGGGGAAGTCACAAGTTAGTGATACGCGATCATTGAGAGCACATGCAGTAGCTCAGAGCGCCAGGAACGCGACAGTCACAACTGCAGCTATGAGAATGGTGCCCTTAGTCAGAGAGTATTGACCTGCCACACACCACCATCAGAGACAGTGAGAGCAAAAGAAAGAGTCAGCCACGTGTGACGCCACACGCAGGGACAACATCCTCCCAGCCCCCCTCTCACCTGCACCAGCGCTGCCAGGGGTGTCGTTGCTCCCCGGCACTCGCACGGGGGCGGGAGGAGCCGTTGTGCCGTCATCACTGCCAGGAGGAGGAGGGCTGTTGTCGCTGCCAGGAGGAGCAGCGCTCGGAGTCGGCGCCGAGCCGATCATTGGTTCCGAGGCCGGAGCAGAGGCTGGGGCTGACCCTGGCGCGGCAGCAGGCTCGGATGCTGGCGCTGGGGCAGGCGCGGGACCAGAAGGGGTGGGGGCAGCAGCAGGGACAGGAGCAGGACCCGGGGAGGAGGAGGGAGCAGGCGTGGGGGCGACGGAAGGCGCTGAGGCTGGGGAGACCGAGGAACTGGGCGCGGCAGAGGGAGTCGGCGCGAGTGTGGGCGCGGGCGAAGGCGCAGTGGCGGAGCTGGGAGCTGGAGCCGGGGAAAGGACTGGCACGGACGGCTGTTGCGATAGGGATGGTGGCGCGGCCAGAGCGAGCAGGAGCACAAGGAAGACGGCGGAGAGTGCGGAACCCATCTCGGCTCAGCGGGGCGACGAGGATGCGAGACTCAGGAGTTGCGCTAAGTTTGAATACGAACACAGCTGAAAGATGGCGTGCGAAGGCACGGTTTTAAGCCACGCCGTTTACCCTCGCCTAGGTCGCGCCGATGCCTTTGGCCCAGAAGCACCACGCTCACGGTCAACCTCATTTTCGCGACAAGTCACATTGTGGCGGCGGTCACATCTTCTGATGCTGACTGCTGAGGCCGAATCGCCCCAATATGACTACTCGTCGACCATTTCACGCGACGTCGCAACGACTTGAAAGTGCAGGACAGGAGACCCGTTGAAGAATGCGTGCCGTCAGCTAGGCGTATAGCGTGCCTTGAGTCAGAAGAAATTTGTGACGTGATGTGGGACCTGTAAAAGAAATGCATGCGGTCACGACAGTCGGAAGGATCGAGGTGCAGAGGGTGGTGCTGGAGCAAAGCGGGGGAGACAGGACAGGTCGCAGGAGGAAAGGGCTCCAGCCTACAGCACTGGACATGGGTGACGGGGGTCTTCACAAGTTCTCCGCAACCGCAAGGAAGCGCGTTTTCATACCGTGCCATTGCAGCTCTCCGTGTCTACATCCATGTTTGAAGGGCAAAATACGGTAAGTTGTATGAAAATGACACTGGCATTTCATAATTACTACCTTCTGTATGGTAGTAATGTATCAGTAACGTGAATGACATCAGGGCCCTTCAATTATCAAAACATCTTCACTACAATAGCTGGTAAACTTCAGTACAACACAAGCATGTTCGAATCGTATCAGTATCATGTTACACCTTCTGCACATATAGCACAACCACCACCTGTGAAGTCAACTGAATTGAGTATGTGGGCCTTCTGCAGCAACACACTGCAATGCCGTGTCAATGGGCGTGTGTGACACCAGAACTGCACCTCCCCAACCCTTTGTACCCCTGCAACTTCACCATGCACCCTTGCCCTCCATCAGCCTTGCAACAGCAGGCATGACTTCAAACGGCTGCCATGCAGTGGCTTGCAGGCATCAGCACACGTGTGCATTCACGCGGGCGCGGTACATCTCCAGCACCTCCTCATTCTGCCCCCCATCCGTCTCCACCACAGCGGACGCCAGCAGCTTGTTGCTGCCCGCGGGCACAAAGAAGATGTCCCCCACGTGCACGCCCTGCACGTATGATGGCGCCGCCGCCACCGCTGCCGTGCACCCATGCACCTTGGTCAGCCCGTTGGCCGGGGCCACCGAAATGGCTCCAGATCCGCGGAACACCAGCAGAATGGATGGCCCAGATATCTCTGGCAGGGCTGCCGTCTGCCCGAGGGGCACGGAGATCTTTTCAACCTCAAACTCCTCGAAGGGCGGCGTGTAGAGCGTGACGTGCGGGGTGACGCGGTCGCCGTTGAGCAGCTTAGGGCGGCCCTGGTGGTAGGTGAGCATGGAGGTGAGCGTGTCCGTGTCGCGGTACTTGGGTGTGAGGCCCGCCCGCACCACGTTGTCAGACGCCGCCATGCACTCAATGCACTCGCCCGCCAGGTACGCGTGCGGCTCGTTGGCCGCCAGGCAGATGGCCTGGCCGGGCAGCAGCGTGACGTGGTTGAGGAAGAAGGCGGACAGCACGCCCACATCGCCCGGGTACTGCTGCTCCAGCCGCTGCACCAGCTGCTCCTTGTCCGACAGCTCGCGCTCCTGCACGCACCCATGGGTGGTCATGGCGGTCAGCCACATACATGGTTAGTGCTTGGTGCATGTGTGGGTGGAGGGACAGGTGGAGTGCATGCTGCATGGCACTGGGACCAGTGATCAAACAGGAAATGCCATTCCCAGTTGCATGACATGGCATGACATGGCATGTATCACAAGCAAAGGGCACATGCGAATCCTGGATGCAACAGTGACCATGGCAGCTTGACATGGACACTTCGACTACGAGCCTGTTACAACCACGTCATGACGCACGCACCTTGGATTCGGCCTGCAGCCGCGCAACGAGGCTCGAGAGGTGCTTCTCAATCACGGCGCCGTCTTGCGTCATCAGCGCTCTGAACGCGTCCTTGAACGCCCTTCGCTCCGCACACTCCTGCGCTTCATGAGCGCCGTTGACGCCGTTGACCCCATTGACGCCGATGACCCCATTGACTCCGTTGACTCCGTTCTTGCTGGCTCTCAGCACGCTGTCCGCCGTGTGTTCGCCGATGGCCATCCGCAGTTCCGGCACCGACTGAATGCTTTCGCGGAGTTCCTGCCATAGACAACAGCGGGCCCGTTATCGATTAGGCCAGGCTACAAGAGGGAGACAAACGTGGTCGCGAAACGAAGTGCTGCACAGCGCCATCGGTTGCACAACGCAACCTCGCATACCAACCACGCGCACTCGCTTACTTACCAGGCGCACGATCTCGCATGCTAGCGACGCGCATTGACCTCGCATGCTAGCCACGCGCACCAATCTGGCATACTAGTCACGCGCATCGACCTCGCATACTTACCATACGCACCGATCACGCATACTACACGCGCATCGACCTGACATACTAGCCACGCGCACCGACCTCGCATACTACCCACGCGCACCGACCTCGCATACTAGCCACGCGCACGGACCTCGCAGACTAGCCACGCGCACCGACCTCGCATACTAGCCACGCGCACCGACCTCGCATACTAGCCACGCGCACCGACCTCGCATACTAGCCACGCGCACCGACCTCGCATACTAGCCACGCGCACCGACCTCGCATACTAGCCACGCGCACCGACCTCGCATACTAGCCACGCGCACCGACCTCGCATACTAGCCACGCGCACCGACCTCGCATACTAGCCACGCGCACCGACCTCGCATACTAGCCACGCGCACCGACCTCGCATACTAGCCACGCACACCGACCTCGCATACTAGCCACGCGAACCGACCTCGCATACTAGCCACGCGCCCTTCTCAGCCGCGCACCCTTCCCTCGCGCCCTTCCACGATCCTCACCCGTGAGGTGACGAAGCCGCAGAGCGCCTCGAAGTTGGTGACGGCGAGCGCCATCTCGGGCTTGTGGTTGGCGTCCTTGTAGTTCTTCGGCTGCGTCGCGTGCAGCCGCTCCGCCAGCCGCTTGTCTGGGTGCGCCTGGATCGACAGCGCCTTCGCCACGCTCAGTACCTGCCGGGAAAGCACAATGACACATCAGCATGCGCTCGGTTGCTCAGCCTGCTGCGGTAAGGCATACTGAGTGATGGGCACGCGATATGCTTCTCAAAGTGCATGTTGCAGCCTGCCTTCATCAAGAAGGTTCCCTAACGCGTAATAGAGGCAACATATTAAGGGAGAGGCGGAAAGATAGAATGGAAGCCGCCAGCTTCCACACGAAAATTTTAGGGTTTCAACGATCACAACCTGATTATTTATAAAGGCACAAACCCGATCCACTCACCATGCAGCAACGTACCTTGAAGAGGAATGGAAGCTGGCCGGGCCACTTGTGCTGCACCGTGGCGCCCAGAGCCTCGGGGTGCGCGTCGAGCCAGTCCTGCAACAGCTGCGGCTCGCCCGCTGCGGCGTCGGCCTTGACGAGAGCGGGGCACGAGGCATCGACCTCATCCGATTGCGCGGACGGCAGCACAAGCGACGGCCCGCTGGGGTGAGTGCCCATCCAGAGCTCGGCGTACGGCACGTCGTCCTTAGCCGCCTCCGCGCTGCCGCTCGTGCCCAGCGCGTAAAGCCGACCCACCGTGCTCCCGCTGCCCTTGATGCCCCAATCATACGTCTGCGCCACGCAGCGCATTCGAAGAATCGGCGGGTAGCTGCCAGCCATTGCCTTGGTAGTCGATCTGGTCGAGGATTAATTGGTATGTGCGAGGGAAGACAGGAGCACCTGAACTCCAGAGGCAGAATAAAGAGAGCCTGACAAGACGGATAAACGGTGTGACAATATGTACAAAGGTACAAGGTGTGTCTCACGACAATCCCAAAAACGCCTAAGACGATGTGGAAGCTCGAGAAAAACTGAACCTAGAATCCATGAAATAGTCTTGGGAGTTACTGAAGCCAGACTGGAAGCGGGGATCGCGCGCGCCAAGGTTGAGGGAGGGAGTGAAGAGGAGTGGAGAACTTCCCCGCTAGGACGGAGTTCGTGAATGCGGGAGACGGGGAAACGGGGAGTGCGCGGAGGGGAACAGCGCCCAACGGGACAGAAGCGTGGGCAGGAGAGGATGTCGTTTCGCACCACAAAGTGGAGTGCGCATCTGCGGGCAGTCGCATGCATCTCAGGTGGGGGAGGATCTCGAAGGGGTCAACGACACGACCACACAGAGGCGAAGCCGTGGCGAAGAGCATGCCTGGAAAATACTGGCCATTTGCGGCATCCCACGTGGAATAGGTCACTGTCTGTGCCTGCGGAGCGGTGGTCAGTGGGGAGAACGGTAGGACCTGGCACCTGCGGCTCGAAACTCCCACACAGTTCTCGTGGGAACATCTGGAGTTGCAGACGCCCACCAACTCCGAAAACGTTGGCGCGGAAGGCGTTATCCGTTGGAAGCAGGAAGCTTACGCATATAACACACTACACTTCTGCACTAGGTATACAAGGTATAAATCACAAAGTCAACATAATTGCACAGGCGTCCCTTGATGCATAGTTGCACAATAAAAAACTAGGGGCACTTCATAATTGAAGGCACAAAATCGGTTTGACATACGCTCTCTTTTATTTTTAGGACCAACTTCAGAGCTAGAACACAATCTACTGGAGCTTGTTGAAGAGCATTTCCACCCAAGCATCTGTAACTCCTCCTTCGCACCAATGAAGGCAGTCGTTCTTCTTTGTATCTGGTGCTCCCCCTGTGGCAAAACCGGGGAATGAGATTGGTCACAAAGTGTGTGCCACGTAAATTATTGTACTGGTAATAGGACATCAAACCAGCATTGTGTTCATAATCATCTTGCCAGTCCAAAGACATTGCTTTTGAAGCTAAACTCACCTTTGACGCTCCAGTTTTGGATGTGTCCATCGGGCCGCCAGTCGCTCATGGGCTTCACATCCACGTACACCACCGACGACCCCCCCAGAACACGCTGCTGGATGGCCCGCAGATCACTAGAGGAGCCGTCTCCACTGCGCACGGTGGCTGTCTGAGGAGGCAGGTTGGTATGGAGACACGGGGCGAGACGTTAGGAATGGAGATCTGACACGGAGCCGCTTAAAAGTAAAAAAACAGAAAGGTGGTTGTCATACCTCTCCTCTTTCCCTCTTTTTTGGTCTTCTCTCCCACAGGTGCTCCCTCCCTCCCTGCACTTCCCCCTCGCTCTCTCCCCTCCCACTGCGCTTCTCCCTCCCGCCCGCGCTTCTCTCTCCAGCCCGCGCTTCCCCCTGCCACCCATGCTTCCCCCTCCCACCCGCGCTTCCCCTTCCCACCCGTACTTCCACTTCCCACCCGTACTTCCCCTTCCCACCCGTACTTCCCCTCCCACCCGCGCTTCCCTTTCCCACCCACGCTTCCCCTCCCACCCGCGCTTCCCTTTCCCACCCGCGCTTCCCTTTCCCACCCGCGCTTCCCCTCCCACCCGCGCTTCCCTTTCCCACCCGCGCTTCCCCCTCCCATATGCTCTCCCCCCTCCCACCTGCGCTGCCCTTCCAACCTGCATTCACGTACCTGCACGCTGGTGAGCATGGAGTTGACTTTGCACGACCCCTTCTTGACGCCCGCAACGGGCAAGTTGTAGTGCGACGGCGACACGCCCATCACCACGGCGCGCCCCTTGAACCCGCCGCCGCTGCTCGCCACGTAGTCCCGCAGCGTCGTCAGTCCGCGCTCGTACGCCGCCGTCGCCTTCATCGTCACCTCCTTGCCGCCCACGTACCACCGGTTGATGGGCGGCATCCACCACGCCGTCGCCTGCGCCACACACCACGGAGGGCGATGCGCCGGGAGGAGAGAAATGGAATATGGAAACCCGAAGTGGGCTCGCTGTAAGCTCTCATTCCTACGCTGATCTGTGCCAAGCGGAGCTTGCAGGATGACGCGACGGCAGGCGCGGATGCGAGGAAAGGCGCGGATGCGAGGCAGGGCGAAGATGCGAGGAAAGGAGTGGATGCGAGGCAGTGCGAAGATGCGAGGAAAGGAGTGGATGCGAGGCAGGGCGAAGGTGCGAGGACATGAGCAGATGCGAGGCACGGCTCGGATGCGAGGCAGGGCGCAAAAGCGAGGCAGGGCGCGGAAGCAAGGCAGGGCGCGGAAGCAAGGCAGGGCGCGGAAGCAAGGCAGGGCGCGGAAGCAAGGCAGGGCGCGGAAGCAAGGCAGGGCGCGGAAGCGAGGCAGGGCGCGGAAGCGAGGCAGGGCGCGGGTGCGAGGGTGGGCGCGAAAGCGAGTCGGAGGGCAAAACTGGCCTGGAAGATGACGATGTCAGCGATGGGCAGCAAGTCCTTGATGCGCTGATCCAGGCCGTCCAGGTCAATGCGGTGTTGCTCGATGCCGTTCTTGTCGGGCAGGGTGGTGGCGTTGTTGAGCCAGTTGGAGAACACAGACACGAAGCGGATCTTGTACGTCGGGAACTGCGCACTCACGCCGGGCCGCACGCCGCACCACATAGAGAGTGAGATGGTGGACGGATGCCGGACTAAGATGGTTGTGATGCAACGCAACGTGGGAGATGCAACGCAACGTGAGGCGCATGCATATGCGTTGTGTTTTAGGGGTACGGCGCCTCAACGTCTGCCGCACGTACCTCGACGCCCCACTCGGCGGTTTTCTTCTGCGCCAGGCGGTACGACCTAGCGGCGGTAGAGTCGGCGGCGTGCAGCATGCACTGCAGCGACGCGGCGAAGTTCTTGGAGAGCGAGTCGCCGAACACCAGCACCAGCTTGCCGCGAAACATCTCCGCCAAACTCTGCGGCGACACGCGCTTCACAGAGCATCCCCTGGGCTGTATGGGGGGCAAGGAAGCACGTCGGGTGTGCGAGAGGAGAGAGCACGAGCGTGCGCGGAGTGGTGAGGAATACCAAGATCTATACACTCACTGGTCGACGGACGCACCTGCCAGCGGAACTTCTGGAACGACATGTCCGGGCGGCCCTGCTTGAGGCAGTTCTGCGATGTGCGGATGTATGGACACGAGTTGCCTGTGTAGAGCGGTAACTTGCTGTCCGCTACCCACTTGCCCCGCGAGATGTCGCAACTCCATGATGACTGCGCCGCGCACTTCAAGAGGCAGGTTAAAAAGACTACCACGAAAATTGGGGAATTGAATCTATATCTCTCTCCCATCACGTTGGCTTCGTTAGGAGTTCCCTGCCTTGTTCACTAGTAGCGTGATTCACGAGCTCTGGAGTCCAGCTTCTCAATTCCTGTTCCCAAGCCTCTTTAGCATTTCATTTGTTACAGCCTCACATCATTTACACCATTTGACGAACCGCATGTGATGGCGGCCCGAGCTTTCTCATGGTTATTGGCCGCCCACCGTCACAACACAATGCATACACGGACTGGTTCCAGTCAGCAGCGCAAATCGGCGGGAGGCAAAACTTCCAGCGTTCCCGCGCAAACGGCAGACTGTGAACGGTGCGCCCAAGAACATCTTGGAGCAGCACACAACAAGCTAAAAAAGCCACTCACTAAACTAGTCAAGTATAGATATGTATGAGAATTTAGATAAAGCACTAAATCGCCTAAGCAAGAAGAAGAAAGTATAAAAAACCAATAACGAGCAGGACCACACTCACTATGGACACCTGCAAAGGCCCAAAATGAATGTTGAAGAAGTGTCATGAAAAGCTTTAAGCATATGAAAGACAAACGTTCTTCGAGCACGAATCACGATTGCAACGATAACATGCCAAAGTTAAACTGAAAATGTTGCGAAAAGTAAATTGGCGGCGCTGCCCCGTGTCACTTCACATGGAATCCCCGTGCCCATTCATGCCAGTAGTAGTACGGGGGTGGGAGAAAGGGGGAAAGAGAGGGGTGACATGAGGGAGGTGGACTAAGGGCAATGGAGCGGGGAGGTGGGTGGTCGTGCATGGCTGCTTTTGAGACGTCTCAAAACAACACTTTTATCACGGAGGAAGTGGACTGAGGGCCATAGAGGGAGGAGGTGGCTAGCCCTGTGTGTGTTGCTGCGCTGCCCCGTGCAAGTGCCGCTTCAACCCTCCCACGCACTTGCTGGCTTGGTAGTAGGCCTAGATGAGCGCAGCCACGTGACCCGGCGGAAGAAAAACGCTCGGAACAAGCGCTTCTAGCACCAAAACGCGGAAGGATCTGCACATGTGCTCGGAACGAGCGTTTCCACCCCAGAAAAGAAAAAGGATAGTGCAGGACATGCAGCGGGTGCACTCCCATGACAGATGACGCTTGCAACCCTCCCACGCCCTTGCTAGCTTGGTAATAGGACCAGACAGGTGTAGCCACATGACCCAGCCGAAGAAAAACACTCGGAACGGGTGCTTCCACCTCCAAAACGCGGAAGGATCCGCACATGTGCAGGAAGTGCAGCGTGCGCTCTTCATTCGCGAGCGCCGATGACCGATGATGCTCGCAACCCTTCCACGCCCTTGCTAGCTTGGTAATAGGACCAGACAAGCGCAGCCAAATGACCCGGCGGAAAAAAAAACGCTCGTAACGAGCGCTTCTACCCCCAAAACGCGGAAGGATCCGCACACGTGCAGGAAGTGCAGCAAGCGCTCTTCATTCACGAGCGCCGATGACCGATGATGCTCGCAACCCTCCTACGCCCTTGCTGGCTTGGCAATAGGACCAGACAAGCACAGCCACGTGACTTGGCGGAAGAAAA